TTGGGTCCTCTCTCTTCTTTCCTTGGTTAGTATAGCTAAGGGTTTGTCAGTTTTGCTTATCTTTTCAACAAACCATTAGTTTGGTTATATTTTGTATTATTTTTTGTTCTCTATTTTATTTATTTCTACTCTAATCTTTGTTTTTTTCCCTTCTTGTTCCAATTTTGGGCTCAGTTTATTCTCTTTTTAGTTTCTTAAGGCATAGAGTTATGTTGTTTATCTGGGATTTTTCTTGCTTCTTAATGTAACCATTTATTGCCACGAACTTCTCTTTTAGCTTTTGCTGAACCCCATAAGTTCTGGTATGTTACGTTTCCATTTTTGTTTGTCTCAAGAAACTTTTATTTCCCCTTTAATTTCTTCTTTGACTCATTGTTTGTTTAGGAGAATGTTGTTTAATTTCTACATGTTCATGAATTTTTCAATTTTGCTCTAGTTACTGATTTTTAGTTTCATGCTGTTGTGGTCAGAGAATATACTTAGTATGATTTCAGTCTTCTTGAATAAGACTTGTTTTGTGGCTCAATGTATGATCTAAGAAAATGTTCCATGTGGACATGAGAGGAATGTGTATTCTACTGTTGTTGGATAGAATGTTCTGTATATTTCAGTTAGGTCCATTTGATCTAGGGCAGCAATTTTCAGCGTTTTTAATCTCATGGCACATATAAGCTAATTACTAAAATTCTGCAGCACACCAAAAAATAGATTTTTTTGCCAATGTGACAAAAAAATAGGTGTAATTTGTATTCATTCATGCCAGATGGCTATAGTTGTGTTGGCTGTGTCATTTTTTCATTTACAGTCTAAGGAAAAAGAGGTCAGTGCTCTTGCTTAAATAGTTAGGAATTGCCTGTTATAAAAATTCTTGCGGCACATCAGCGTACCATGGCACATTGGTTGAAAATCACTGATCTGTAGTGTTCAAGTTCTCTGTTTCCTTATTTATTCATTAAAAAAAATATTTATATTGATTTTTAGTGAGAGAGGAAGGGAGAGGGAGAGAGAAAGAGAAACATCAGTGTGAGAGAGGAATATCAATTGGCTACCTCCTGCACACCTCCTATCTTGGAGTGAGCCCACAACCTGGACATATGCCCTGATGGGGAATCAAACCAGCAACCTTTTGGTGAATGGAATGACACCTAACCAACTGAGCCACACTGGCCAGGGCTCTTTGTTTTATTGATTTTAAGTCTGTGCGATCTTTCTATCGTTGAGTGTGGGTTTTCTATATTTTTTAAATTTTTCAGCAGCTTTACTATGATATATCTAGTTATGAAATTTTTATTTGTCTTTTTTGGGGTTCATAAGACTTTTTGACTTAATGTCTCTTCAGTTTTGGACCAGAATATTGTTTATGTTAGTAAACTTTGCATGTGCCCTTTAAAATAATGTCTATTCCACAGTAGCTGAGTGGAGAATTCTATCATTATCAATTAGGTCAAGTTGTTGAGAATGTTGTTCAACTCTTCCATTTTTACTGATTTTCTGTCTGTTTGTTTTATGAATTACTAAGAGAGGATTGGTGAAATTTACAACACAAATTATGGACTTATTTCTACTTTCAGTTTTGTTAGTTTTGCTTCATATAATTTGAAACTCTACCATTAGATACACAGATATTTATGATTGTATGTCATCTTGATAAATAACCCTATCACCATTGTGAAATATTTCACTTTATTAATGGTAGTATTCTTTGTTCTGGAGTCTACTTGTCTGATATTTATATAGACACTCCAGTTTTCTTATGATTAGCATTTGCTAATGCTGTGCTAATCATATGTAATTTTATAACTTTTTGTATCTGTTTACTTTTAACATCTATCTTTATATTTCAAATGTTTCTCACAGGCAGCATATATTTGAGTCATGTTCTTTGAAAAACTTAAATCCTATTTGACAATCTCTGCCTTTTAAACCATTTACATGTAATATAATTATTGTTTAGACCATTTACATTTGATGTAACTACTGATATAGTTGGGCTTAAGCCTATCATCTTTTACTTGCTTTCTATTTGTCCCATCTGTTTTTTGTTCCTTTTCTTTTTGACATCTTGCCTTCTTTTGGGTTAATTATTTTTAGTGCTTCATTTTATCTCTATTGAATTGTTAGGTACACCCTTTTTAAAAAGAATTTCTTTAGGGTTTACAATATATACCTTTAATTTCACAGTCTAATTTAAAATAATATACTAGCTTACATGTAATGTTAGAACCCTGTACAGTTTCATTCCCCCCACCCCTGATCCTTTTTGTTCTTGTTATCAAATATTTTACTTCTTTCTCTCCATATTATTAGTTTCACAATTCATGGCTATCATTTTTGTTTTGAACAATAAGTCATATTTTAAAAACATGCTATTATGAGTAGAAAGTCTTATATTTACCATGTCGAGAACTCTTTTTGCCTTTGTGTAGGTCCTAGGTTTCATCTGGTATCATTTTCCTTTAGCCTTAAGACCTTTCTTTAACATTTCTTGTAGTGGAACTCAGTTGGCAATGAATTCTCTAATCTTGTGTTTGTCTTCAAATAGTCTTTATTTCATATTCATTTTTGAAGGATATTTTCACTGGGTATAAAATTCTAGGTTGACAGTTTTTTTCTTTCAGCCTATTAAAGATGTCGTTCCATTGTCTTCTGGCTTGCATTGTTTCTGACGAGAAATCAGCGATCATTCTTATCTTTGTTCCCCTGTAAGTAATGTGTCTCTTTTTCCTGGCTGCTTTTAAGATTTTCTCTTTATCATTGGTTTTCCTCAATTTGATTTTAATGAATTTTAGTGTGGTTTTCTTTGCTTTTATTTTGGCTAAGATTCATTGAGCTTCTTGGATCTGTGGGTTTATAGTTTTCTTCAAACTTGAAAATTTTTGGCCATTTTTTCTTCAAATAATCACCTGTTCCCACTGCCTTTGCTCCTTTTTGGCTTTTAAGCACACATACTCTGCCTGATATTTTCCCACAGCTCACTGAAGCTCTGTATTTTTCTCCTAGTATATCAGTTTGGGTAGTTTCTGTTGTTATGTTTCCTACTACACTGATTTTTTCTTATACATTATCTAATCTGCCATTACTCTTATTTAGTGAATTTTTCATTTTTTGATATTGTATTTTTAATTTTTAGAATTTTTATTTGGTTCTTTTGTTATATTTTTAATATCTATCCTCATTGTATTCATATTTTCCTTTAAATATGTTTATAATAGCTGTTTTAAAGTCTTTGTTTGCTAAAACTATTTCATTTCTATAATTTCTGGGTTTGTTTCTAATGGCCAATTTCCCCTCAATTATTGGTTACATTTTCTTTCCTTTTTGAATATTAAGTAATTTTTGACTGGATGCTGGACTTCATGAATATTACATTATTGAGTGTCTGGATTTTGTTGTATTCCATTACAGTGTGTTTTGGCTGTCAAGTTACTGGTAGATCAGCTTAACCCTTCCAAGGCTTGTTCTTATACTTTGTTAGGGTGAACCTGGGCTAGCCTTTTAACTAACATTAGTTCAGCCCTCCTACTATGTTATAACTTCCTAGAGTCTCTATTTTTATTAGTAGTGACTTCCTGGAGCTCAGTTTTGAGAATTATTATAAGGCTAGTTCTGGACTTAGTAGGAAGGAATGCTCTTACGGATTAGTGATATCTGTCATGAATTTGGGTTTGGAGGAATGGGGCCATATGTCCTATATATTTGCAATTCCCATACTGATTAAAGGCACTCTTTTTTTCTAGATTTCTTTAATTACACAAAAAAAACTTGTTGCTACTCTCTATATTCATCTTGACTTTTCCACATGTAGGAAATATATCTTATAGTTATAGAATGTCTATATTCAAATAATTTTTTCATTCATCCACTCCTTACTCATTTCCTCTTTCTTTCTCTCTAAAAATATAGTCAATATGATACTCTTATTAGAGTAGTGGTTTCTGGTCTGTACTTTTTGTCTTCTTTGTATGTTTTTTAAGGTCAATGGCTCTGTTGATTGTATTTTCTTGAATTCCAAGTATTTTTAAATTAGAATTTGATATGTAACTAAGTAACAATATCCTCTCACCTGCAAGTTATTCTATATTAGGCCAATCATGGTCCTATAAGATTAGAATATGGCAATTTAGAAAAATGCCCTACTTTCAAACATATAATTCTATTACTTTTTTATGATGGAATATTGTTAGCTAAGTGCTTTGGGCTACAGAATCATCTGGATGATGATAATTACTTGTTGTGATTCTTGTTATGATCTGCTCCAGATCACTTGGTTCTTGTCCTCATTTTCTGTGTGTATACTGTGTTAAGGAGTTGCATATTAGCAAACTTGCAGGGATTTAATTTGTGGGTCACATGTGAGAGAGAGCTGCATTTCATTTGGACAAGAAAGTCATCTTTCCAGTCTTCACATTTGATGGGGATGGGGTGGGAGATGGAATGGTGGAAATTGTTTTACCATTCATTTCAGTTGTTATCAACTTGAAACACTTCTTGGTGCTAAAAACCTAGGATGTTTAGCATAGTATACTGTCATGAAAAGAGTGAAGTGTCAAGAACCAAGTTCTAGTCCTAGCTTGTCATTTACTAACTCTGTGATCATAGTAAGCCACTTAACCTTTTTAACTTTAACTTACTCATATATTTAATGAGGTTAATAATCTGTTGTACCTGTCCCACAGAGTTGTTGGGAGGATCCAGTGAAGCCATAGATGTAAAAACCTTTGAGAACTTACTAACGGTATATCATTGTGAAGGTAATATTATGGTATTGTGTATGCCACTTTATACTAGATTGGCTCCCCCCCTTAGGAAAATGGATGATGGAGTTGTGATATCTTTGTTCAATTTAAAAATTCTTCATAGATTTAAAAATTATTTTAGGAAGCCTTCTGATGATGGTTCTATTTAGGAAAAAGAAAACTGATGAAGTATCTGCTGTATTTTTTACTAGGGCACAAATAATTTCAGTGACAAGTATTCATCAGTTATGCTTTGCTTTACAGCTTGGAATCCTATCCACTGCCAGCACATCGAATGCCACAACGCAATTAACAAACCAGCAGTGAAGGTACTGTTTTATTAGACCTGTGTCATATTGTATTGTCAGTGGTCAAACTATCAGGAGCAAATTGTTGAATTAAATGTTAGTTCATACATTTTTCATGGAATTCAGCTTAATTTTTCACAGTGGTGAGACTTTCTTGGTTTCCATAATTTTGTTTCTATATCCGCCTTTCTTTCTGCCTAAATCACAATGCCCTCTTTTGGTTCACCGAGGTGTCAACAGGAAGGAGGTACTTTCTGTCGATTGTTTCAGTTACTTCCCCCCCTAATTTTATGTCATACTGCATTCACAGGAGCCCTCTGACTTCCTGATGATTTCTGGCCACCTACTCACAGAACTCATCACAAATCAGATTTTCTTCCTCTCTTACAGGCAGACAGCCCCAGTCTACTCCTCTGGCCTGGCCTCACTTTTCTCACAGGCTGTTCCTTGTAGCCAGTCCTCCAGGATAGGCCAAACCATCCGACTTTCTGCCTTTTTTTTTAATTGAGTTGAAATTGATGGAACTTAAAAATAATCATTTTAAAGTGAACAGTTCAGCGACATTTAGCATTTTTGTAATGTGTGACCACCACCTCTTCTATTTCCAAAACATTTTTATCACACTCCAAATTTTACTTTCTGAACCCCATTTTTCCTAAAGAGCTTCATTTTGTATTTTTACTTTATGCTTCCCAGAAAGGTAACATTCTTTTTAGTGTGACAAGACATGTTTTTGCACAACAACAGGTCTGCGCAGGTGGTATTTAGTCCTTTCTTTACAATATGAGCACTTCCCAGATGCACATGGATATAACCTTATGACTTGTTGATCTAGGGTATCCAACGTCCAAATGCTTATGGAATAATGTTAAGTGAAAAAGAAATTATGGAATTGTATATAGTGTGATGCCAATTTAGTTTAAAAATTGCATATGTGTATATTTATATTCATATTCATAGTAAAAACTGCCAGTTAATGCTCATCAGAACATTACTGTGATTGCATTGAGATGGAGGGTTATTGAAGCATTTAAATTTTCTCCTTTCCTTTTCTCTATTTTCTCAAACCTCTACATGGGGCATATGTTATATTTATAAACAGGAAAATAACTATTTTTTTAACGCAAGATCAGATATGAGCATATTAATATGGGTGTAAATAGATCTGTTTAGAGTAGAACAGAATTGACATTACTAGTCACAAATCAGATGGGTCACGTTAATAAATTCATTTAACACATTAGAAGTCAACTAGCTAATCTCTGTTGAGCGCTAACATCCCAGGAGTTTTCCCTTTTGTGTGGGATGGACAAATATCTTTACCTGACGGAGGCATCAGTGACTTTTTAGACATACAAGTAAGAGGTGAAGGAGAGGTCTGCTTGGGGCACCTGGGAGAGACTCAGGGAAACAGATTTACCCTCGCAAAAGCCTGACATTTCCATAATATTGAGCTATCCACTAGGCAGTAATGATTTGCCAAGTAAAAAAGTATTTATTTTTGTTGCAATAGGTTGCAAAAAAGTACTTTTGGGGCAAGAGCCAAGAGTTGTGATAGGATTCACAATGAAAATATGTTGCAATTTATAGTTCATTAATATCACATTCTGCTTCTGGGTTTGCTTGATCCTATTTGAGAATCACTTTATGAAATACTTTGGAGCCCAGATTATTATCTAACATGGGAGTCAGCAAACTATGGTGCATAGCTAAATCTGGCCCACTGCCCGTTTTCGTAAATAAAGTTCTATTTATTTGCTTATGTATCCCCGTTTATGGCTGCTTTCATGCTACCAACAGCAGGGTTGAGTAGTTGTGACAGAACGCATGGCACATAAAGTCAGAAATAATTTTTCTCTGACCATTTACAGAAAGTTTGCCAATCCCTGATTTAACATACCAAAAAGTAGTTATCCATTGCATCAAAAGAAGCATAAAACTTACCCTAAGGAAAAATGTCACACTGGATCTTTAGCATCAGGAAATATATAATTTAGAGATTTAGATGGTATAATTATTTAAATTTAGGAATTCTAACTCTTCTTTCCCCAATCATTGAAACTCCTCAGGGTTTTAACTTTAAATGACAGGCTGTTTGGCTTATAAGTTTGGTTCATTTTCCCCCTTCAAATTAGTAAAAACAACCAAAGGAAAGGCAGAGGGATGTTCCAGAAGAATTTGTGGCATATTAACTACATAATCAGCTATACTATGTATTGATTATTTCTTGAAGGGCAGGAACAGAATTCAAAATGACTTTGGTAAGTCATAGAAACTTAAATTGATGCAAAGTACAAAATTCAGTGAGTCACCTGAATATTTTGTTCACTTTATTTAAAACATCCAGATATTTGAAATATCCTGATGATCAATTGTAAAATGAACATTTTTCACCTCTGAGCTTAGGCTTACAAAAAACTCAGCCATAAATAATCAAAAACTGAACAGGGCACAGCAGGGTTAAACAAACTACAGGCTATGTGTGAAGGAAAAACATACACACCTGGAAGTGAAACATTGGATGACTAATATAGAACTTAGATTCCAGAGTGAGAAAAGTGAATCATTCATTGTTAGATTTAAAGCTAAATTTTCTGAATGAGGTTTCTCTTAAGCAAAAGACTCTACTGCCAGCATTTCAGTAAGAGTTATGATTTTTAATCTTAATAATATATTTTCCTTTTCCTAAAGAGAGACATTGTGTTTACCACTTTAGAGAAGGAATTACTGTATGAGTAACATAGAGGCAATTTGAGCAGCCATTGAAGAAGATGATTTTTTATCTTTGTGGAATGATGGTAGATTTCTTGATATTATTTGTTACTTGAATTGTAAATAACAAGAGAAATGAAAACACACAGTAGCCCCATTTAAATCAACCATGTGAACTCATGGGCCAGTAGAGGAAAAATGGTTACAGGTTGAGTGGGTTTTACTAAAAATATTTGTTCCTCTTTGCTTTTGAAAACCTGTCATTATTGAAACATTGGTGCTCATGATATCAGGAATGTGATAAACAGGAGAGGAGATTTCACTCTGTCTTTTCATGTGTTTCAGATGTGCATAGACCCTTCCCTGTCAGTAGCGTTGGGTGATAAGCCGCCCCCATTGTATCTGTGTGAAGAATGCAGCCAGAGGATCGCAGGGTAGGTATGAGGGCCTCAGAGAAGAAGAGTGGGGCAGTAATGAGGAGATAGGACCAGTCACTTGGGCTTAAGTTGGTTACATTACCCACATTCCCCATTAACCTCTCTGCTTTTTCAAGGTTACTTTGTCAGATATTTAATATATAGCAAAGTTTCATTTGAAAGATTTCAGCGGTGCGAAGTTGTAATAGTTCTCTTTGTGTGACAAGAGGAAGCAGTTCCACTTACTAAAGCAGCTCCAGTTTTCAAGCGACCCTACTAAAAAGGCCACAGAGAAAAATAAAACTGTTTTTTTTCACATGACATTTAATTCATATGGGTTCTCTTTGCTTGTTGGTTTCATAGGATCACACTCAGCTTTGTACAAATCCTGCTGTATTTTGGTTGACTTAGCATCTGGAAAGTATCATTTAAAGATAACTGAATAACGAAATGCCTATAACTTATAATTTAGCTGGAATGCCTTAGACATTTTAAAAGTTTATTATGATAGTGCTCTTAATTACACTTCCTTTCTATTAAAAGCCTTTTAGCAATAGCGTGCAGCTTATAAACATTCACGTGGAAGGGTAACAGTGCTAAGAAGTTCAAAAATGACTTTTGTTTTTCTTCGTAGGGACCACAGCGAGTGGCTGATCGATGTTCTTCTGCCACAAGGTACGGTTTACTTCAGAAAGAATGAGTCATGAGTAATCATGACTAAGGGCACGGTTGATTGGTCTCCTTTTGTACTATTTTATTTAATAAAGGCAGTAACCAAAGTATTATAGTGTATGAATATTCATTGATATGAAACATTGTATCAGTGTCTTGCTTATAGTATGCCTATACGTTTAATAATGAGGGAAGAGGTATCATTTCTACCCAAATTAAGGGGAGATGTTGAAATTAGGATTCTGCATGATTTAAGCCCTGCTGAATTATGTTTTAAGAGATTTTCTGTATACATAACAGGTGTTACCAATGATATGTTAGCTGTGCCAGGTCAGAAAGAGAATAAAGAACATCAGCGGGAAGAGCATTAAGTAATGGGATTTTTTCGTGCCACTATTACTAGCTCTGTGTTTTTAGGGAAAATCATTTAATCACTGTGAGACTTAGTCTCCCCATCAGTAAAATGGGGATAAAGTGTATCTGACCCATCTCCATGAGGAGGCGAGATTGTAACGCTTGTCGTTCGTTAGAGTTCTGAAAGCTATGCCCGCCAGGTTGACAGATCGGATAGATGGGTAGTATTCTTCCTCACATGGGGAGGCAAGTATTCCAGCCACCAAATTGGAGACAGTGACCAGGAAAAGTTCTGGACACCAAAGTAAAGATGAAAGGTAGAAAAAGCTGGGCGCATCCTGAGCATAGATAGGCACACAGGAGGGACTCAATATATGCTTCAGAGGTAGAAATAAGACTGTGAAAGGCCTCATTTAAAAGGATATGTAAAAACCTTAGCTAAATTCTGTGAACTTTCTTTTTAAAACTTAAGGCCTGTGTTTGATGATAATTACATTATTTGTTTGTAGTCTAACTTTTAATATTAGGCATCTCTACCTTAAGAAATAAATTAATTTAGCAAGTACTCTCCATCTGTAGAATGGGTCAACAGAGGATAAGCCTCTGTGTCCTTCAAGGAGACATTTTGAAAATTTATATAAGAAGATCTATATAAAGATTTGGGCATGTACGAGTCAAGGTAACTCCCCATCTCTCCCTTAAATTAGGCTACCTTGTTAGTGAATTCCAGGGCTCTGAGGGAAAACCCATAGTTAGGTCCTAAACTACATTTTAAATATCAGAAGTATTGCTGCATTCTGCTTACCATCTCCAGGTGATATTCATCTTTGGAGGAAGATTGACAATAACTTTTATTATTTATCTAGAGATGTGACTAACCTCCGATTAAGATAAACTGTAAGATATCAAACTGTTCCATAGCCATTAATTACATAAAACTAATTTTAAAAACTGAGTTGTATATTTCATTGAATAGGCATCCACTAATTCATAATTTCTAGACAAAGTTTGGGAGACATTTACCTTTGATCTTTTTAATAAATTGTAACATAGACTGTACTATAACTAATAGTTTAGTTAATTTTTTTGAACACTTGCTATTTCAAGGGAGGTGTTAACATATTCTCGGAAAAATTATTTTCAAGTACTCTCAAGCATCAACTTTCACGGAAATAATTTGTATGCCCACTCCCAGGAGTTTTAATCTATTCATTAAAGTCAATCCTGAAGTAGACAGTGTGACAGCCTTGTTCCAACTGGCCAATCCATGGGTTTGAAAATTACTTTCTCTTAAGTAAGCATGCAGCTGGCTTTACACTAGTTAAGGACTAATATAAATTGATAGTTCAAGTAATTGAAGTTTCTATAGTTCTGATATAGCAAGTCATCTCCATGGTGAAGCTCTAAATATGTCACATCAACTCAGTGTCATAGTGTAATGGAACAGCAGTAAAGAGAGAACCCGTAGACATATTGGTCAGTCTGCCTCCACCTTTGATAGCCTGTGTGATCCTGAAGAAGTCATGAAGTCATCCAACAATAAATAGTGGCCCTGTGTTTTGTTTTCTGTCAAATAAGGGGGCGAGATTCAAGTTACTTGGCTTTAACATGATCTGAATTCTAAGTCATGTCCGAGAAGGTTGAGTTACTTATAGGGACCGGTGCAGTATTTGCAGCACGCAGGTGTTTTTTAACCTCATTAAACATAAGTAGATGATAATTCATGAGACGAGTGAGAAGCTGTTGGGACCAGGTCTAGAGGTTATATTATAAAACTTGTTTTTACCCCTCTTCGTGGCTGCCCTTGTTGAAAACGGGCCCTCTTTCTTTGTTGATATGTTGTGTGCCTTCCCCTTACAGCTGAAATATCTGCTATATGTCAGAAGAAGGTAAGAGCAACCCATCTGTGTGGTGGGGCATGATTCGCTGTGTTTGTATGTAAATTCACTCATTGACATCTGCCTCATTTCTGCACCATGGTTTCCCAGTATGTACATGTTACTGTATTTGTGAAGGGGGAAAAGAAATAATTTAGCATGCAAGATTTCTGTGTCTGAATGGTCTCTATTTCCATTTCTGCTTTTGCTCACCCATCTTATGTACAAATGTTTTTGACAAGTAACCTGAAATAAAAGCTGTGTGCTTCTCTGGAATAGAATTCTAATTACAAAATGGTTTGAATGACTGTGTGATATGTGCAGCTTAACTTTGGTAAATGAGGTATCTTGTATGCTAAACGTCTTTATTGTTTTGAAGTGGAGTGCACATAGTCCAATGTATGTGGTAACACATACTTGGACCAACTATATATGGANTCTTTGAGGTATCTTGTATGCTAAACGTCTTTATTGTTTTGAAGTGGAGTGCACATAGTCCAATGTATGTGGTAACACATACTTGGACCAACTATATATGGAAAATACTCATTTATATGTAAGTTGAATATTATCTCTAGTTAAAGATTCCACCTTCAGATTTCCTTTAGCCACCTTTCATGACAGTTTCCCTAAACCATATCCATCTTTTTTCTTGTTCTAGTTGTGGAAAAGTACAAGAGAAGGTAGTGTGGTGTCATATAAAGAACTTTGGGTTAGGTGGTTGAGATGTTTGGGTTCTGGCCAGCTCTATTTCCACTTACCTGTGAGACCAGGTACAGGTCATTTAAACTCCTTAAGCATCAGTCGTGAATGGGTACCTTTGGAGGGCTGTTTCAGTTATCTATTGCCACGTAATAAACCATCCTAAAATGTAGTGGCTTATAACATCAAGCATTTGGCTGTGCTCAACTAGGCTTCTTTTGATAAACTCCTGTGGGCTCTCTCATGCATTTGTATCAGTTGGTGAGTAGGCTGGGGGTTAGCTGGTTCCAGATGACCTCTCTCCTGTCTGGGGCTTCCACTGGGATGGCTAGAATGGTTGGGATGACTGGGCTGTCTAGCCCTTCCTCTTTCCATTAGTCGTCTCATCCTCCAGGCTAGGCTGGATTTGTTCATGGTAGCAGTATTCTGAAAGAATGAGAGAGGAGATTGAAAGGCATTTTGAGACTGAAGCCAGAAGTCACGCAGCATCACTTCTGCCGCATTCCATTCGTCAAAGAGGGTCCCAAGGTCAGCCCTGTTTCAAGGACTGGGGGAAATAAATTCCTCCTTTTTATATAGCAGCAAGAATTTTGTGGTCATATTTAACCCACCACAATCTACCTTCTGGACATTACATTCTTGCATTCTCTCCAAATGCAAAATACTCTCACCACCTTGCAAGACCTTCAAAAGTCTTACCCGTTTATAGGGCTTCAGGCTTAAAGTCCATGCTCTTGTGATGTGCACCTGGTCTGGTCACTGATGAAACTCTTGGGGTGCAAATTCTCTTGATCCAGAGACCTGTTAACTAAAAAGGCAAGTTATCTGCTCTCTACACACCTCACACACAATGGTAAGGTAGGGACATGATAACAGCAGCGGACTTCTGTTCAAAAAGAGCAAGAGGAAGCAAGGAGCAGCCACCGGTCTATAGCAGCTCCAACCACGCACACCACGGTTCTGTCTGTAGGAATATTGAATGTGCCTTAAATTGGATCTGGTTTTTCTTTCTCGGAGTAGTTACCAAGTCCATGGTAGTCTTCCTGGCATTTTGCTGCGCTCTCTGAGACATCTCTCCTTTTCGATAAGGAATGGCCCGGGCTGCAGCTGAGTAACTCTGTAAGTCTGCTTCCGGCGTGTAGACGTTGGGGTTTCACAGACCTTTTTCCACATTGAGCTGTGCCTGTCCCCTGCAGTCTAAGTTGGTGGTGCTTTTGCTAGTGTGACTTTAAAACTTTGTGGATTTTCAGTAAATCTCATTGTGGTTCTGTGCTCCCAAAGCCACCTAAAATTTTTTTGAAATAGTTCTTTGTATACTTTGGGCATTTCAGGCTGCCCTTAAAATTATTAGAAGCCCTGTTCTAGCTGAGAGGCTTAACTGGGCATCACCTTATATCCTTCTGAAGTTTTAGCAGGATCGTACAGTCATTCAGCAAACTCTTAATTTGATTTTTATCCTGAGGTTATTTCTTTGAGAATCTTTCAGAAGCTGGAGAGACTAGGATGAGAAATAGTTTTATTTTGTAAGTCAGTATGTTCTGACTTTGGTGATATACCTAATATATTTGACACCCAGAGTGGATAGTTTTTTTGATATTCCCCTCCTTTATATGATAAAATTATTTTTAGTAATAAGCTTCAAATTAGCACATTTTTATCACTTACCCTTTAATAAATGTTGTATTTTATATGAATGTTATTTTGGAGACCTTCCAGTAAGTTCAAAATAGTTCAGAATTGTTCAAGCTTGCTTTGGGCACAGTTTGTACTTTTGGTATTATATGTTCCTACATTCAAATAGTAGGTTTGAAATAAGCATTAAGATTATAGAGATAGACCTTGATTGTTTCAATTTTGTTGTTCTATGAGACCATTTGGAGTTATTTATTTATGTTTAAAATTTAAAGCAGTGAATGAAACAGTGGCTGGAGTAAACATTTGAACACCCCAGCAGAATCTAAATCTAAGGGAAATCTCTTCCGTTTACTTTTGAAATGAATGCATATAGCTGACTCCACATGGATTGAGGACTACTTGTGGCTTATAAATATATTATTAAAATCTAGTGGGAACCACAGCAATTGTTTAGAACTTTGATGAACCAAATATTATTTTGAGGCAAAGTATTTCATTGCTGATATTATTTAGAATTGATGGCACATGGTGCTAAAGCAGGTTGACTTTCAGTTGGTACTCCAGATACTAATATATGTAGTATACCCAGATACTGCATAAGAAATCATTCATAATGTAGCAACATAAAACACCCACCATTTAATTATGTGGGTCAGGGAGTTGGACAGGGCACAGTCCACAGCCTGTCTGTGCTTGATGATATTGGAGGTCTCATCTAGGAAAACTTGAATAGCTTACAGGTGGAATTATCTAAAGGCTTCTAGATGATATCTCTGGGATTGGGCTTAGCCAGGACTGCTGACTAGAGACTTAGTCATTGCCTCTCCATGGAGCTTGGCCATGGCAGAGTTCTGAGAACCGTGTCCTGATGAAGAAATTTCTGAAGAGAGAACATTCCAAGACAGTCTGGTGGAAGCTACACATCTCTTTATAACCTGGTCTGGGAGCATATAAGTATGACTTGGGCCTTACTCTCTTGGTTGAAGAAGCCACAAGCCCATCTCGATTCAGGGCATGGATTCAAGGAGGCACATCTGCAGGACCGAACTCCAAGAGCCTCACCCGCAGCTGGACTTCGTTTAGATGAGAAGACCTTGGGTCTCTGGTTAGGAATTTACACGTGGGAAGAATGTAAACAATGTAAGCAGAAAATCGGGTGGAAATTGCAGACCTTAAACTTCAGGACTTTATTATGGCAAATAAGTACCCACTAAACCCATATCTGCGTCCTATGGTTTAAATCACAGCAGGAGTCCCAGAGGAACAAAGACTAATTATAACCCAAAGGAAGAAGTAAGCACTAAGGATGTCCTCTGCTCTAAGCCACACTGCTAGTGGTGTGGTGGTGGTTTGGTGGGTGAGCAGGAGAAGCCCCAAACCAATAAAAATTCCTGAGCTTCCAGAATGAATTTTAATGTGCAAAAGAGAAAGAGAAAGAAAGGGCACAGCGCAGGAAAGAAGCCCACTTGGACAAGTCAGGGCCTACTTGAATGCCAAAGAAGGCGTGGGCTTTAGATGCATAAGAAACAAGCTATATTTTAACAAATAATTTTTGAAAATATTAATTAAAGGAAAGATATTATAAAAAATTTAATTTGCTCTTATAATTTGTTGGCCTGAATCCTTTTCAGAAAATGAGATTTCCCACTGCTGGTACCCAAAGCCTCTTGCTAAAATCAGAGTGGAACAAGCCATTGAAATGGTTGTTCAGATTGACAGCTCAATATATTGTCAATGTCTTGATGTAGGCTTTGCGCTTGCCTCCTTCCATCTTCTGTCTCCCCAAGGTGGCTGTCATGGAGTTTGTCTCAAATCTTCACCAAGCTCTGAGTTCATAAGGGCTTAGAATATTATATCCCCTAGAGGTGTTCACATCTTTTTAAGCTCTAGTGAAAGACTGAAAAGCTCTCAGGACACAAGACATTGAGTATGTGGTCGCATGTCTAACAGGCTAGGGGCGCATTTTTTGGTGCAGGCCAGGGATGTTTCCTGACAGCGCCTCAAATTGCTTCGTGTGGATGCCGCCTCGCTCCTCTGCCTCTGCTCAGCAGGTCCGACAATAGCCCCCCTGAACTTCAGAATCTTAGGCTGCTCCACTTTTCTCATTTCCTTCTTCATCTTTTGATTCCTTCCTGTAGATGGTGTCAACGGGTGATTCTATGAATGGTTTTTGCTGCGTTTTATACGTTACTGTGGTGTCAATATTCTTGAGGTCTTGACAGAAAGCCCTGGTGGGAGTGGAAGGGCCTGCTTTGGGTGCATCAGCTCAGTGTAGTACACCCCCCTCCCTGTGCTTCATGGCAACAAGGACAGACGAGCTGCTGTGGATGTGTGCTCTGTTAGTGTTGATAAAATAATTTTCAAAGTGTACGCTGGGGGTTAAAATTATTCCTTTTCTTTGCTGATGTGCTGTGATGTGCTCTCTTTGCACCCTGGTTTTAATTTTTTCTTCATATGTCTCCTGAAAACTCCTGAAACACTAACACAAAATAATCCAGAGAGCTCTCCAGCCCCCATGACTGAGGTGACTTTCCAGAGGGCTTTCTGACACAGTTCCACTCATATGTAAAGTGTTTCTCCCATGCACACTGATAGAAACCACTTCTCACCTTTATTTTTAACTGTGACTGAAATCTAACTGGATAGAGATGACCTGCATTCTGGAAACTAGTGGCACTTCAGAAACAAGCTGCCACTTTTGATGACCCCTTTAGTTTCCCTTCCTTCCAATTCTGAGCCAAATTTAGCTCAGTGATTCATTTTAATTGATTTCACCTTTTTTTGCCTCTAGAACTGCAGTTCCCATGTTAGAAGAGCAGTTGTCACCTGCTTTTCAGCAGGGTGCTGTGATCCTCACGGAAATAGGCCTGTTCGGTACTGCAAAAGGTGCCACTCGAATCATCACAGTAACGAAGTGGGGGCTGCCTCGGAGACCCACCTCTATCAGACCTCCCCTCCGCCCATCAACACTCGAGAGTGCGGCGCCGAGGAGCTTGTCTGCGCCGTGGAGGCCGTGATTAGGTAACGGGCAGTTTATTAGTCGCTTGCTCTGAAAATACCGCCTTGGCTTTGAGCCACCCTTCTCACACTGAGATGTGCAAATTTAATTCAACTTCAAGTGCCCTCAGCCCAGCACAGTGTCACAGTGATGATGTTGTAATTCATTCATTCAACACGCATTTTTATCAAATGCCAGTTATGTGCCAGGCATGAGTTGGGCACTTGAGAGGCAGAAGAGAATAAAATGTAGTCTCTGCCCTCAGGTTACCCACCTAAGGCCTCTTAAAGCAGAAGCAGGCAATTGTGATCCAGAGCGGTGCGCGCGGCGATAGCTTGGCAGTGGGTGTTAGGGGGAGGGAAGTGGGGCACCAGTCCCAGCAGGGGTGGGGGGCCTGGGGCTTGACTGGCAGCAGTGAAGTGGTGGGGAACCCTGGGTTAGTCAGCACTGGGGTCAACCAGAAGGCTGTGGAGTAAGAGGGGCAGTCCTGCAGGCTCCTGGCTTTTTCTTCTATTATGTGACAAAGAAAGGAGTTTTAGAAATGGGGATGTCTAGACCTACTCTCTTATTGTGTAATACTCATTGAGGCAAGTTTCTTAAAAATTAAAGAAATAATATTAGAATGTAAGTTTTAAGAATAAGGGACAGTCTTTTCTGTTTCTCCCATCCCAGTGGCTGACACAGTAGAAATGCGATAAATGGTTGTCAAATGAGACATCACAGAAATTTGGAAATAGAAAAAAAAAATCAACTGTACCTGTTGATTCATCATTATCATCCATTTTGCACTTTTTTCTAGTTTTATTCAAATGCATGTTTTATTTCAATAACTATAATCACAGTGTATCCACAGTTCTTTTTGATATAACATTATACCATTAGCTCTTTTCAATGTTGTTGTGTAGTTTCCATATTTATCATTTTTAGTGGATACATAATATTTATCCAGGTTATTTTTCCCACCCTTAAATAGGTAGAATGCTTTTATTTTTTTACTATTATAAATAAGTGATACATATGTATGCATATGGTGCTGTTTCTATATTTTTTATTTCCTTAGGGTAGATGACCAGATGTGGGTGACTGGGTCAAAGGGTATGAATACTTTAATGGCTTTGATACAGCACCAAAGTGATTTTTAAAGAGCGTATACGAATTCATAATGCCAAAGGTGCTGTATGATATTGTTAGTTTTGCTACACCCTTGCCAATATTGGGTATTATTTTTAAAAACTGTCACTTGTTTAGCAAATTGGAAAGGGAGTCTTTGTTGCTCATTTTCAGGTTTTTGAATACTAGATATTGAATATTTTTCCTCTGGGTACAAGATCCTCAGTCTTTTGTCATCTTATACATTTGATGTCCACATAGCTTCACTCTAGATACAGGGGAAGCATTGACTTCTAGTAGGATGGGTGATGAACCAGAAGCCAGAAGGCATCAGTTCTGCTTTATTCTAATTGAGTGAAGGAAGTAGCCTCTTTGTGCCTCAGTTTGTTTATCTTTAAAATGGGAATGGATTACAAATAGTAAGGAAATGAAATTAGGCTTCTTGGAGTAACTCCTACCAATTTAAAAGATGCTTGATTACTCATAAAGTAATTGCTCTGAATAGGTCATCCTCTGGAATGTGTTTTTTGATAGTCTAACTTAAAATCTCTCCTCTTTGGCCCTGGTCCGTGTGGCATAGTTGGTTGGAGTGTCCTCCATACCCGGAAAGGTTGCAGGTCCCATTCCCAGTCAGGGCACAGACCCAGGTTGTGGGTTTGATCCCTGATTGGGTTGCTTACCGGAGGCGACCAATTGATGTTTCCCTCCTTCTCTTCCCCCCTCTCCCTGCCTCTCTGCCTAAAACCAGCCTTTAAAAAGCCCTGTCCTTTTTGGCAGCTTGTTGAAAGAAGCCGAGTTCCACGCGGAGCAGCGGGAGCATGAGCTGAGCCGCAGGCGGCAGCTGGGCCTGTCTTCTTCCCACCACTCCCTGGAGAACGCCGACTTCGATAACCAGGACGACGACAAGCACGACCAGCGGCTGCTCAGCCAGTTTGGAATATGGTTCTTAGTAAGAGAAGCCGCGCTGCCCTCCGCCCGCTCGCTCCCACTCCAACGTGCGCCCGGCCCTCTCCCTCCTGCTCGAACCCGCGCAACTGCGCAGGGCAAAGTTAGCCTCAGCCCTGGGGCCCTATGCCCCAGGACAGTGGCACCCAACCCCGGGCTGCATGTTAGATTCATCGGGGAGGCTTTTAAAACATGGCATGCCCAGATTTCACTCTAGATTCCCGGGAGCTTCTCAAAAGCTTTCTAGTTGGTTCTAATGAACAGCCAGGTGTTGAAACCTGCTTTGCCTGGCTCTAGACTATTTCAGCTGTACCTTTTGACAGGAAACAGATGGGAAAATAGCTTGGGTATATTCTGAAAGATTAGATTCAATATGATTTACAGGTCATTCTCACCCTATTGTCTGTATACATAAAATTTTTCTTGAAAGTTAAGTCTCTGTGGAGCTTTTTTTGTATTTATTGCAAGTCTGCCTATAGCCAAAGAAATTATAGCCACACTAACACAAGGAATTGGATTGACTGATTGAACTGCAACGTTTGTTCCGTAAAAATCAAACATACAGATCCAAAATTTCAAGCAAGCTGGATTTGCCAGTTCTGCAGAGAAGCAGACTTTTGTTTCTGCCCACTGGAGATATGAACTAAGTCTCCATAGTGATACATCTCTTATGCTTTCACATGGTTACCCAACCCAAAAAAGTCTTTTTTTTTTTTTTTAAACCAAATTGGGATTTAATTGTTGATTTCACATGTCTTGTTCCCAGAACTTATTGTCTAATGACACAGTGACTACTATTGTGAACGTTTTGAAGGCAAGGATAGGGTTTATTTATTTTTTATATTCCTAAGCCCTACTCCACTGCTCAATAAAAGATTATTTCAGAATAAGCGAATGAATGAATGATTAGTTGTTTTAAAACGCCTATTTATAATGTGGTGAATTGGAGGTGGGGGCTCGAACATTTCAGAATTATTCCTGATGGAAATTCTCAGCTAAATCCAGTCATGTTAGAACTGAAATGTGTATAGTTATTTTTTTCACGGAAGATATTTAGGAAATTTCACTTTGTAGACGTAGCTTTCTAAAAGCATCTATGTAGTGCAGATTATGTAAAATATTTCTTATAGGAGAAAAGGCTTATTGGGAGGTGCAGTCTTAAGGGGAAATGATTGTTGCAATCCCCTCTCCTTGAAGAGAGAAACACAATTTCTAAGATAAGTGATCTTCCATCATTTAGAAAACTGTCTATTTGAAATGGATTATGTGGGACATATTTCTTTTTCTTCTGACTTTAAATGAACATGTAATAATTATGTAAAGATGGATGGAGGCTGAAGCAGAGTCTAATCTGTCTATTTCCAGGTGAGCCTCTGCACACCCAGCGAGAACACACCTACGGAAAGCTTGGCCAGGCTGGTGGCCATGGTGTTCCAGTGGTTTCACTCCACAGCATATATGATGGATGATGAAGTTGGAAGTTTGGTAGAAAAACTGAAGCCTCAGTTTGTTACCAAGTGGTTGAAGACAGTATGCGATGTTCGCTTTGATGTCATGGTCATGTGCCTTCTTCCCAAACCAATGGAATTTGCCAGGGTAAGTGGAGGCCTACAGCTCAGGCCTGGCTGGAGAGGAGAACTTGGGGAGAAGCTCCGCCTTAGCCATTAGAGTGTTATCAGTGTCTGCAGAACAGGAACACTTTGTATTTTAGTCAGTTCAGCTGAACGAGTTTAGTGTGTACATTTTAGGTGATGTCCTGCTTTGGTGTTGGTTTGGGATGGGGAAGAGCAGAAGATGAATGTGTGAGGTATCTTTAAGAATTTAAGGGGATATTCTTTCCTGACATTGCTGAATATTTTCATCAAGAAACAGAAACAAAACGCCTCCCTGTGAGGTTGCTAGAGCTCAGTCCTTTTCTGGTCTGTGAAAGGCGACCGTTTACTTTGGGCAATTTCTGTGGTTTCACATATATTTCTGTTAATGAAAGGTAGAAGTCCTTGCCCTCCCATTTGGAATGTCAGACAGGTTCAGGAGCTGCCCAAACCTTTTTTGGTTTTTCCTCTGGCTATAGGACAAAATTCTTTGTGCTTCTTCCTCTGGATCCCAGGCTTCAGATGTATGGCTGAGAAGACCCCATATTTCTTAATTACAATATAATCAGTTTTTAGCAGCAATATATGAAAAATTTTTCAAGGTATTTTCTAAGTGTGTGTGTGCGCATGTGTGTATGTGTGTGTTTTGGTTTCTTTCTATGGGGTCTTGAGGCAATTTTCAATTTAAATAAGCCATTTCAGAATAAAAGAGAACACAGACCATCTAAAGGCATAAGTAGCATTTGTTAGATTTTCAGGACTTGAGTGTTCTGTGCATTTATCAAAATGCACTTCTTCCTTCTTTGGTGCCACCTATTGACTCACATATAAAACTGGATTTTTGCATAATGGAAATTTCCATTTCCTGGCATTCTTTGACTGTGTTGATATATTCCCTATTATTATTTCTTTCTGAATAGTAAAGGGCTGGTGTCATCTGACTCTGGAAGATAAGAAGAAATGATTATGTTGGGAGGAAAACTTTTCTATCTTGGGTTCAGTGGTTGGGGGCCTGCATATTAATTGGCAACACACATATTAATAAGAGAAGAGATAAAGTTTATTTACTCTTATATGCAGGAGTACTAAGAGATGAGTAACTTTCTCAATACCCACAGATACAAGGTTTTTAATACTTGAATGGGAAGATAAGGAAAATTCTTTTGGGCTTTTTGATGCTAATGGCACTGAGTTGTGTGTCCCCAAGGGCAGCTGAATCAGTTACATGAGGTAGGTTTTCAGTGAGGCACCAGATAGGGGCGAGTGGTATTCACCAGATTAATACAGGTTCAGACTTGGAGCCAGTGCTGGGTCTGAGGCCACTTAGCAAATGACCCAGGGTATACCAAGTCTAGCTGCAACCTGCTGGGTGCTTGCACAACTTTGTGGTGGGGCAAGATATCGGAGTCATCAGCGTGAGGCCAGCAGAGCTTATTAGACCCAAACAAACTAAGATTTGGCCATGTGAAGGGCGGGCTCTGTATCAGTGGGGCATGTGAAAGAGAAATGGCCCCCTTCTTAGAGGCACACAACTCAGTCTGTCCCAGATTCTGCCAGGAGCCTGATCTCAGCAGGGCGGGGCTGCTGGGATTCTGGATGATAGAGCTTATGGATCTCCTATGAGGGGAAGGTGCCAATAAGGTTCATGGAAAAGTGGGGGGAATGGCCTCCACCCCAAAACCACACAATTCAGTCAGTAACACCCCTGAGTCTGCCCAGATCCCTACATCCTGGCCCAGGCAGCTGACTCCTCAGTAGGGTGCAAGCTCTGCAGGGTAGGGTGACAGGAAGTCTAGAGGGTGGGGCTATTGTATTGCCCCAGGCTGATGCTGTAAGGAGGGGAATGCTCCACCCAAGAAAGGTGGCATCTGTGTTGTGGGAGAGTGACTCAGTACAGATGTTCTGGGGCTGTCGTTTCAGCTCTCTCCCCAGAGTTACAAGCCCAGGTCTCTCCTCATGCGACTCTAGTCCACTCCTCCCTGCCTCCACTGGTGAGTGGCTGCAAATGTGATTTTGTGTATTAGCTCTTTAAGAGGGCACCTGTGTCTCTAGTAGACTCTTATCTCTCCCTGGAGGACAGAATTCACGCTAATTTTCACAGATGTTATATAGGTGCCTCTTCCCAGCTCTGGTGCTCTGAGCTGGGGATCTTGGCTTGGGATTGAGACCCCACACTTCAGAGAGAACCTTTGCAGCTGAGGTATCCTTCTGGAATCTAAGCCATGCCCATGGGAGTGGGGCCAGCCCTTTTCATGTCTCTGCCTTTCCTAACAGTCTTGATGTGGCTTTGTACCTTTGTACCACCTGAGTCAAAGGGGGCTGGTTCTCCCCTCCTCTGCTCTTGTTGTGCTTGCAAGAAAGAATTCAGATGAGTGACAGAAAGCAGTATTGAAGCAAAGCAAACGAATTTATTAAGGAAGCAAAGCAGGTGAATTTATTAAGAATACACTTGGCATAAAGCATAAGCGGGCAACTCAGCTAGTCTGAGTGCCCCACCTGGTGAGGGTTCAAGGGTTTTATACTTTTCCTCCCTATAGGTTTCAAGGTTCCCCTTTTACATAGTTGTGGCTTTTCTCAGAGCTCATGAGAACATCTGGTGATTTTTATCTTGGCAAGTTCCTTGTTCAGTGGGTGAGATAAACTCCCCCTTTTTTCCCTTCCCCACCTTGCCCTCCTCCTGCCCTAGTGGCTATTTATCCTGCCAGGCATACTCTCCTCAAGTGATACCATCCAAATGATTTTGGGGTTTTGTTATTTGTCCCTCAGACTTCATCTGTCCTTGGGTTTAGCTGGCACAAATGGTATTAAATGGGTCTTTGTTCTCTATTTTCCCAGGCCAGGGTGATTTAAGCTATGTATTCTCTGGTTAGGGAAGAGAGGTATAAACCTTTTGCCCTCAAAGTGTCTTTGGTTGGGGAAGATAAGGTCTTGTGATTCATAAACTGGCTGTAAGCTGCCCAAACTGTTCGGCTTTGTTTAATTTTCTTGTCTCAGCTTCCCCATTCCACTTGCCCAGGAATTTTTTTAGCTCCTTACTGTCCTGCCACAGCTTCCTCTGTAAGTCCTTGGTTATAAGGCTTCTCCTCAGCTAGTCTTCAGTTGGTTATTCAGGTTGGTTGCTCTATATTTTAGTTGTAATTTCAATTTGGTCCTGGGAGGAAGTAAATGTAATATCCACCTACTCCACCACCATCTTGGATCTAAAAATCCTTTAAAATATAAAAACCTTTTCCAAATAAAAGGATCTGTTTTCTGGCCATTGACTGTTTGGGGTCTCCACAGGGATATCTGTTCCAAAATGTGACTCAAATCCAATAGGCCTTTATGTGGCTTAACCATGAATTTCATAGCCAAAGAGCCTCAACAAGGATACCTTCCCTGGTCTCATCATTATCAGTCAGCTTAACTAACAGCAACAAGTCCAGAAATTTGGTCACTTCCTGAAAATATCTAGTTAATCATCAAGGATTTTGGCCAGTATGATACCAAAAAGATAGTTGAGCTTTAAATAGAATTGATTTATCTAGAATACTCTGGAATTCTAGATTTAGTAACTAAACATCTAAAGTTAGATTCATTTAAAATAAGGCAGTGTCCCACAAATTTTGTGTTACATGGTAAAGAGTCAGGACCAGTTAACCCCTTGTTACTTTGATATGTATAATAAGAATATAGGAATTTATCTAAAATTGGAATTAGACACAGAGACTAAATTATGATTTTAACTTTTTCTGCACTAAAAAATTAATATACTATTTTAATTAGGGAAAAATACCAGTATTTTTTATTCATAGATTCAACCAGCCTTTGAGCATATTTAGGAAAAATGTTGTGGCAGCATATACAGCATAGGGAACAGGAGCTCTTTGTGCCACTTTGTTTTCCACAATGAACAATCTTCAATACAAAGTTTATAGTAGTAGAAATCTCTTTTTCTCTCAAGTATAGGTATAATTGCACATATTTGTAATGGGTTTGTCAAACATGAGAAATAAAATGCTCCAATAGAATTCCTGTTAGGAATACATCTTTGGAATTTTAATTCATCTGTGTTTTGGAAAGTCCACAATGGAATAGCTCACATTCAGTTGTGATTAATATTTGGATGTATTTGTAACTATGGTGTTTTTTTTAAACTAATGGATCTGGATGGTTTGTAGATTCTTACAGGTCTCACTCTGAGGATACTTGGCCTAGGATTCAGATATAATGGATTGTGGCCTTTCTCCGTACCCATTTCCTTTAGGAAATCTTTGTGTATAATTGAAATAAGTGCATTCTGTTCCTTTCTCCTGCTGCTGTTGAACTGCATTCAGGTCGGTGGATACTGGGATAAGTCTTGCAGCACAGTGACTCAGTTGAAGGAAGGCCTCAACCGAATCCTCTGCCTGATCCCCTACAATGTGATCAACCAGTCTGTGTGGGAGTGTATTATGCCAGAATGGCTGGAAGCCATCAGAACGGAAGTCCCAGATAACCAGTTAAAAGAATTCAGGGAAGTATTAAGGTGGGTAAGTAGTTTGATGAAGTCACCATAATTATAATGATATCTAACATTTATTGAGCATGTACTGTGTGCCAGGCACTGTGCTAAGCATTTTATATAATCTTGCTTACTTTTTAACAAAACCCTATAGAGAAACTTGAAAAATGGAACAGTTGCTATAAATCATGTTAAGATGATTTGGAATTGTTCAGAAAAGATTTTGTTCTTGTGGAATAATAGATATACCATATTGTTTGCTTATTTTCAAACATAATTCTAGTTTGGATAAAGTGGGAAAAGTACAAAAGGAAAATGTTTTTAGATGCTGGGAGGCAACTCCCATTCTTTAGAAATGCATTGCCTTCTGTTAAGCCTAATGTGACTATGAACACTAGAGCTATTAACAAGCATATGAATTATTTATAAGATATCTATTCCAATGACATAAGCTGTTCCTGTAATAGACGAACATGAAGTGTTTGGCTTCCCGAATAACACGTTAGAAATGCAACAGGAGATTCTACTCTGTGCCCACCGGTCATTTACTTTTGTTGCTCTGCTTTCCAGCAAAATGTTTGACATTGAGCTCTGTCCTCTACCTTTTTCAATGGAAGAGATGTTTGGCTTTATCAGCTGTCGGTTCACAGGATACCCTTCTTCTGTGCAGGAACAAGCTCTTCTGTGGCTTCATGTAAGTGAATGATACTTTGATCATTTTGGGCACTAGTTCTTAGCCTGTGAACTTTTAGATCCCCAGGTAGAGGGGCAGGGAGTTACTGCAGAGTCCATAAATTTGTATGTTTGCTGTATTAGTCTGCTCTCTGTAAACTAATAATTCATATGCATAGATAAGTACATTTCAAATATATGTAGCTATAGTTGTGATTTATTAATAAAACACAAATTCATGCAGTACTGTTATTGAATTCATGTTAGCTTTTGGTCCTTATGTGTCTTTCCATCAATAGATACTAAAAGTATAGTAGCTGTTTTGTGGGATTCTGATACATCTTTTGATATTAAATAGGTCTTTTACTTGGAAAGGCTGAGAGCTACTGACTTAAGGAGTAGTTCATGCTGTTCACTCAGCCTAGAATGACTTTCTGCCCTATTTCCATTTGTGAACTCCAGCTTATCTTTTAAAATCCAACTAAAAAATTATCTCATCTATGAAGTTTTCAGTTTCTTTACCCCCATCTTCCCATCAGAATTCATTATTCCCTCTCCCAGTATTCATACAGGTTCTCTGTGTGAATACTATTTCTGTCTAGTATTATAGTTAGTTTTTGTCTCTCCGCAAGATTATAAGTGCCTTGAGGGCAGGGACTACGTCTTTTTCATTTTTAAATTTATAAGTCCATCCTTTCTTCTCATTCTCTGGCATGTGTTTTGAATTTAGTAGATGTTCTTAAAAGTTTCTTAAATTGAGTTGAATAACCTGACATGAAGTTTGGGCAGTTTCAAACAGGAAGACAGACCCAGTGTTTAGATTAGCTATGGGTGCTGATACATTTCTGTTTCATGGAAGGATGTGATCCCTAAAGCTTTTCAAGTTGCGAAGATGCAATTCTGGGCTCTAAACTAAGAAACCATATTTTTCACAACTGTCAAAGAATAAAGGGGATCATTTTTTTAAAAAGTCACCTTTGGGACCTAGAATTTTAACTTTTTATCCCCAGGTAGGTCTCAATAAGATAACTTCTCATTTTGGGAAAGCCAGTTCTTCTACAGATGGCTAGGTGCTGTTACCATTACACACCCTTTGAGCTGTGCCATCTGGGAACAGGGCTGTAAACCTCTGTCCCCAACATGGCTAAAACAGTTATAGTTTACATGTTTTATGGACTGGGCTTTGCTGTAGTTTTGGTGAAGGCAGTGCTGCAGTTGAAGGATTTAAGCCACCGGTCTAACCATTTGGAGAACAGGTTAATAATATAGAGATAGGAATGGACTCATTTATTAATTAATTGTGGAAACATTTATAGAGCTCCTCTGTGCCAGTCAGTGTAATAGGCACTGGGATACAAAATGGGAGAAGGAATCCTCATACTTTCACTCTTCAGAGAGCTCACAGGGGCAGAGATAGTATCAAATGATCAAATATAATGCAAAGTGATAATTGCTCTAATAAAGTATGTGGGAAGTTCTCAGGAAGCAGTGAAGAGGATGGGTTAATTCTAAGGGGGGGCATCTATTTCCAAATATTTATTACAGATCAGATAGCTTGACTTTGGCAGGATACCTGAGCACGCTCCAGGGAACAAGAGTAGATGGGCGTTCAGATGGGAGCAGGGATGGACTGGAGGAGAGTGCTCACAGATTATACTAGTCCAGGAGAAAGGTGATGCGCTAAGGCACTTGCAGTAACTTGCAGTAGCATGGAAGGGAGGGGGCAGCATCAAGAGGCACTTCGAAGTGTCAATAGAAAGAACATGGTGATTTACTCGATGTTGGGAGTAGGAGAAAAGGAAGATTCAGTGGTAATGTTGATTTTATTAATACAAAAAATTGAGGATGACTGTGCCGATAGAATATGTGGAAGTCTAAATGTCCTTATGTTCAATAGTTTACTTTGAAAAAAATGCTAAATGGTTTTTTTTGAATTTTAAAGTTTATATTTTGGGGGGATATCTGTGCCTTTCTTCCTCAGGTATTATCGGAGTTAGACATCATGGTTCCACTTCAGCTATTAATAAGTATGTTTTCTGATGGAGTTAATTCTGTCAAAGAACTGGCAAATCAAAGAAAATCAAGAGTCAGTGAATTGACAGGGAACCTTGCAGCTCGAAGGGTAATTATCCCACATCTGTTTTTGTCTTACTTATTGAGATTTTGTCGATGATAATGGGCCTAAAAGTAGCATCATGTAAGCTCCTCTGAAAATGATTTTTTATCCCATCTCTCTCTGGACCCTTTTAAGCACATTAAATAATAGAAAACTTTAAGTTGTGTTTGGTTAAGTCTGTAATCAATAAGTTAAGTTACTGAGTCTTCATTTCCTTCATACCTATTAGCGATCTCTTACCCTTGATGACAGAAAAAAACCAAAAACAAACCCCAAAAAACCAACAACAATAAAAAGAAGCATTTTGGGTACTTTTTTTGGTCTCCTGGCAAATTAGAATTCCTTACCAGCTATTGAGCAGCTCACTGCTTTACTTTGAGGATGAAGAGGGGATGTTTTTGCCCAGATTGCGGGCTCAGTCCCCAGTGGGGGCAGGCAAGAGGCAGCTGATCAATGTTTTTCTAATCGATGTTTCTCTCTCTCTCCCTCCATTCCTCTCTCTCTCTAAATTTTTTTTTTTAAATTAATAAAAACATATATTTTTTAAAAAAGCTTGGATTTCTTTTTTTAAATTGTGTTTTGAGAAGATATGATCAACTGGTGGTGACCATGAGTGATGCTATCACTGTGAATCAACTAAGCCCATTTTTATTGACCCCTTTGTATCTTTGTGGATGCGAAAAGTCAATATAGCCTTGTCCAAAGTGTTTGAAAACTGTTGGAATTTCTTTTTAAATCTTTACCCGAGGATCTGTTTCTTATTGACGCTAGAGAGGAAAGGAGAGAGAGAGAGAGATAGAGAAAGAAACATTGATGTGGGAGAGAAACATCGATCTGTTGCCTCCCGTACACATTCCAACCGGAGATCGAACCTGCAACCTAGGCATGTTCCCTGACCAGGAATCAAACCCTCAACCTTTCATTGTGTGGGACAACACTCCAACCAGTTGAGCCACCTGGCCAGGGTGCGTTGGAAATTTTGATACTTTTTCTGTGGGGACCTGATAGAATTTTGGTCGATGTAATGACATTCCCAAACCATGATCAGTTTTGGAGAGGTTGACTCACATCTGATGGTGGATGAAGGTTGTTCTCATTTCTCTCCTGGTCAAGCCTCTCCTTTACATCTTCTCCACTGTATACCACACGCCCCAGTCATTCCACCCAATATCTGGGGACTGGAAAATATAGCAATCATGGGATCACAGTTTGTATTCAGTACTTTTTTTAAAATTTGCCTCATGGGAACCAGCTGCCATTTATATTTTGTTTCTTCCCTTCTTCTGTAACCTTTAATGTTACATTACTTCATTAGCACTTTATACCTTGTAATGTGTTCACAATTAATGACAGCACAGAATTGTGTGAAGCTTTGGGGAGGAACTCACTGTCCTCATCTTACAGCTTCTTAACCTGAGGGTCTGTGAACGGAAGTGATTTGCCATAGGTAACACTCAATAGCCAGGTATTCTGATTCTTAACGGGGTACTCATCTTTATTTTATATGGTTTTCAAGGAGCTTGCTTGTTATTAGAGAAGTCTTTAAGAGTGAAAATATGATTTGAGAGTGACGTACAGGTATGTCATTCAGGGTTCTGCTGCAGAATTTATCCCAGATGGTTCAAATGAAGGGACTTTCATGGAAACTCTGCCTGTAGAGTTACGGGAAAAGTTAAGGGAGTAATAAGGGTTGGTGAACTAGCAGTTGAGTAAGAAACAGTTATTCCCCTAGGGCTGAGGGAACAAGGGAAAAGAATTCCTGGAGCCCATTGGGAGCTGTAATTATAAGGATGAGCTGGCTAGAGGAGCTATAGGGTGATGGAGAGACTGCCAGAGATGTAGCATCAGAGCATGCCAGTAGTGGGGAGAAATAGTCCTACTTCTCTCTTCTTCAGCTTCAGGTCTTCTGCTGGTGCCTCCCATTGACTTAACACAACTGGAAGCTAGCCAGCAGGAGAGCCTTGAGCGACTCAGTCCTTGACACCTTTGGGTGTAGGTGCAGGGAAGAGCAGGGCAGTGAGGGCCTAGATGGGGTATGTGGGGGCGGGGGTTGGGTTGGCACATGGAGAGTAACCAGGAAACAGGTTTGTCTTATGTTGTTTTCCCCTGGTAGTTTACTAGTTATAATACCTAGAGGCCGTTCTTTAACCAGTCATGCCGATCTGACAATCTGTGCTTATAATTCTAAAACCGATCTTGCGATGTTTTACTTTTGTAAGTTCTCATTTTTTTAGGTTATGGTTTTAGGTAGATATAGACAATTTAGTTTAATTGGAAATGTTTGATGGGATGAAAAATATAATGACAAAGACAGCTGCCTTCATTCTTCAGAGTGCTGATGTTTTATTCACCTGACAGAAAGTTTGGGTAAACTTATTTCTTATATTTATATTTTGCAAAGATTTATAGTATTTGGAGGTACTAATGCTAAGAAAGGAAATCAGCGTGACAACTGGAAATACCTTTCACAGGCCCCAGTATTATATACAGCCATTTGAGCCTCTGCAAGTTCACTTATGTGTGTTGATGTTCTTTCTTCTAGGTGAGTGTCGCCTCTGATCCTGGTCGACGAGTTCAGCACAATATGCTGAGTCCATTTCATAGTCCTTTTCAGAGTCCATTTCGGAGTCCTATGCGTAGCCCTTTTCGTAGCCCTTTCAAGAATTTTGGACACCCAGGAGGAAGGACTATTGACTTTGATTGTGAAGATGATGAAATGAATCTAAATTGTTTCATCCTCATGTTTGATCTTCTCCTGAAGCAGGTAGCTGAAGCATGAGCTTCCTTTAGTTCAGAGATACAGGATGAGCAGGGCATTGTATAGTGATTTTTTTCTGTGTTGGACATCTTTACACTTACTGAAATGATGCAGCGTCACTCAAGACATTTCTCAAACTCTCTTGGGGATTTCCTAAAGAGCCTGAAAAATACTTGTATGAATTTCTGCAGTGATATTGACCTATGAGAATGGATATGAATTTTAGAAACATCCTAGCATCGTTAGAATTGATTCTGTTGAATGCATTTGGTGAACAAACTGGGTAATGCAATTGTTGGGAAGAGCAACGTACAACGCTATAGTGATGGGCTGAGTTTAATATATTTCATAAATTGATTTTTGAAGGTAATTTTAAAAGAGAAGTTTAAAAGGTTTGGTCTTAACTTTTTATTTTGAAATAATTTTAGACTTGCAGAAAAGTTGCAAGAATAGTACAAAGAATACTTCTCCCCTAAAATTTTCAGATATTAACATTTAGCACATTCATTTCTTTCTCTTTCTCTTATTCTGTGTATGTATGTATGTAATTTTAATGAAGCATTTGAGAGTAAGTTGCAAGCATGATATTCCTTTATCCTTAAAATTTCAGTGTATTCTCTAAAAAATAAGGACATTTTCTTTCATAACCAAGGACAGTTATCAAAATCAGGGAATTAATATTGTTATAATACTATCTAACTTACAGAAACATTTTATTTTTAAAATTGATATAACAATCATCTTTATAACAAAAGAAAAAAAAATATTTTTGATTGAGGACACAATCCAGCATCACTTATTGCAATTATTTCTCCTGCCTTAGTCTTATTCCAGGGTAGTTCTTCAGTCTTTGTTTATCTGTTATGTTCTTGACATTTAAAAAGAGTCTAGTTATTTTGTAGAATACCTCTCAATTTGAGTCTCATGTTTCCTATGAATCGTTTGGGTTGAGCACTTTTTGGCATTAATACCACAAATGTGATGTTATGTTCTTTTCAGTGCATCATATCAGAAAGCACATGACAGTAATTAGTGGTGATAACTTATTGGTGGTGACTTGGTTAAGGTGATTTCTGCAGGTTTCTCTACTACAAAGTCATAATTTTTCCTTGTGATTAATAAGTGCTTTGTAGAGAGATACTTTAAGACTGTGAGATTTCCTGTTTCTCATCAGACTTTTACCTACTAGTATAACATCCATGGGTGATTCATGCCCAAATAAATTATTACTATGACGGTTAGCAAATGATAATTTTCAGATTTCATCATTTAAAAAAATTTGTTAGTTGGCATTCTACTGAAGGAACAGTTTTCCCTCCTCTCCCATTTATATATTTGTTTGTTTATCTACTTACACCCTCATGTACTCATGGATGCTTATTTTATTCAGTGGGTTATAATCAATTGCTATGATTCTTTATTTTGATGCTTATATTGCCCCCTATTTGGCTTGTGGGAGTCCCTTTGAGTTGGCTCCTGTGTACTTTCAACACAGTCCCATCATTCTTTGAATGCTTCCTTAATTGACAAGATGTTCCAGGCTCCTTTTATATTTTCCTTGCCCCAACCCTGAAACCAGCCGTTTCTCCAAGGATCCCTGGTTCCTTTTAATGAATAATGGTATTTAGAAATCAAGATCTGGATATTAGGTGAGGAGCAGCATTTTTTTAAGTGTGTAAAACCTCACAGAGTGATAAGTTTTAAATGTCCTACATGATTTAAAAAATAATTTTCATTACTTTGTCTTATGTTTATAGTCTTTTAAGAAGACTCCATGGAAATCAATGTATATTCACGGTCTATTAGCCTTACCATCTTTAAGTAATTTAATATTGTCCATTAATGAAAAGTTCCCCCAATTAGTGTGCCAACGGAATAGTGGACAAAAGGACCAAACTCCCTCTTCTTTTTTTTTTGGCCTTTTTTTTGGTGTCTTTCAGATGGAGTTACAAGATGATGGGATCACGATGGGTTTAGAGCACAGCATATCGAAGGACATTATTTCCATTATAAACAATGTCTTCCAAGCCCCCTGGGGGGGCTCCCACTCCTGCCAGAAGGACGAAAAAGCAATTGAGTGTAATTTATGCCAGTCCAGTATTCTGTGCTATCAGCTCGCTTGTGAACTCCTGGAGAGACTGGCTCCTAAGGAAGAAAGCCGGCTGGTGGTAAGCAGTTGAAGTGAGGTGGCCCATGTCTAAGAGTAATAAAGACTGTAGTAGTGGCTGTAATAGAGTCTTTCTCCAGTACTACCTTATGCACCATGCTGGGTTATACCTGAGACTGTGTTAAAAGAAAGTGTTCCTGTTCCTTCCACCCACTCAGGCTCCTGGAAAAGAATATTAGATGGAGCTACATTATATAGAGTTCTTGGGTTAGAATTCTTGAGTTTGAGTTAGCCTTTGTAGCACATCCATTCACACAGTTTTCACAAATACAAAACATTCCTGATATTCTTGAAATAACTTTTATCAGAGAGTCATTACAAAGTTTAGATAACAGTGAATACTACAAAGTATACGTATCAAATACTGAGTAAGTAGATTGGCTGTGGACACTGAGAATTCCTAGGTAACCTCAGTTTCAAAACCTATTGACTTCATCAACAGCCAGTGAAATCTTTATTTCATTTAAAATTGTTCAAATAAGAAACAGCTAATATGGAATAAGGAATAGCATGTATTAGCTGCTCCGTACATTAGTTATTTCCAGTCCCTGCCACCTTGGAGGATAACACCAGAAACATGGGTGACCGGGTGTATGCAGAGGGTCACTGTGCAGCAGGAAACATCATCATATCAAACTTCACGAAACTCAGTTTATAATTTGATTTAGCGTTTTGTCCATGGGCAACCTGGGAACAGGGCAAGCCTTCGAAAATTGTAACGTGGTCAAAGATATTCAGAGCCCTCCTAACCACTTGTTTATTTTTTTCTTCCTCGTGTCCTTTTATCCCATCAATCTTAATGTCTTGCTTTGAGCTAGCTGTCAAATAATTCTCAAAAAAATGTTTACTGGTTAAACTGTTAGCTAAAAGAGGATATTTGAAAGTAGAACTTGAAAGAAAAAAAAAAAAACTGGAACAGGAGGATAACTAGAGAGAGATATTTTAAATATAATGATATCTAGCACTTTCTTTCACCTACTTTTGCAGCTTATTTTAATATATAAAATGCATAAATATATATAATTATAAATATATACATAAGTATATTCACATTATTTTATAATCAATCCCCAGAACTTTTTCATCTTGCGAAACTGAAACTCTATACCCATTAAACAATTACTCCCTGTTTCTCTTTCCCTTGGCCCCTGGAAACCACCATTCTATTTCCCTTTTCTACGAGTTTCACTACTGTAGATAACTCACACAAGTGGAATCAGACAGTATTTGTCCTTTTTATAACTGACTTATTTCACTTACCATAACATCTAAAAGGTTCATTCATGTTGTCACATGTGTCAGAATGCCCTTCCTTTTTCAAGGTTGAATAATACTCCATTGTATGTATATACCACATTTATCTATCTGTTTACCTCTTGATGTATACTTGGGTTGCCATACCTAGTTCTAACTCGTATAGTATAGCAATTTCTTATTCCTAAAATTTTGACTTCTCCAGACAATCAGTATTTGTATTTTAAATATTGATGTGAACCCCTTATTATTCCCTGCAAATTAAGTAGTTATTGAACAAAATGTGCATGGATTGGGATCATTTGGTGAGTAGGACACAATCACAGGGATTAAAGCAGAGATGGGAAAACAATGTTTTTGATATTATCCCGTATTTATTTCAAGGGAATGAAAATGTTTCATTAATAGCTGTTCCAAATTCCCATTAACCATTACTGAAATAAGCTCAAATCTCTGCAGAGACAGGCGCCTCTGCACCCCAGGGCTCAGCGCAGGGCCGGGACCCAGCAGGCGCTCAACTGGTCTTTGTTGCAAAACGATCTTTACAAGCCCACAGGGCCGCTCATCTGGCTGCTTGTCATATTTGTTTCAGGAGCCCACAGACAGCCTTGAGGATAGCCTCCTTTCTTCCAGACCAGAGTTTATTATAGGCCCTGAAGGTGAAGAGGAGGAGAATCCGGCCTCTAAGCATGGGGAGAACCCCGGCAATCACACCGAGCCCATGGAACATGCTGGTAGGTGGACTCGGGCTGCCGGGAGAGAGCGAGCGGTGTGCACATCACAGTTTGCACAGGCCCAGCACTCAGAGCCCTGGTTGCTTAGATTACCATGGACTTGCACGAGTTCAGACTTGGCTCCCTTAATATAGACTTGTGCCAGTGAATCGTTTCCCCCAGATTAGGAAGGGAACAGATCCAGGATGTGTTTCTAGTGGAACAGAGGTCACTGAGCATCTTTCTGGCAGCAGCAACTTGTTGTCAACAAAACCCCGTGGTGTTAGTGTAGAAAACACCACCTACCTCCTTATGGTGTATCGTGTTCTCTGTGCAGAAGTAGCTGTGAGCCAGGTGAGAGGCAGAATGGAAGGTGCTTACACTCTCCACAGCCACTCAGGGCATTTGGCCAGAGCAGAGTGTGTTGGGACAGAAGCGATGGAACTTGAGCTCCTGTGGCTCCTGTGTCCCTGGCGTGTGACCAGGACTCTGGACAGGCTCACTATGGATAGATGTGCAATTTGTGCTCTAAGGCTGGTTGGCTTGGCTCCGAGCTGGGAGAGAGGCTGGCCTCTTTCCAGGTGCTTAAAGGCTCTGTGTGGGCTAACTGGGGACAGCAAGATGGCAGGCAGGCCCGGAGTCAGACTCTAGCTCCTCACGCTGAAGGCGCTTCAGGAAGTTAGGATGTGATTCCAGGTGCCTCTGGGAAAGCCTGATTTCTAGGTCTGCATTGCGGCACTCTGGGAATGTATACAGGACCTGGAACAAATCTGAGCAGCTTTTAATCTTCCTGCTTCCACTGTCCTGAACTAGGCTGGCTCCTGGGAGGCCCATCCCCAGAAGCAAAGTTTGGGCAGCATGGGCTTTCTATCAGTCCCTCAGTGAACAGCACATATTGTTGTGTGACTATCGTGTGGGGTTCATTGTAGGTCCTGGGTGTCGTAGTCAGACCAAGGTGACTACATCGTTACTACAGAACTCTTGGTTGGAACTAACTGCTTCTGCGTGCATGGTATAAATGGTCAGTTGACTGTGGCTATCCTGGCTCACTATTTAGAACCATTGACACTTAGAATTTGAAGGAACACCTGAGATGACCCACTTCATTGGTTTTCAGTGTGTACTAGGAGTTGTACAGGCTCTCTGTTGTTTCCTTTGGACCTTCATTATTTGGGCCGGCAATTGGTAGGAAGACGTGGGTAAATGATGAAGACTCAGGCTGCCCACCCTGTTTCACCCAGATTCTCTGACTTGCTCTATTTCATGCATTGGAGATCTGGGTAAAGTTTCCTTTGAACAGAGTATTCCATAGAAAATAAATTTGAGACCTGCTGACTCTAGTTCAGACTCCTACTTTGCAGGTGAGGAGATACATCCCAGAGGAGTTAAACAACTTGCCTCTTCTCATGAAGCTCGTATTATTCGATCCTTATTTATGCTTTATGCTTACCATGCTGCCAGAACGGTACTGGAGCAGCTGGATCGCCTGAGGAGTTGAAACACAAACAAAGTGAATGAGCTCCGCCCACTCACCCCCAATTCTGAGTATCTCTGGGGTGGGGCCTGGGAATTGGATATCCAAATATTATAAAACTAGTTAGTGTCAGGGTTGAGACTAGAACCTATGTCTCCTGGTTTACTTAGAATTAATTATACTTACTGAGGCCCAGGCCCAGGCTGCGTTAATGTCCAAAGGAAGCAAGGATTTCACTTATGATCCAGTAACCTGTACTCTTTATATGCAAACATATTTTTAAACCTAAGATAGCACACAAATCAATTAACTGCCACTTTTATTTCTTTATATGTGAGGTTTTCTTTGAACGATGCTTAAAATTAAGCCATTTATTTTCATAAATGACTCTTTTCCTTGCGCAATTATTACCAACTCTACTTGTTTAAGCATTTCCTCTATTTTTCTTCCCCAGACACGGAGTCAGGCTCCCGTCACAGCTTCTGGTCCATTCTCCTACGTTTACTCTCTGCTGTCTTGCAGGATGCAGTGATAAATTGTCCCCTCAGGGAGGTCTCCATTAATTTCCTTTCAAGACCAGCCTCCCCTGCTGCTCAGCACCCAGTCCTGCTTCTGCTTTGTGGGCCTTCAGGCAGTGGTCTTGAGCTCCTCTGCCACAGAACAAACGGCTGCTCTGCCTCCATGTTCAGTGATTCCTCCTTCCTTTCAGAGTTTTTCCTATTTCTGCGTTTTGTGGCCTGGTGCCTATTTCTTCTGGCAGTCAGATATCTCTTCCATTAAAAATATTTTTAAAACTTTCACCCTAGACAAAACAGAGTTGAGTGCTGATAACAAGTATTTAAAACACGTTAGGGTGGAAGATCTCCAATAAACTATCTAGTATATACACCAAGGGGGTTTGACTCCCATTGTTTCTGATCCTAGGAATTGTCAAAGCTTCTAACAGTGATTTGAAAACATTTTACACTAGTTTCGACATCTGGTTACCTTGTGAATTCTTTTTCCTAGCATGCTTCATGTACAATACACTGCCACCCTTTACCATAGGGGCAGAGATTTTAGAGATCCTCATAAGAAAATAAAGCCATGAGTAGCTGTTCTGATTTGAGTATACTCAGCTTCTTTAAAATACTGGCTTTTTGAGTGAGTCTATGGGATAAATCCCTCCTAATACCACTTGAATACCTCTCTTTAATACCGGCTTATCTCCCTTTCAGTTAGGAATGCATACCTAGCCAGGTCCCAGGCCCCTACAGGTAGCAGCAGAACTGGCAGCCCACAGGGTCATAGGGGTGGCCTGGGGTCGCTTCAGGTAGCCAAAGGCATCTGAGTACAGGATGGACTACACGGTGGAAAATGGAAGATGAGAACCCCAAATCTAGAAGGTTTCTCCCTTCACTTGCATTATAGAAGGGATATATGCTAACCTGGAGAGCAAATCAAAACATTAAAATGCATACACCAAAATGCAAAACACTAAAAATGCATACATCCTATGTCTGTTTTTACTCCTCTTGGCTTTATGACCTGATCAGTTCATGAACGGTGGGGGAAGGGAGGAGTTATGCTAACCTTTGTGTAATTATTTCCTCCCAGCAGTAAAGAATGATACTGAAAGAAAGTTTTGCTACCAACAGCTTCCAGTAACTTTGAGACTAATATACACCATTTTCCAGGTATATATTTTGGAATATTTGAATTTTTGGTTTGGTAGAGTTGCTGTTTTAGATAATGAAGTAACCATGTGCTTCTTTGCGTAGGAAATGGCTAAGTTTGAAGAGCCAGACATTCTTTTTAATATGCTCAATTGCTTGAAGATTCTCTGTCTACATGGAGAGTGTTTATACATTGCTAGAAAAGATCACCCTCAATTTTTAGCCTACATTCAGGATCATATGTTGATTGCAAGGTATGTCTTCCTTTTTTTGGTATGTTAGGCTTTAGCTATGAAAATTAAAGTTAGAATAAGACTTACCAACCCATTTAGACTACTTTTCTTAGCCAGGACAGCCTAATCACCTATGGGAACTATTTTTGTTTAGTTAAATTATTAAGCATGTCGATATGAGTAATAATAATTTTCTTTGCAAGATACTATAGAAATAGAAAAGGCAAAATAAAGATTATTTTATGCCTTTCAGTTTTTAGATGGCTTAAGAATATAGCATGCCCTAGAAAAATGTCAACAGGTACTAAATTAATATTTACCTAGTAAAACTGAGTAAGGACTTAATTTCTTACTTGAAATAGAACTGATAGACATCTAAAATCTTTCCATATATTATCTGATAAGGTATTTTTTTAAAGACTACCCAGGCATTCTGAAAAAAACAAGAAAATATTGCCCTGGATCTACATAGTGTTTTTCTTTCTGAGAAACTTCAAATAACTGTTATAATCTTTCCTGAAAATAAGCAGAAAAATATTATCCTCATTTCATATGTAAGGGAATGAGGTGATTAAAAAAAGGGAAAGGTTGGTTCATATTAACATGGCGACCAAACCAAGTTGAGACTCTATTTGTCTTTCCTCGTTTTGTTCATTTATTTACTCATTTATTCAAAAATATTATTGAGGGCTTACTACACACATCATTATTCTGGGTCATTTTGGGAATTTGCAGTCTGGTTCGGAAGAGGGTGAATGGTATGTGTACAGAAGGTGACCACCTAATTTATTATTAAAATTGGTCTACTTTTGAAGCTGAAGAGGGGATGTTTTTCATGATAACCTCAAAACAATAAGTATAAAGTAGGCTAAGATCTTGGATAAACGAAGACACATGGTCACCTCTGTATATATGAGTTACTGTCAATCCTGGGATGTGTGATGGGTGACTTGTTTTGTATAGTTCATAGGTGAGAGAGGTCATTTTTGGATGACAAGAGAAGCCTCAGGAGCAGATACCACTTGGATGGGCATTGAGATAATGATAGAATTTTGATGGGTAGAGGTTGGAGATAGGCAAGCCATCTCGTAGAAAATGGGAATGTCAAGAGTAAACAGATGGCATAGTTGGAAAGAAGGGCATACTTAGGTGACAGTAAGGTTTTATTTTGCTGTGTGGTGTCGTCTTAGGGGAGTAATGGAAAATGAGGCTGGAGAAGCGGGTTGGGACCCACATGTGAAGGGCCTTGAAGACGGGGACTTTATTTAATAATGTTTGGAGATCTAGGGAAGATCTTAAAACTATGAACAGGGTCAGAGTTATACTTTAATAGCATGAATATGGAGAAAAGAGAGATCCTTGGGAACCACCCACATTGAAAGGAGTGCAATGACATGGTGCAAGGGCCTAAGTAATATAAAGATATAACACAGAACTTTCTTCTAAAAAATTTGTTAGGGAAGGAAGGGAAAGATCATATACTCAGAGGGGGAAGGGAATGGGTGTCAAGGATTTTTAGGAGAAAAATCTGAACATATTTATGGTCAGTGGGAGAGAATCAGAGGAAAGGGAGTAGTTGCTGGAGCCAGGTCCTGGAAGGCAAGAGTATTCATTCAAGAACAAAGGCTGTATGGAAAAGAGGAGGGATGCCCTTTCCTTTGAAAGAATATACATTTTGAGGAAAAGAGAAATAAAGTGTTAAGGGGAGTTCATAACAGGTGATTTAAACCTTAAGAATAGTAGGTGCTGCTGTCTCTTCTGAGGGGGAGGTGATGAGATTGGGTTGGTAGCTTGCAGAACATGGGAAAAAAGAATGGAACAGCCCGTAGGAGGAAAGCAGTAAGGAGTCAACCAGAAATAACCAAAAATTTGCCAACTTCAGGCCCAGCTGAAGTTAGCTAGTACCGCCTTGTGGTGGACCAAGCGAGGAGGACTTTGCGATTCTTTTTCATTGGTGCTCCAGGGATGTGGGAGAGTTGAGAGAAAGGGGGTAACATCTACAAAGACCCTATTTCCAATAAGGTCATATTCTGAGGTCTGGGTGGATATGGTTTTTTTGGAGTGGGGACACTGTTCCACACAGGACAGAAGCATACTGTGGGAAAGGTAGAGGATTTCAAGAAGTTCCTCATAGTAAAATGGGGCTTCTACTGGTGCAGTGGGAGGAGCTGTTGGAAGGCTGGACATGGCTGACCTGGATGTGGGGAAGAGTAGCAATGATCTGAAAGGCCCCGCAAATCCAGGCAAAAGCAGTGAAGGAAGAGGGCCAGGAGTTAGGCAGAAGCTCTCTTCATTCCAGGAGAGTGGCAATACTAAGTGGGCCGACTTTTGTTGTTAAAGTCGCCTCCATTGGATATGTACTTGGGACAAACGGATCATTGGTGCCATGGAATCTCTGCCTCAGCCTTTGGGCTACGCTCTTCCATTTTGCAAACAAAGCTGCTTTAGGGAACTGAGAAAGCCATGTGGGGTTGGCCAAGTCCAGGGATTTTTGCCACTGAGGAGGTTTTCTAGCAGTGCCGTGTACGGTTTGCTTCCTTCTGCTAGGCTGAAAGTTCCTTTGCATTCTCTATAGGGCCTGTTGTATAGAAGCATCATCATCCTTAGCCTCACAATGGTGATAGTAGTGTGAGGTTTTTGAATACCTACTATATGTCAAGCACTATGCATTTCATACAGCTAGCATTGGGAGGAAGTGGAAGTTCAGACAAGTTACATTTACACTTGGTTACACAGCTAATTATTGTCAGTGTGGATTAGATCCATATTTGTCTGATTTCCACAACTCAGATGAAGCATATAGTGTTTGAAAATTACTCCTTTTCATTCTGTAGGTCTGGTATGTCTTCTGAGATACCAGCAACTTTAGTGACTTGTACCTCAATGTATTCTCTATAAAATGGAGGTACTGTGCCACTCCTCTCATCTTTTAGGGGTATATGATGAGTTTTTTAAAGTCACAAATAGTTTTGATTCTGTATCAACTCTGGAGCCAAATAGAAAACAAAATAAAACAACAAAAACAAACAAATGAAAAGCATACTTTAAGTAATTGAATGAAAGCCCAGCCTGCAGGGCTCAGTGGTTGAGCAGCCTTCCAGTCAGGGCACATGCCCACGTGGCAGGCTCCATTCCCGGTAGGGGGCGTGCAGGAGGCAGCCGATCAGTGACTCCCTCATCACTGATGTTTCTGTCTTTCCCTCTCCCTTCCTCTCTCCGAAAGAAATAAAAAACAAACATTTAAATAATTAAATGAAAGATTTAAAACCTATAATATATTATTACTAAAAACACATCTTCAGAATTATTCTGGTAGAAACTGACAGACACGTAGCTAAACTTGCTAGAGTACATTTCACCAGTAGTGGCCTGGTTTTAGGCACGGCTTGTACTCATAAGGTGTTACAGGGATTGCTCTCTCTCCCCCCTTTTCTTCTTTCTCACTCCTCTCCCTTTTCCCCCTCTCCGTCACTTAGCTGCACCCCATCTGTGTGGGCTTCTCAGCGGGCTGTTCCTGTGAGAAGGAGAGAGATCTCTGTCCCAGAGTCCATATCAACACCTGGAAAGAGGATTCCGCTTTCCCAGACTTACGTCATATGTCCACCCGTAGACTAAATATTCTATTCAAGGCATTGAAGTACTTTGATCAGCATGGGCTTTGTGTTCATTCTTACAATAGGCAAAGGGGGAGGGAGCTTGATTGACAGCTCTGCCAGTTGTCCAGGCTGTTCTTAATAGAAAAAGAGTTGTCCCTTGCTAGGGCAGTAAGAGGAAAAGGCTACTAGGCAGGCAAAGCCAACAAAATGCCCCAGCTGTTCAGTATAAGAGAAAAAATCACTATCACATCATGATCTTAATATAACTAGTATCAATTTTATACATTATTTAACAGTCATTGTTCACTTCTATACCTGAATTTAAAATATAGTTAAAAATTTTTATGTTGAAAATGTAATGTTAGGTGGTGTTTTTCTATGTTGTTACATAAAAGTAATTACTTTAAAAAAACATTAACAGAACAGAGCATAGGAAAAGTGTATCAGAGGATTATTGTCTTGTGGATGAATGTAATTTCACTAAAGTCATTCCTACCAGCTATGTGTTAACTATACTTCTTATAAATTGAGATAATAGTATTTTCTTTGTAGAAAGGTTTTCTTAACTTTAACCACTTTGCCTCTTCTTGATTTCCAGCCTGTGGAGAGTTGTCAAGTCTGAGTTCTCCCAGTTATCTTCATTGGCAGTTCCTCTCCTTCTCCACGCTTTGTCACTTCCTCATGGTGCTGACATCTTCTGGACAATCATAAATGGCAATTTTAACAGCAAAGACTGGAAGATGAGGTTTGAAGCAGGTACCTCTGTATTAGCTTAACGATTCTCTCTGGATCACATCGCAAACCAGATGTCCAGTTATGAGAGTTCTTTCTGGCCCTCCGTTTTCCTCCTTTCTTTTTAAAGGGTGTTTTCCTGCTTTCTGATATTCTTTGTTGTTTCTACTTAGCTGAGCTTCCTTGATAATAGTATTTTGCAGAATGGTCCTTAGGTAGGGTGACCCAGTCTAGTTTGCCTAGGATAGTCCCAGTTTATGCCTGTCAACTAGATGTATTTACTAATTTTCCCCTTGTTTATTTTCAAATGGGCCCTGGCTTGAATGATCAATCATGTAGTCAACCTAATGGGTTATTTGCATCAGAATAACTGGGAATGTTAGTTAAAAACACTGATTACAGTGTTACAGTGGAATATTGGTTCTTGAACTTAATTTGTTCCAGAGGCTGTTTGAGAAGCAATTTGTTCGAAAACTGAATCATATTTTACCCCCATTAGAAATAATGTAAATTGAAGTAATCAATTCCAAACCCTCAAATAATTTTCTGTTTTAACCTTTCTTATATACAATACATGTCTAATGTACTGTTTAATCTATAAACAAGCACTTCTTTTTTTAAATTATCAAGCCACCTCCTACTAGCCTTAAACAAATCACTTTCAGCACTCGTTCCAGGGGTGTCTTTCAGGAGATCAGTATGCAGCATCTTCGCTTTTTCACATATCATTGCCTCTGAAATGAACTGCTTTTTGTTCATCCAAATCAACAATATTTCTACCTCTTCATTTGCCTGTGATGAGTTTCATGAGCATTTTCACACCCTTAGCAACATCAGCACTCTTGATGACCTCTTTAAGTTTTAAAAGTGTGCTAATCATTCATTTTGCCAACAACAAAAGCAAAAAAACATGAAAATATTCACAGCACAATTTCCTGAGATGTTAACAATGCAAGGTTTAGTGGTAAACTGACTCATACTTGCACATACTCTCCTTTGTCACCTGAGAGACACTTTTTGTCATGCTGAGGTATCAGCATGAAACAGTTGTCAAGAGAACCACAATTTTGTTTGACAACCAAGACATTTTTTTCCCTTGAACAACTTGGTCAAGAACTGAATTGTTTGAGATGGGAGATGTTTGAGTACCGAGGTTTGACTATATTGGGCCTCATCCTAGACCTACTGAATGAGAATCTCAGAAAGTAAGGCCAGGAATCAACATTTTTAACATGTTCTCCAGGTAATTGAGTGGAATTTGAGAAGCTCTGCTGTTACACCCTTGCCATTGAAGCATCAGGGGCCAAGTATTGGACAGTGATGGATATAATATCCTAGTACTTAGAATGACAACTTCTCAGAGGAACCTAGTATGGAAGGAAAATGGATGTGTTCTCTTAGCCTCACATATGCTGGCTTCACTGCCACTGCATTCTGCTAGTACTTCTGTTCTCAAGGGGCAGCGAGCAGGGTTGGCCTACCGTAGTGTGCCTTATCAGAATGGTTCTCTATATGTTAGTGTCTCAAAAATTGGGCAAAGAAATGGAAGTTCCATCAGGGGAGCTAACTATTATTGTTTAGAGTTCAGTTTCCTAATCTTTGGCCACCTCAAAGAGTTCTTGCTTTTTAATGCCCTATGAATTCCAGGGGCTGGTGTATTTATATGGTAGTACATGATGCTGTTAGGAATTAGATCAGAGCAAAAATTTCTAGCAAAAAACAACATGATATTGACAACATTTTATAGGCATTAACTACAAATAAAGCAGATAAATATTTCATTCCAATGGAAGGATTAGATTGTTGCCAGATTAATCTTCTGAATCACATCTCTGGTTATGTTGCTTTTCTACTCAAAAAAATTTTAATTGGTTTTCAGTGGCTAGAGAATAAAGTTCAGACTCTTCAAATGGACGTTCAAAGCCTCCCATGGTCTGTTGCAGACTCGTTTCCCGCTCTTCTTTCTTCACGTGCCGCTGCACCTTCCCCATTGCTCCCTGCTTCCCCTCACCCACGTCCTGGCCTTTCCCTGTTCTCAATCTGAAATTTTCTTCTCTTCTAGGGCCCATTCAAATGCCCCCTCCACTTGAACTGCCTTCAAATGCCCCCACTGAGTTCCACTTTCTCGCTTCCCTTGGTGGAAAATAGTTTCTTTATTCCATGATCTCCCATAGCATTTTATTTATACATCATTAGCAATATTTACAGCTTTTCATATTACATTTTGGTTATAGTTGTACTTGTCTTACCTCTTTTAGTCGACTTGACTTTGAAGTCAAGACCTGTGAATAATTCACATATTAGTCTGCTTGGGCTGCCATAAGAGAATACCATAGACTGGGTGGCTTAAACAACAGCAATTTTTTTTCTCACAGTGCCGGAGGCTGGGAGTCCAAGATCAAGGTGCCAGCCAATTTAGTACCTTGGTGAGGGCACTCTTCCTGGCTTATAGATGGTCACCTTCTTGCTCTGTCCTCACATGGCAGAGGGAGGGGGCTTTGGTTTTCCTTCTGCTTTTTATAAGGGCACAGATCCCATCATGGGGGCCTCTCTCATGATCTCATCTAAACCTAATGACTTCCCAAGGTCCCAACTCCAGATGCCATCACATTGTGGGTAAGGGCTTCAACGTGTAAATTTTTTTGGGGGGGGGGACGACACAATTCAGTCCCTAACAGTTCATTTTTCCATTTACTTGCATCTCCCCAACAAATACCTAGCATCATTTCTTAGTTATATATATATTTAAAATATGTGAACTTATTGAATAAATAATAGACTTATTGAATAAATATAATATATATGGGAACAATAAAAAGAGTATAAGAGCAGACTCCTGTTCTCAGAAGTTCTCAATTTAATTGATGAGACCAAATACGAACATGTAAGAGGTTAAGAAACTATAAAGGTGTAAATGTAATTCAAGATCACAAAAGATGTGTCATACAGCTATGTGTGAACACACAAATGCCATGTCTAAATGAATAGTATTTCAGCAGGAGTTCATGGGATGGAAAGACCACTCTAGGAGGTCAGAGTGGACTTCACAGAACATGTAGAATTCTAACAGTGGATTCTTTCAAGGGTGGTAGAATGTCCATTACCAGAGAAGAATAGAAAAAATATTCTGGGCTGCTGGACCAGCTTAAGCAAAGTACTGAAACGTCTTTATTTGCATGAAACTATATTGCTTCATTATCTACTATGACTTTTTATCAAGCTATGTTTTAAGAGTGGCTGGAATCATTTAACATAGATTTGCGGAATAATTTAAAATCTATCAAGCAAGGGTGCATCTATTTCATTGAAGAAATACGCTCTATAGCACCAGGAAGACTGGTTGTCATTTCACATCGTGACACACTGAGTGTGGAGTCGAGGGTCCAGAATCTAGAGCCAGGACTGGTAGGCACCTCCCATCTTCCTGTGTTGTCTGGGGAACTTCTACAGAGTGGACAAAGAAAAGAGCATGGAGACATTTTTGAATAGTTTGAAATACTGCTAGAAGTTAAACAAAGAGAAAGACCATTAAAAAAAGGAAAAAAAGACAACCCAGAACTAAATCAAAGCTGCCTGACAGAAAAATACTGCACTGAGTAGAAATGGTCTCTGCTGCAGAGATAAAACAGAGCACTTGAAAAGGAGGCATTAGACTTTCCTTTTGGTATTTAAAATCAGTGTATGGGGAGCCCAGAGTTACCCTTATCTCTGTGGGTTTAGTGCTCAGACTATCTAAATAAATGTAATTTCTTTTTGTTGTGTCTTTTACATTGCAGTGGAAAAAGTGGCTGTAATTTGTAGATTTCTGGATATTCACTCAGTGACCAAAAACCACCTGCTAAAGTACTCGCTTGCACATGCCTTCTGCTGCTTTCTGACGGCTGTGGAGGACGTCAACCCCGCAGTGGCCACCAGGGCTGGCCTCCTGCTTGACACCATAAAGAGGCCGGCGCTGCAGGTGATGTCCCTCAGTGTGTGTTATCTGCTCTGCAGATGGTACCCTGCTCCGCTCCACTAAATCACTGAGTTATTTGTCACATAAACACACGTACTACTGATGATGATGATGATAACAGTGGAAATTGTTAAGTTGGGAAAAGCATCCCAGAATCACATTGTATTAACAGACCTCTCGTTTTTATTTGTTGGTATTTTCTTTTTAGTCTTTGTCCATGTGCTGAATCACTTCTGACAGATGTAATTATTGTATAACTTGTTTTTTGTGGCAGATTATTAAATTAAGCTTGTTTATTTATACCATTTCGCTGGCTTCTGGGCTGAAAGGCCTTTTATTAGAGGCTAGATGCTAAGAGAAATCAGATGAATTATAATATAAATCAAAGCAAACCATGAGATGGTAAATATACTACCAAAATGAAATCTACAAATTAAAGCCAAAGTAACATGAAATATGAGACCTGGAGAGAGTTGTACATTTATCTTATTTGGCACCTGTATTTTATAGTTGAAGAGACCAAGTCTCAGAGATAGTGTCACTTATCTGAGGACACAGAATGAATTCATGGGAGAATAAGACTAGAACCTCCAAAGTCCTGATCTTCTGTTTTTCCACATTGCTGCCTGATTTATTATTAAGTTATTATTAAAACTAATAATAATGGCAAGAGCTAACATTTATCAAATAGCTATTGTGTTTCCAGGGCGGTGTATTGAAAGTATCCCATCATGTATTACTTCATTTAATCCCCACAATAACATTTAGTGTGTTCCCATTTTACAGATAGAGAAGCTAAGGGTTAGAAAGATTAAGTAGTTTCAGAGTCACATGGCTAGTAAGTGGTAGAGCAAACTCAGGTCTGACTCACAATAAAGTCATGTTCTTAACTATGTGTGTGTGTGTGTGTGCATGTGCACGTGTACACTGCCTCCCAATCATTATAAGGGTTTTTCCTGTAAAAAAGACTAAGAAGGAAGGGCAGATGGTTTAGGATCTGAAATATTCTAGGGTTATGCTGCCTATGGATGCACACCCTCCCTTGTAAAAACTCCCAGCGGTTTTCTAGATAGTCCTCTGTTGGTCTTAATAAAACTAGGTGGTTGTATGTCTTACCCCTGCTCAGGGCCTGGAATATAGGAGGCACTCATTAGATGGGAGTTGAATGAATTAATAGTTTGGTTGGGTGAATTAGTTTTTTTAAAAAAAGGGAATGGTAGACTCATATACTAGAGAAATAGATGCTCAACCCATTCCTTGTTTGAGTTTTTGAGACTCTGTGTTTAACTCACGTTCCAAGAAGGTATTATTTTCTTTTAGAATCACTAAAAGAATTCTAAAATCTAAATTTCTTTTAGAAATTTTAATTCTAAATATTAGAATTTAACATTGAAAGGGAATTTAAAGACCACCTTCTTGTGTATTCTGAAATGTAGCTTTGGAAGTATGCTTCTCTTATTGAAACTACAGACATTAAGAAACATTGGTTTGAGGGTATTTGGATAAAAAAATTAATAACATACATTTAGTTCAGATTTTTGAGTCAAAATTCAAGAGATATTCTACAATTAGGAGAAACTTCTTTTGTATTTTTCTACTAAAATTTCCAATAAAAAAGATCTCAGTTTGCTCCTTCTGCGTTATAAATATAGACTGAGGAGTTTGCCTTGTTTCACTGACTGCTTAGTGTATTTGATTTGAAGCAGCCTAGATGTTTACATCTGACTTTTCTTTTTCCCCTCCTTTTCCCCAGGGTCTGTGTCTTTGTCTTGACTTCCAGTTTGATACTGTGGTTAAAGATCGGCCCACAATATTGAGCAAGCTTTTACTTTTGCATTTTCTTAAGCAAGATATTCCTGCTTTGAGCTGGGAGTTCTTCGTCAACAGATTCGAGACACTTTCTTTGGAAGCTCAGCTGCATTTGGATTGTAACAAAGAATTTCCCTTTCCTACAAGTAAGCAAAATGAAGAACTTGATTTAAAGAGTGGCAGTTCCTATGCTTGTGCTTCCAGCTAGCTAAGCAGAAGACGCTCTGCGCGTAGTTTAATCTCCCATCATGGAGGATGCCTTCACTTCGTGTACTTAGTTCATCAAATGTGTGTTGAATATCTACTGTAGTAATCTACAGATGAACTATTTTCTGGCATTCTGAAATCATAATTCTTCTCATTTCTTTGAGGACTTGTGAGAATCATTCATGACTGTCTGTCCCTTAGATATTCAGTCATCATGTTTGTAATGTTTGTGAGATATATTTGCACCTTGCATGCTTTTTAATCAGTTACCTACAACTCTAACTAGATGGGGAAAAGACTTTGGTCACTCAACTAGTTACCCAGCAATGACAAAGTTAGATAATTTAATCTTATTTAGACAATAGTCATGATAGGCAATAGTCATGATTTTTAATGTTAAGACTTAATAGCATCAAGAGAGAAAGGTAAATCATCCATGTATCCATGAAGGATGGTTTTTAATACTGAAAAATACGCACAGATGGATGGTTTCAAGCTAGTTGCATAACATAGCCAGTTAAGGAAAATGACAACCTCTAATTCCTTTTGCAAAGCTATCACCGCTGTAAGGACCAATGTCGCCAACCTCAGTGATGCCGCACTGTGGAAGATCAAGAGGGCTCGCTTTGCGAGGAACCGCCAGAAGAGCGTGCGGTCCCTGAGGGACAGCGTGAAGGGGCCCTCGGAGTCCAAGAGGGCGCTCTCCCTCCCTGAGACCCTAACCTCCAAAATTCGTTGAGTATCTTCTTTCATCCTTCCTTGAAGTCTGTTGAATGTTTTCCTGAGGCTGACTTGTCTTGTTGAATGTTCAGAGAGTAGCGTATTTAGCAAACAGCTCGGTCATCAGGTTTGGCCTTTGGATTCCCCCTGGTGGCTTTTTCTAGTTTTAGGGTGAAGCAAAGCCTTGATCCAGAAGTAGATTGTTCAGTAGATTGTTTTGAAATGTGGCAGGCAGCAAATCCATTGATGCTTGGCTTGAAAGTAGAAGCATTTGCTCCCAAGTCCTCAAATGTGAAGGTTTGCACCAGCCTGGTAACCTGAGAGCTTCCCGGATAAGACTTTGACAAGACTCTGACATTTTCATTTAATGCATGATAGAGGCAGCAGCCAAACCAGCCTCCAGACAAACCAGAAATAATGGCTGCTTTTGAAAGGAGAAATCAGGTGGAGAGGCTGGATTTCTGCTCAACTTTAAAAACTTCATTACCAACTTTAAAAAAAGACCGTCTATACTTCTTTTCTAAAGGTCTTTATATTATACTTTTAAAGAGAACAAACTTTTCCTTAAATCACCAAATCACTAGATGAACTCTAATGATTAGCAATGGCTCATGAATGGGAAATAGTTAAAAATTCATAACTAATTAAATCATCATATTAGTGAATGGATATATTAAAATATATTGCTAACCTGTAAAATTTATTAAATGATCTAATTTTTTATTTTTAACTGCTGTGAAGTTAATAAAATAACACCATAAAACATATTTCTTATCCTGTTAGAAGCTGAAAAGTTTGCTTTTTCATTGGCATTTATTAGTAACATGATCATTTTTAACCATAAATATGATTTGATTTTATTTATTGCATTTTCCTCAATTTTTCGACAAGCTAAGGGAATGTAGTATTTTGAACTTTGGAAGAATCAATAAAAGCCCTTTAAGCAATCAGTAATCCAGGTGTCCAGAGAGCAAAGATAATAACAGATGCCCATTTAAGAATATGTGGTGGTAACGTGAGGTCCCAGGTGAAACTGAGTCAGATCCTAAAAACCAAAACCTAGATCAAATAAATGACAATTTCTGTAAGAACTTCCCACCTCTTTTAGACTGTAACTGATCAGTTTGGGATATAAAGTTTATTTATTGTTACTTCTTATTAATTGATTCACATGACAATTTTGAAGATTAAGAATTAAAGTAACATTGAACGATGTTCTTGAGATTCAAATAAACCACAAAATTTTTGTGATGTAAACATCTTTTATGTGATGTTAATTACAAATAGGAAAACTAAATTTGCCCCTACTATCCAATGCAGTTAGCACTGACTATATTTTCTAGGCTCAACTTGTTTTTAATGCTTATTTAAATAGAGTTGTTGTTGATTTTTAAGCTGTGAGGTTGACCAGGCATGAGCAGTCTGCTCCAGCTCTCGGTGGGACACCCGAACAGATGCCAGGTGGGTACTTCTGACTTGAAGGGCTGTGTGCAACTGTCTCTCACAGGTGGACAAGGTAAAGAGTGAGGTGTCTCTGGACCAGAGTGATAGAGTTAGGAGTTGCAAACTCAAAGGGTCTTCACCCCAGATGCTCAAGCATTTGGGGCCCTGACATGGCAATTCTTTTTCTTTTAATATTTGATGCTGTTAACTTTTGGTCCAGTAAGAAGCATCCTGTTACCCCAGTATGCACTTTTCCCCAGAGAGCCAATATGACCAGAACTATACCTAGTACTTATATTTGTATGTGTATTTACACATAGAAATATTATGTTCATATATATCTGCTATAGGAAAAACATACATTTCATTTGCATTTCAGCAGGTTATACATTTGAACCACTATCATTCGCTCATCCCCTTGGCCATCCTTGATTCTTTGCAACTCTACATGCATTTCTGTCTCTCAGAGAAAGGAGGGTTCCATTGTTTGGAGGACCATGGGGTCATATTCAGCTTGGTACAGTGTAACTATCACTTGATGTTCATGATAGGTTACAGTTTATCATGAATTATCCCAAGGGTTAAGGGGACACAGGCAAGACTAGTACAGACTAAATGTTATTCACACAAATAGTGCCATAACTCGCTGGGAAAACTGTGAAAGTTCTGGATACCTGCTTATTTGTCAGAAACATACTTGGTAACTGCTACCTATATGTCATGTTAGAGAAGATTTGGTTTTTCAGTTTTTATTTTCTAAGAATAGTTTTAAGATAAACTTTTCAGAATGGTCTCAGAAGGAAAATTTCAAGTAGGGAGACTTTGAAGACTGTGTGTTCTGTGTTAGAAAGAGAGGCAATTAGGGGGAACAGGAGGACAGGAGCGAGAGCCCCAAGGTTATGACTGCAGATGGCAGATGTTGGCTGGAGTGTATTTTCTCTTACAAAATCGATGAGAAAAAAGGGATGGCAAACACTTGGCAGAGTCTCTCTGCCTTATTTTGTGCATCACTTGTGTCTCAACTGAGGTGAAAGAAAGAATAAAAATAAGAACTTCTGATCCTGAGCTCATTGCAAATGTGAAATGCATCCAGTTCCCCTGCAGTTAGGTCTTTTTGAAATTGGTCTTCTGCAATTTCACAAACTATATTTGACCCCATCTTTTCTGTCTTAAGGCTTCATTGAAAAGCTAGTTTGTAATTATTATCACCCATTATAACAATCCAACCTCTCATATCTCTTTGGGAAAATGTATGCATACATTTCTTGATGTTAAGAAAAGCCTTCAGGCATCTAATTGTCCCATCAAAAGTGACCAGATGGAAAGGGGGCAAATAACAGCATTGTTCATATTAAATATACAGATAATTTACATGAGACTACCATAAGCAAAACTTGCTTAGATTTGAAAACTTATAAATTGCTTATAAGACACTTTTAAACTAGTTTTTCATTATTATTTACTGGACACTGAATGTTTTAATTTGGAGGCAAAGACATGCCAGGACAGCCAGAAGACTGCAGGATGGTTTAAGATAGTAATTAAATGGAAATTGAAGACCTTGCTACTTGAATATACTTTTGTTCTGTGCAGGTAATGAGCTCCTCCGTGCAAGACCTCTTATTGATTAGGCCTGAAGTAAAGCAAATGCCCTTTAATTATGCCGCAAGACTTAACTTTAATTGTTGTTTAAGGCTGAACTTTTTGGCACTGGATTTACAATTTATGGCTCTCTGATCTTAGCATGCACAGCAAATTTTGCAACAGAAATACACTTGTATAGAGGGTGTACTCTGCAAGGCTAGTGAAGAGCTGCATTCCTCTGTGACAGTTATAAGTCAAATCAAAGGCATTTTGCATGTATATAAAATTCATAGAATGCTGTAGCTGAAACATTAGAAATAGGCTAATATTCTCATTTTACAGAAGAGGAAACTTAGGTTCCCAGAAAAGAGCAAGTGTCACAGGTTTGTTGGTAGCAAACGGATCTGGGTCTCAAGCCCAGATATCTTGATCTCTCTTGCAAGGCATGTGTGATAATTGCTAGTAAGAGTTCCACGCCTTTATTTAATCCCAGCTGATGGAAATACACACTTTGACCCGCTCATCTGAAATTGGTATAATTATAATTGGATGTAAAGTGTATTTTCACTGATGCTGTGAGAACTAGGAATTCTTTGTCTTTGATGACTCAGAACATCTCTTGAATATTAGTTGAGCTAATGCAGCAGTTATGGCATTTTACCGAACAAACAGTATCCGTTCCATGTGATCACAGGGAGCTCAGTTATATCTTGTCCCTCATCTCTGGTAATGACTAGCCATGCAGTAGCAGGTAAATAATAATACTTCATATATGTATAGAACTTCTGTCTAATAGAGTGTTTTTATGCAAATCATCTGATTTTGATTTTACAGCAACTATGGATATATGTAAAGTATTATTATTTTTTCATTTTGCATATGGACAGGAACACTGAGGTGCTGAGGAATTAAGAAATTCTGTTTGGATGACTTGCTGAAGATCAGATATAAGTAACTAGTTAGGGATAGAACAGATCCTGAGTCCAGGAGACTTGATTTGCTTCCTTCCCGCTACAGCCGCCTCTTGAGGAATTGGTTTTGGGTACTCCTGCCCTTTGGGACATGAGCACACTGGTCTAGTTATGGAGCTTACCTGGGCATTCAGGTCTGCTACAGTGAGCATCCAGACCAAAGGACCTTTCTGGTTGGAACCCATGGGTTTGTCTAGAGCTATCCTAATCCCTAAAGAGATATGGGTGCTCTATTCCAGCCTATAGAGAAATCCTGAGATCTCTTGGTCTGAATTTGTATCAATAAGAGAAGGTGCCCAATGCTAGGTAGCATTGGTAAAACCTGTATTGACCTTTCCTGCTTCCCTCTTAGTGTCCCGGCCTAGACTTCCAAATTGCTTCTCCTTGGACTCTCTCTTTCTAGAAAGATGGTTTACAATTCAAATATTCACTAACTTCAAAATACCTATTGATCATTATGACCCAATAAATCAAAGAGTACAGTTGACCTTTTGTAGGAATGCTCTTGTTTGAAATGATAGTTTTGGGAAATGACAGTTTCTATGGAACAAACATTTATTGGGCACCTGCTGTACTAGTAAATACAAAAAATGCAAAGATTCGTTAGATATTTTTATACTCTCAGCTTGCTTATAGTGAAGTAAGAGAGATAAAGTATGAACATAAGTAAATTCCCCCAGAGTGGAAGTGTTAGTACTACAGGACGGCTCACGTCAAATGCAATGTGAGGAGAGCTGGGGGCACCAGGGAAGGTCTGGAACGCTGCGCCTGGTCCGGTGGTGGGATGTAAATGCATGGAGACAGACTGTGGGGTAGGAAGAGGCCCAGGCAGAAATGGGGAGCACGTGAGGATACAGTCAGTCACCAGCCCCAGCTTTACAGCCCCTCTGTTGGCTGTGTGCACACACAACAGAGCTGCTGTAGACAGAGCTGTAAGTTGAGTTAATGAGCTAGGGAGACCAATGAGGAACTTCCGAAATAATGCACCTCGTTTACAGTGCTTGATCTTTGGCTTCTCTCAACCAAATGCAGAGTAAGCTCACGGAAGGGGCCCTTTCTTCCTCTGCTTATCACTTGTTGGTTTGACAGTGGCTTCTGTGAGTTGACTTACACAGAGGGATGCTCCCTATTTCCCTGGCCACTTCCTGGCTGTTTGGGGACTTCATCCACTTGTCTCCTCTAGAGAAGACAAGATCTGAAATATTTATTTGAATTCAGTATACTTAGACATTTACGAATAATAAGCCCCATGTTCTCTGAAGGATTTAAAATCGGATAAAACATAGCACTTGCCTTCAAGGAGCCTTTTTTCTTATAGGGGAAATAAGGCAAGTGAATGAATGAAAAGTTGTGCCTTGCAGAGAAGTTCCTTGTCACACGAGAGTTAGGAAGTGCTAAAGGACTTCTGTCCGTTCTTCCTTTTCTCCCTCCCATCTGCCCTCCTTTCTTGTCTTTGGAGATTTACAGAGTTTAGGGATCACATCCAGTTGCTGAGAAGAGGGTGGGCACATGTAATAAGAATGGCTCCTGGGGACTAGATCCATAGGGTTAAATTGGGGTGGGGGTGGAGGACCACTCTATATGGTGAGGGGAGCACCAAGACATAAAGGTGGGAAATGCTGGCAATGTCCTGAGATCTGTGAGTAGCCCAGCTTGTGAGGATACTGAGCATTTGGGGTGGATGGAGAGACAGGATATAAGTCTGGAGAAGCAGATCCTGATCCTGCCTGGTTCCAAATTGTCTGAATAAATAAAATTGTATTATGCTTTGGAGTTTCAGTCAGTTGTGCTACTCTGTGGACAGATTACAACGGGCCCAGTCCATGTTAAAGTTATGGTAGGACTTACCTTTTTCTTTACAGAAATGGATAAAATCAAATCTCTTAACTCATTAAATCTCTGTAGTTAAAACAGATGCAGGAATTTCATAGACTAGAATTCAAAAGTGTTTTAATTGTCACACCTTAGGGAAAATATTGTAGGCGTTTAGTTTTAAAATGGAAGTTTTGTACCTTTATAGATAACTGACTATTGTCTTTATCAATTAAAAAAACTTCAACTTTTCTAAGCTTATTTTTCTTACAGATTTGATTAAGGTAGCTTTTCTTAATGATGAGTGTACCAGTCACAAGCCTACAGTATAGTAAAGAAAGATGACACACAAAGCACAAACTTGCAAAACCCACAACCGGAGGCATAATTATTGGAATGAAAAGAGATCTTCTCTATTTTATGCAATAGATCCCATTAACTAGTCCTTTTTTTAGTAAATGTAATGGTTTCTTAAAGAGCATTCATTCCTGGCTATTTGGAGAAACCAGAGTAGAGCAACAAGCTTAAAGCTAAAGCACCGAAGGGCACTGAAGACGAATCTAATATGAGGATAGGGCATTTGTGAAATGATACTTAGTCATTAGGAAAATGTAATTTGAGGGGAAAAGTTAAGGTTATATACTTTTAAAATAAATGTTTTCTTGCAGCGAGAAGAATTTTGACATATTTAAAGGTGAAGTCTGATGGTTTATTTTCTAGACCTAAGCTGGGATAGAATGAAATAGCCGATGTCCTAGCTGGGCCTGGCCTGGAGTTTCCTTTCTTCTGTATTGAGTCTCTAGATTCTCAGGGCTCTAAAACAAAGTGCAACTCCTCCAACCCTCCTTAGTTCCACTTTTAACATTGGGACTTCGAAGCCCAGCCACTCTGGACTTGGAGGTGGCTGAGCAGGATTGAGTGATTCGTGCTGTCTGAAATTTTGCCCCCAGAGCTAAAATGAATCGAGGGATGAAGCTATACTGTAACAGCCATGACTTGCTGCTGCAATAACACTGAAACCTGCAGGGAACCTAGATTTTCACACTTGTCACATTCTTGGCCCAAGCTTGCCCAAAGCAATAACCTTCTAGTTGTAAAGTAATACTCTGGAGAAAAAAATCAAGATTAAATATTTTTCAGTGTTGAAAAGATCATTTTCTAACCTTTTTCTATTTGGGCTTTCTGAGGATTTACATAGATACTGCTTTTGGTTTAATCTTCTATTTCAAACATTTAATTTAATTATAACATACAGCGATGCTTCACATTTTTGGGCTCTTGGTGAAACAGGGTGATTTTTTAAAATGATGGCTGATGCATGGCTAAGAAATAATGATAATATTAACAATTTATTACTCACTTTTCATGTGAAATACCATCATAAACAAATTCTTAGGTTTTATTTGAATAATTTTTGGTAAAAACTTCTCTAAAGTACATTACACGTATTTTTTGCACAGGCTCTATGAGACAGAAAATGTTAATATCCTAGGGTCTTATTGAAGTTTGTCAGATGCTTTCCCCTATGTTAGAAGCTCTTTGACTTAGTTGATTTCCCTGCCTCTTCTCACATTGTAAACTGTCCCTTCTCAGTGTATCACTTTTGAACAGACCAGCATTCTCCTGATCATCTGGGGAAAACTAGACAACCTAGCTTGTTGCCTTACTTGTAGTTCTAACCTAGTCAGTTCGAACTTGACATTACCTCATGCCACTGCTAAAGAGAAAAGTCACTGGGCTTGAGGCAGCTGGTTTCCACAGTCCCAATAAACGTTTCGTGTATCTTGTTTCTCTTGGCTGTGTGCTGGAAGACTGAGATTTTGCCGAATTGGTTGTTAATGGGTATAAATTACCACCTAACTCTTTGTTATGTGCTTTATACCATCATTCAATAAATGCAGGCAAGCTTTGGTTTATCATGGTTTGTAACCAAAGCTTGTCCTCATTTAGCAGAAGTTCTCCTTGCAGGGTGAGAGGTGGGAATGCCAGGGTGCTCACCTAACCCGCCAGGCAAAAACGGTTTCCAGCTTAGACATTCCGACGCAGCTGGTCAGGGGAAGGGCAAGAGCAGGCCCTGAACAGAATCCAGAGGAGCAGATCTTACTCTCGCTCCCCCAGAAGCCCTAGGCCAAACAGGGTCAGACGAGGCAGAAAAGCAAGGGGGCCAGGCTGCAATTCCTGACTTTGAAAAATAACAGAGAAAGTCAATGTCAGGGAGCTGCCCAGATACAGTTATTTGTTAGGTTAAGAATGCGTCAAGGGCAAAGGTATTTTTTTTCTTTCCATGTGAACTTTCAGCTCACCTTCACGTGGCGTTTCTTTTTTCTTTTTCCTTTTTAAAAAAAGTTCATGCTTCTTTCTTTCTGTCTGTGACCCTCCCTCCCCGTGTATTTCTCATTACATTCAGCAGGGCTTATAATTTGCTACTTATGATTTTTGCTGTATCATTGAGAGACTGCACACTGCTAATATCTCAGGATTTGAAAAAGAAAACTTTTTCACCAGCTGATTTATGAACATAACTGAATTGAGATAATAATTTAAACAAAATTAACCCAGTGGATGTTTTTGTGCTCAGTGGGTTTTAGAATATTATTATTATTTTTGGTTATTCTTACATGCTTTATTTTACAAAGCTGGAAGGGAAACCTCTCTTTATCACTGAGGATAAAACTTTGCCAAGTGATTTTAAAATGCACTAAATGAAAAGTGTGTTTAGGCATTTGTCTTGCTATTTGAAGAGAAATTAGTTTTGTAATGCCCCGTTTTTATTTCTATTTCCTTATCACTCCCCAATTACTTAGTTGTGGAAGGAAAACCAAGTAATGCTTTGCTTAGCAGGCCATATTGTGCCTGTAAGTTTTTTCAGAAAAGAACCTTTAAATACTTAGTGGCAGAAGAATGGTGCTTTATCATTAAGTGAGGTTTTAGTGTAAAATTACATGTGGAGGAGTCACCCATTGATGGCCTATCTTGTACTGACAGGACAACAATCCCCTGAGAATGACAACACCATCAAGGACCTGCTCCCAGAAGATGCTGGGATCGATCACCAGACAGTTCACCAGCTGATCACAGTGCTCATGAAGTTCATGGCCAAGGACGAGAGCAGCGCCGAGTCGGACATCAGCAGCGCGAAGGCCTTCAACACAGTCAAGCGGCACCTGTATGTCTTACTCGGCTATGACCAACAGGAAGGTTGCTTCATGATTGCGCCTCAAAAAATGCGCCTGTCAACTTGCTTTAATGCGTTTATTGCAGGAATTGCCCAAGTAAGTGTAGTAACAGCTTTCAGAAGTCATACCATTAGGCTTTCAGTAGAAGCAAGTAGTGAAATTCCGTGTAGCCAGCATGGGTTGAGTGTAAAGGTTTGTGCAAGTGACTTTATGAGCCAGGGTATGTGGAGGGGACTATAAAGACGAGAAGGCTCAGCAACCTGACGTCATAAAGGGAGTTGGGGCTTTATTTGGGGGGATAAAATACACGCAATATAAATTTACCGTTTTAAGTGTACAGTCCTGCGTCATTACATGTACACAGTTGTGTAACCGTCACTACTATCCATCTCCAGAACTTTTTCATCACTCCTTAACCCTAAGCTCTGCCCACTGAACATAGGCAGGGTGGGATTTTTGTTTGTGGGTGTTTTTTTGAATTTTAATTGGATGTACTGGGGTGACATTGGTTAATAAAATTATACAGGTTTCAGGTATACAGTTCTGTAACTCATCATCTGTGTATTGTATTGCGTGTTCACCACCCAAAGTCAAGTCTCCTTCTGCCACCATTTATCCCCCCTTTCCCCTCTCCTACCTCCCCCCACCCCTTTCCCTCTGACAGTCACCGGACTTCTTTCTTTTTTAAAATCCTTTTTCTTTTTGGCTTCAAGTGGAGAGTTGGATTAATCACACAACTTGCTTCATGTCACGTTGTCATCGTCAGCTCTTCCACGTTTGTCCGCTACTTCTACCTGCCATATCGTGTGCCATGGTGTACACCTACCATGTTGCGCTGTCATGCCCCCAGCGACGGACACTTAGATCACTGCCAGCTCCTTACTGCCCCAAACGGCTTGGCCGTGGACATCCTTGCACATGCGCCTCACTAATGTGGGATCCTTTGAGATATGATCCAAGGGCAGAATTAAGGGATTGTGGGGTATATTGTGTGCCTAATTTGACCAGTGCTACAAATCTGACTCTCCAGAAGAGCTGCACAGTCTGCAAAGGGTATAATATAATGGATATTAATTTCAGCTCTGCCACTGTTACTGTTATGGCCTTAGACATCCTCTGCTTGTTTGCTCATTGGCAACAGACTTTTTTTGAAAGATTAGAGACAACATATTGCAAAGCACCTTGCTCAGTGCCTGTCTCCTGATAGGAACTCAATGATGGTAGCTGCTATCAATTAGCTCACATAGATTGTAAAATAATGAACACAGATAAGCAAAGTGGGAGCCATACATATGTAGTTGTCTCTTGCTGATGCTGATAACTAGATGGATCACCACTAACACTCAGCTGTCTGTGATGAAGAGAGAATACACCATTTCAGACACCAAACCCTCTCTCCCTTTTCCCCTCCTTTCCTCTTTCCTTCCCTTCCTCACTTCTCCCTTTCTAAATACAGGTTATGCATATTCATTTTAGAAATATAACCAATAATTTAAAATATAAATCTCAAAAAAACCCGCAACAACTAACATTTTGGTGTATATCACTGGCTCCAAATTTACACACACACACACACAGTTATGCATATATCATATATATACATACATACATGTGTATATATATATGTATGTATGTATATGCATGCACATTTTAAATAATGTTATACATATTGATGTATGTGTATCCTTTTTAAATTTAAAATATATTATGAAGTTCATATAATGTAAATAAGTCTATATTATATCCTATTTAATGGCTACATAGCAGTCTGCTGTCATAAAAACAATCTTTTATTAACTAATCCCATATTGTTGGATATGTAGATTGTCTTCAGTTTGGGGTGGCTACACTGCTGACTGCCTTTATGCATTCATCTTGGAACACTTGTCTGATCATTTCCTTAGTATATACGTAATTGTTGTATTAGAGGCTGTGTGCTTATTTCTGAATACGTGTTGCTAAATTGCTCTCCTGGAAGGTTCTGTTGAGTAATACTATTGCCAGTGGTGTCTGAGAATGCCCATTTCTCCACATGATTTCCAATGCTAGGTGTTTTGATTGATTCTAAGTTTTATTCTAGTTAATAGTTTAATATAACATTTTAATGGATAAAATTTTATTTTACTAGATAATCAAATAGATGAATAGATATTAGATAATTAAGTAGATTAAACTACTTTAATATTGAAGCTTTTTTTCTTGTGAGGTTGGACTTTTCCCCCTTTATGTGTACTGGCCATTACTATTCATATTTTGTGAGATGCCTGTTAAATATTCTGCCTGTGTCTCAATGGTTCATATTTTTCCTTTTGGCTTATAAGTGTTTTCTATAGTTTTCCTTCAGTTACTAATTCTTCTCCTTTTCAGGTTATGGACTATAACATTAACCTGGGAAAACACCTTCTCCCCCTGGTGGTTCAGGTGCTCAAATACTGCTCTTGCCCTCAGCTTCGGCACTATTTCCAGCAGCCGCCCCGCTGCTCCCTGTGGTCCCTCAAGCCGCACATCCGGCAGATGTGGCTGAAGGCCTTGCTTGTCATTCTTTACAAGGTGAGCTGCTGCCCTTGCTCCTTTTGGGGTGAAATGACTCTCTTAGTGAGGAGAACACTTAAGAGACCTGCGCTGAGAATTTTGTAGGACAATAATTTGACCTTCAGAAGAAGAATTGTCATGTACAATTAGTACTGAGAAGTAGAGCTATTGGAATGAAAATAGAGATGGAGGCCATGCCAGTGGCTTCTCTTGAAAATGTTTAAAACAACAAAAAAAGATGAATTGTAGAACATTGACCAGCAACCTCTATTTATGACCAGAGTCTCCTATTTTATCTATATATGAATTCTTATGCCAGAAAGCAAGGAAAATCTTTAAAATTGTATTCATGCACCAAATGTTTATGCCAGATAATTTTCTTGAAAGGAGTTGTTGCTATGAACTGGCGTGCTTGCTGCCCCTGGTTCAATACAAGAGGCAGGGAACAAGGTCATGATAGGAATTTATGTTTGCTTTTCTGTATTTTTCTTTTTATCCCAGAGAAAAACTGAGAAAGCTATCTAGCAAGATCAAGTGGGAAACTTAGCCTTCAAAATAATCATTTATATATTTCTCCCTTCATTTTATTGCGCAGTATCCATATCGAGACTGTGACATCAGCAAGGTCCTGCTGCATCTGATTCACATAACAGTCAATACACTCAATGCACAGTATCATAGCTGCAAGCCCCATGCCACGGCAGGACCTTTGTACAGTGACAACAGTAACATAAGCAGATACAGCGAGAAGGAAAAAGGTACTTCACATATCTCAATTCTATCCTAAACTTAGCTTGAATAGGTAAGACATTTCTGGACGGTGTTTCTCTTAGGAGATAGAAGGGTGCCCCCAGGTATCATTCTGGAGTAAAAAAAAAAAAAAAGCACTTACTGCTTCATTAATTTTCCAACTTTCCCATGAATGTCGCTGCCTTAATTTTTAAAATGAGCATTCAAGAGAAAGAATTAGTATGCTTCTGAAGTCCATTTCATAAGAAGTAGAGTTTGGTAAAAATTGTCTGCTGTTTGGTTAAGGAGCCTTTGTGAGCCTTTTCCCACTTGATGGAAACACCTTGCTTTGGGCTGTGAGGTAAATCTTGGTCAGCACTTAGTGGAGCCATGTAATCTTGTCAGTCTCTCGTTTACTCCTGAACTTTGTGCTCACAGATTTGAATGGAGTCTAAATTTGCTGAAGTGCTTTTTTTCTGGCTGTCTTATTTAATAAAAATTGATTCAAGGCAACTGGAATGAAATACTTTTGTTGCATAGGTTTACATTATTTCCAATACTGACTTTTTATATTGATAGCTTTTCCACAAAGGAGGCCATAGAATAAAACTTTAGGGTAAAATTATAGCCTGAAAGTTTTTAGGTGAGAGCTGAAGAACCGAGGTGTATATCTTTAGTGCATGTCCTGGGGTGACTAGACTTGTAAAAGGTGACATTATCTAATCCAATCCTGGGAGAAAGCCAAGTGTCCCATGACCCTTTGGGTTGTTGTATAGTGGTGTTAATAGAGTCTCATTTGGTTGACTGCTCTGGAAATATCTCAATAGGATGGATTGAAGCCAGCTTTCCATTATTGGTTTATTGCTGCAAGGTCTAGGAATCTCAGTTGGCTATAGATGGAGCTCTGAGTACTAAGTTTTTAGTTCTGGTACCAATCAGATCCTTTCTGAAGACTATCTTGTCTACCAGTTTAGGTCCTAGTTTCCGGGAAATTGGGTAGATTCAGTTACACTATGTGGGCTCAGTCTTTGGGCCAACCCCAGATGAACCTTTCTGAAGGGGAGGTGCCACCTTGAAGTCTTTCTTCTCTTTTATTCAGTATATTTGAGAATTATTTCACAGTTATGTAATGGAAATGGTATAACTATTTCCTCAAAAAATGTATTTTTAAAAGGAGTATATTTTTATAAAGGAAATAAAAAATAAAACATCACTGTGTTGTATCTCCCCAGAAACACAGGAATTTAATAGGCTTTCTCATCAGTGTGGAAGTTCACTGAGAGTTTTGTATCCATTTTGATTGTTAACATTTATTTTTTACTTGACAAAAAAGATTAGTATTCTTAGTTTATCCAACATCTGCTGCTTCAAATTTCACTTACTGTAGACTCTTGCTGAATTAGGACAGGATCAAAACATAACTCTATATTTGTACCCCCTATACTCAAGAAACCTTAAATAATCATAATTGAACCTGAGCCTCATTTTGTCCTAGGGGTAGATGTTAATATAAGCCAGATGCTATGATTTCAGTGATAGTCAACTGGAGTAGTAGGCTAATTCCATTTATCGTGGTATTAAGTGCATTTTCGTAGCCTTTTCTCCTGCTGCTTTGTACATGGCTTTGGACTGTCCAAAGCGTGAAAAAAGAACATCTGAGATTAAGGGAACTTTCCTCATTAATATGTTTTTGTGTTTATCTTTGATTTAGGAGTAGTCAAATGGGGTAGAGGAGGGCATAGGAACAAGCTTAACGGACCCTCCAGCGGCCAGGTTGTTTAGCAAGCCGTAGGCTGATGGATCGAAGATCCTTTCAGGGGTTCACGAGTGTTACACGTGGCAAACTCCTCAGAGAAGACTCGGAACTAGGGGGAAATGTTACTTTCTGTTTTCTTTTTCCTTTGTTTACTCTTTCAGTCCATAACCATTTGTGGAGCTTTTGAGATGACCAGTGGCCTTTCTGAGCTGTTTCTGTGTGTTGTGTGTTTCATTACCAAATGTAGAGTACAGTATTTTGCATTCACAAAGTATAAGGTGCATGTACTGTTAGGCTGTGTCTATGCCAGTTCTCAAACCCCAGGAAGGCACGTGTTTTTGGAAAGAGTGAGATCCACTCATTTTGTCAAATTTTCTTTGGCCAAGTTCGCCTGAAAATTCACCCAAAGCAGGGATGTCAAGCAGATTCCTGACGAGTATGTATTACCTGGTTTTAAGTACATTGGAAAAGCTTCCGCGTGAAGGCTCTCTTGGGATACTGAGATGCCTCTCTTGAAAATGCTGCCAATTGTCACATGGAAAATGAGGGGCAACCTTGTGTAACCGGTTGCTCTGTCCAACATATGGGTGATTTGATGCCTGGATGAAATGCCAAGCTGTGGCTAGACTTGGGCTGGCGTAGAAAGCACCCCAGACTTGCCTCCGTGTAATGCTGTCATTGAAATGCTTGTGTAGACACAGCCTCAGAGAGAATAACCTCTTAAGTGTAATTTTGACTTTCTCTCCCCAATTAGAAGAAGATAGTGTTTTTGATGAATCTGATATTCATGATACACCTACTGGACCCTGCAATAAAGAGTCTCAAACTTTTTTTGCAAGATTGAAAAGGATAGGCGGCAGCAAAATGGTGAAATATCAGCCGGTTGAGATGAATGTACAGAGAAGTATGAATTTTTTCCTCTTAGTCATTTTATGCAGAAATGTTGTACTCTACCGTTTGTTTGGGGTAAAATCTTAATTTTATTATGTTACTACACATTTTAATGCCGTTGATTTTATATATATGTATGCATAAGCAGTATATATATACACATTTATATATATACGTGGATCGACAGGTACCTCATTAGTGTCATGACTGTCCTACAGGGCCATCGCTTGGTTTGATTTGTTGCAAAATGTTTGCTTCTCTTCCACACAATTTGAATACAGTTCTCTAGACCTGCCTCAGCCAAAAGCGATCCCCTCTCCTGTGTACAAATGAACAGAGCTGAGGAGTTATCCTGAAGCCTGATTTCAGAAATATGATCTTAAACTGCCATTGTGGGTTCTTTCATTCCAAAGGTTCCTGGTTTTTGAAATTAGAACGAACCTTACAAAAACTTGGCCAGAAAGTCAGTTTTGCCTTCTGGTGGAGCTGGGATTGTGATGATGATTTATGCCAATTGTATGCCCAGGTATGAGGGGGGAAAAAAACAACGGTGAAATCTCCCAGTAAAATAGTACTAGCTTTTTCTGTTTTAATCAGGTGAAATAGAGCTGGCTGAATATAGAGAAACGGGCGCGTTACAAGACAGCATTCTCCACTGTGTGAGAGAAGAGAGCATTCAGAAAAAAAAGCTGCGCTCTTTAAAACAAAAATCTCTTGATATAGGGAACGCAGACTCCCTGTTGTTTACATTAGACGAGCACCGCAGGAAGTCCTGCATAGACCGCTGTGACCTAGAAAAGCCTCCCGCGCAGAGACTGCAGGACCACGGACGTCCCAGACAGAACTCTGGCGCCCGGGCTCCCGGGAACCCCGACGGCCCGCAGGAGGCGCGGCGGCCCGTCATTCCCGAGGTGCGGCTGAACTGCATGGAGACGCTGGAGGTCAAGGCCGCGTCCCCCACGCAGCCTGCCCCTAGAGAGGACTTAGATCTGATCGATTTGTCCTCAGACTCGGCATCCGGGCCCGAGAAACAGTCCATGCTCTCAACATCTGACAGCGACTCCCTGGTCTTCGAGCCTCTCCCCCCTCTCCGGATAGTGGAGAGTGACGAAGAGGACACCATGGACCAGGGAAGTGATGGTGCCCCCGGGAAACACGCGGCCTCCTCAACCTCCCTCCCCAGCCGCCCCTCCGCCCTCAGCCTGAGCACAACTCCCCTCGTGCAAGTAAGCGTGGAGGACTGTTCCAAAGACCCTTCTTCCAAGGACTCAGGAAATCATCGGTCAGCAGGTGACAAGGACTCCAGCCTCATAGCCCTGGACGACCCCACGGACTCTGAGGAACTGTCAAAGCCCGGGGAGCTGCTCGAGTTCTCCAGCGGCAGCCCGCTCACGCTTAAGCAAAAACGAGACCTCCTTCAGAAGTCCTTTGCTCTCCCCGAGATGTCACTGGACGATAACCTCGAGCCCGGCGTCGACGAAGAGACGCCAGGTGGGCTGATGCCAGCTTCAGGGGTCAAAACTGTCCTCCTCAAAGTCCCTGAAGATGGGGAGAGTCCTATGGAAAGCGAGAAGCCCGACACCAGTGCTGACTCGGATACAGAACAGAATCCCGAGAGGAAGGTCGAAGAGGAGGGAGCCGAGGAATCTGAATTTAAGATCCAGATTGTGCCCAGGCAGAGGAAGCAGAGGAAGATCGCCGTCAGTGCCATCCAGAGGGAGTACCTCGACATCTCCTTCAACGTGCTTGACAAACTGGGAGAGCAGAAAGATCCAGGTGAGCTCTTGTCTCTCCTTCCTGTTGGCCTTACGTTCAGGTTTGTGCACCTTCCTTGTTAGGTGCTTGGCACCGACTGTGCATAAATCCTTAATCTTATAACACCAGGGAGTGACATTAGAATTGCTTCCCAATCACTCTGAGTCCCTCCTGCCTAATTGCATCTGCTGGATTCAGATGTGGTTCTATTGGCTCCATAAATGTTTCCCCATCTGTTTCTTCAGTCAGTTCTTGACCATGTTTGGAAATAAGAGGCAATGGTTAATTCATGTCAAGATATTCCAGATATCGTTTTAGTTTACCTCTATCAGCAAAAGTCACTAATGTGAACTCCTTTTGCTTTCTTTTACCCCGCTTTATACTTTAGTGAGCTGTGATATAGTCCAAAGGAGGGACAAACACAAAGGGGTAAAATAAAGCAAAGAGGCTTAGAATAATTAAGAGTTGACTGTATTAGCATTTAGGGCCTACAGCTGATTATATATTTTAACCAATATCAGCAATACGGTGGCCATGTGTGCCCTCAGGAACCAAAACAAAAAGCCCAGTTACGAGTGAAACCCACATCCATGGACACCACTTGATGGTGAAGTTGTCACAGCACATGCCTCGTGCCATTCCTTGTGTTTCCTTGGAGGCACCGTTTCTAAGAACGATAACTTGCAAAAGTGGCAAGCCGATAATCCACCTCATCCTAAAACACAGTCTTCTGCAGTATTACCAAAACACTGCTGCTTCAAATGCTGCTTCATTTTCTTAGCTCATCTTTTAAAAAAAGGAATGTGACTCTTAAAAAAAATGGAATTGGTCAGGGATGTTTATTTTATTAGATCCATAGGCTCTAGAGCATTTCTTCTACTCGGCCACAGTGGCCTCTTTCCATTTCTTGGATATTCTCTACGTAGTTCTATTTCAGGGCCATTACACTGGCTGTCCTCTCAGCCCCAAAACTGTCTTCCCCAGATATTTACCTGGCTCACTCTCTCACTTCTTTTAATTCTTTGATTAAACATCAGGTTCCCAATGAGGCCTGGACTACACCCAGTCCTAAAGAAACTTGGCTTAAAGAATCTTGGTACACTAATGGTAATAATAACTGTCTTACAGTAATGACATTTCTTTAAAATTAAAGATACACCAATGATTTTAGTAAGCATACCAAAAACCTCTAGAAGTTTCAACAATCTTTCAAAGAATTCTTGAAAATTAGCGTTAAGCGTTCTCATTTTACATAGTCGGTGGGGTTATTATGCCATAGTACCAGCATATATAAAACAGGCAGGTAAGGGTAAGAGAGGGAATTACACGTGTTTTTAGCTAGTGGCTGAGGGAGAATACCTAAGAGTCATTAGTATCTTAATGACTCAGGTAAGTTAAAATGGGTAGTTATTTTGTGCTTTATTGAGTTTGGGAAACATTATTAGAGTTACACTTTTTTGTTACTAGGAAGTTGTTAATCTGGCAACCATATCTATGTAGAAAGACCCCTGAGAATCACAAACAGATGTTTTAGAATCAGTGTTCAGAGGTTTTTATGCCATGCTCTCACATAGGATCTATTTTATTCTTATTTCTGATAGTTTTGCAAGTTTTGTGATCATCCAGTAACAGAATAGCATCTGCATACCTAAACTGTATGTATGTATCTCTGGTGTCTTGCTCTGTGACAAAACCCAACAAGGACTGACCGTAGTAAAAGGATGAGACAGATACATTATTAAGCTTAAGAATCCGAAGCCACTGAGGGTGGCTTCCCTGCCTTGCAGCGCGGTGTAGTCACGAAAGCCCATCGTGGGTGACTCCAGGGTGCTCTCTGTGTTTAGCGCTGCTTAATATGGCAAGGTGGTTTGTAAAGAATTTTAGGAGGTTTGCTACAATAACCTATTAAACTTTTCAAAAAGTTTTAAAGGGTAGTCTTTACCTAGAATGATGTGGAGTACCTTTCCCCCATTAGGTTAATAAGACAGTGTTATATGCAGAAAATATTTCACCTCAGCTGTATTTGTTAAATAAAAGAAGCAAACGGTACAGTCTGTTTCTTGCTCAACTAATAGAATATAAAATCTGAGTTAACAGTATTTATTTCATGTTCGATATAGTCCCTGCTCTTAAATTACTTATGGGTTAGCAAAATTATAGATAAGTACATAGAAAATTACATTATAGAGTGTTAGGTTAGGGAGAGATTAAGGACAGGGTGCTCTGGAATTATGTAAGAGTGTCAGCTGACCCAGTTTTTTTGGTTTATATTTTGGTGGGGGAGGGGTCCTAAAAACCATCTTAGAGGAGGAATTTTCTGTACAAATTGAGATGTAAATGATGAATAGGAAATTGCCATACAGAGGTGGAGTGGTGGTATGGTGTAGGTGGAATGAACTGTAAGCGCCTTTAGGTGTTGGATGAAGAGAAATGCAGCCTGGAAAGGTGAAAGGATGGCACCCTCTCAAGGACAGGCGGTGTGAGCACACGAGCCTTAGTTTTGTCGTTGTGTTGACATTGATCTCTGAGAGGCATGGCCACAAACGCAGAGTGCAATATGCAAGCAATTTCCCATGGAACTTTGAAACCACTTTGTATATAATGCCATTAAAGAAATCAGTAGGTCAGATAATATATAAGGGTATATAATGTGTACATAATGTAAGTAGAAGGTATTAGGCAAGCGGGGAAAGGATATAGAAAAGGTTCTGTTCTATCTAGAACTTGCTTTTAATCAGTGTCCTGAGTTTTAAATAATATTTGTGATTGCAGATCCCTCTACTAAAGGACTTTCTACTTTGGAAATGCCACGAGAATCCTCGTCTGCCCCTACGTTAGAAGCAGGTGTGCCAGAAACAAGCAGCCATTCCTCGATATCAAGTAAGCTTTCTTCTGCATTGATTTTGAAGCATCCTTTGCTGCATTATTTTCAATTTTCACACTCTTGGTCGTTTTTCTTTCTTTTTTTAATATGTTAGCTTCCCAGGTGACACTATGTTGTATGTTCTCAGAGACCCTGAGGCATAGGCCCACCTTTGTCAACATCTCAAGTGTTTGATAAGTCAATATGGTTACTGATGGGCCACGAATCCTAAGATGTTAAGAATAATCACTGAATTTCATCATTAAATAAAATAAGAATTATATATTACAAGCCTAGACATAAAACATGGAACTGGATTTGGAGCAAGTGAAAAGCATTGTCTATGGCAGAATTTTACATGGAACACTTTAAGTGAATCACCTCCATCACTGACAAAATTTTATCTATGTTATCATAAAATAAATGTATCTGATATCTCATGATAGAATCAAGCCCTTTTGAATCAGAAAATAAAAATACCCTGGCGCAGCCAGGTGTGGCTCAGCGGTTTAACATTGACGTAGAATCCAGGAGACCGCAGTTCGAGTCCCAGTCAGGGCACATGCCCGGGTTGCGGGCTCAATCCCCAGTGGGATGCGTGCAGGAGGCAGCCGATCAGTGACTCTCTCATCATTGATGTTTCTATCTCTCTCTCCCTTCCTCTCTCTGAAATCAATAAAGATATATATATATTTTTTAAAAAGTCCTGAAATTCTACAGGATCTATAAGAGGCAACTATTTGGAAACTGCCTTCTGTTGTTAGGTCCTAGATTTTGTCCTGAGGAGCTTGAGTTCCATTGAGGTGAGGATAGGGTGTCCACCTGGCTCAGTGGAGGTGATTAAGAGATTTTAGAATAGGAAATTTTCCACAGGAATCAGACATAAACAGAGCTGCAAGTTCTGCAAACCCTTGTCACATGCGCTGGCATCGTTTGTTCCATGTGGACACTGCCCGGGGGGTTGGTTAATTTTCATTTGACTCTCTTGAAATGAAGATGATTCTGACAAATCAGATCAAGATCTTAACTTAAACGCTGGGCTGGTAGTGTGGAACGACATCACCATCTTCATCGTTCATTCATTCATGCATTCATACATTCAGCAATTATTTATTAAGTGGCTGCTGGGTGCCAGGCACTGTGCTTGGCATTGGGGATCAGATGTGAATAAATAAGACACCCCTTCTCCAAGGAGTTTACAGTCATAATAGTGGTAAGAGCTAGCATTTACTTGACATTTATTGTGTGCCAGGCACTGTGCCGCGCTGTTTACACACATTGCTGTCTTACTCGATCCTTACATTAGCAGTGTATCGTTGACCCCATTTTATAGATTAGGAAACAGGTTCAGAGAGCCTAACTGCCTTGCCTAAAGTCACACAGCTACTAGGTGGCAGAGACAGGAATTGATGCCAGGTCTGTCTGACTTTTCAAGCCCGTGTCTTTTTAGTATATATGCCACACTGCCTTAGAATAATTCACATTTGGTTAGAATAGAGAATATAGGCATTCTAAGGAAGAGTTTCCAAGTGACCGTTATTTGCCCTTTTGGTAGCAGAGAGGAAGGGCTAGTTCTGAATCTAGTTGTTCTTTTTTTTTTTTAATCACAAAAAACCTGTTTGATAACCCAATAAAATGCCCATTTTTAAGTCCGCATACTAAAATCATGAAAGCATATTTATTCCTCCTAATTTGCATAAGTCATCTAAAAAAAAAAAAGTGAATTCTAATGAGAATTCCAAGTTGGCTATAATTTGAGAAGGATAACTAAGTCAGTTTGAGTTCAGTGCCAGTTAAATGTATCATAAAATAAATGTATCCAGTGTGTCATAACTCCCAAGTCGCTGGCATTAGATTTCCACCTTCCTCCTCCTCTTCATTAAAAGCACGGATTGGATGGCCCTTGGTGATGTGTTCTTGGAGGCATAATGCCAGGGGTCTTACACACTGAGCTAACTATTAAGGGTTTTTATTCTTAGGGAATTCTGTTGTCTATAAAAACAGCAGAGAATTGGAAAAATTATTCAATCATTAGAGATTTTAAATCTTTTTTTTTCCTGTGCTGATTTTTAAATTTGTGAAATCTACAAGATTTACACTTTTGAATTTTAAAGAAGCTGTACTTTTCAAGTGAGTCACAAAATTATAAATTTTCCCAATCAGCCAGAAGATTGAGAGATTTTTCCATATTAGTTTGCATAGTCATTTCCATGAGTTCAGTTAACATGGATTCCAACACACAAGAATTCCAATTGCACCCCTGTCTTTTCATCAGTTTATTAGCTGATTATTTTGTAGCTAAGCATGTCATGACCACCATGAATCAAATAGCCTGCTACTTACATGAAAAATAATGTTATGATTGATTTTACATCACACCAAGTTGCTGCCTTGGTACCGTTTGTGAAACCTGTGTGTAACATTCAAGGCTTTCTGGGGCCATACAGTCATCCCAGTTTCTACTACCCCCTTTTAAGTCACATAGTGCAGAGCTTCAGTTTCTGAAATTGTCCTTATAATGGAGTGAACGGCCACAAGTTCTCAAATATCCCAGTGCTTGGGATCATGTAGAAAAAGCACATCAGTGGTGCTCTGCCTTTCTCACTGGGCTGGTGGCAGGGACAGGTGGGACCGCTTGCAGAGGAATAGGAGGGCAGGAAGCAGGTGGCTTTGTCACTCAGCGGTCTCCTGGCAGAAGTGCTTTTCATGGTTTTTCTGGTTTGGAAATGCTTATAACTTCACATTTCATTGGTGGGATATTTGTCAGTGCCTAACGCAGGATAAAAATGTTACCGCTATTTTCTACCACAAAGATGTATACTGGAATATAGTTGTGGAACACTGTTCGAGTCACACTTTTCAAATAGTGGGAGAAGGCTCATACGGAGATTGAAAATAGCACTGACTTCGGAGTTAACATGGTTTGGTTTTACGACTGCTTCTTTTGTTGGTTGGTTCCAAGTAACATAATTTCATTTGCTTCAATTTCTCTCTAAAAATCGGGGTTGATACACACACACACACACACACACACACACACACACACACAGGGACCTCAGGGGATATAATGGAGACCGAAACTATTATGTACAAGCTCCATTAAAGAAAATTGAGCTATAAGTCTAGAGTGAAATTATCTGTCTTAAATCCTTTTTGGAACAAGGCAGAGTATATAAATAAAAAGTTAATGACAATAATCATGTTGTTGGGGTAAATATTTACAGGCTACAGATAAGTGCTCATAGATACTGGTTTTTCTTTATCAAGTGCAGAAAGGCACCCAGAATAGCACAGTGCCTTAGTTTTCCATTTGGACAGGAGCATACAATTTACCAAACAATTACGCATAGCTGAGGAAGATTCAATTAAGATTCTATATGGATGTCTAGAGCCTTTGTGTGCCATGCAGATTTATTCCCCCTAGTAATCATCTCCTAATTTCCTCCATATAGCTCAGTATAGGCAGATGAAAAGGGGATCCCTGGGAGCTCTGACAGTGAGCCAGTTAATGAAGCAACAGCTGGAACATCAGTCTAGCGCCCCCCATAACATCAGCAACTGGGACACTGGTGGGTCAAGCTTTTTCTTCTTGTTTTACCTCTCAGATTAGCTAATGCCAGTCTCTCTGTGTCCCCTCTGCTCCCTTGTTGAGGAATAGATTTTCTCTTGTGCTCTGTGGTTAAAATAGTTTTTAAAAACCCGAAGGTAATTAATAAGTCTGTTTAAACTTTCTAAGTGTTCTAGAGCCATCTGTTCTCCCATCTAGGCTGGTCCAACTCGTTTTTTTCTTTTTTAAGATCTAGATTCCAGATACTAGGTTATCTATCTGGGAGTTAAATGATGTAAATGCATAAAAGGGGGAATGGCACTATGACTTCATGATGCGAATTAAAAATACCAAACAAAACACCAGGTTATCCGTCGGTATTCTCTGTTTTATAAAGTGCCCAAAATAAAGGATGATTAATAGTAATAATAAGAGCCAGTGTCAGCTCAGCGATGTCATGATCTGCTGGTAGGTTTGGGAATATGAGCTGTGTGTTTGAGTCAGCAGGGCCACCAGGTTGCAGCCACACCCTCATGCCCATGGGACGGAAGCGCATCTAACCTCACTTTTAAAGAAAGGGCTGCCCGCCGCAACGTGTCTGGTTTACACACGACCACTCCGCATCTCCTTCACTTCGCTACCACTTTCTTTCTGCACACGTACCCCTTTCCCAAGCTAGCAGTTACTGCCCCAGTCCTGCTCTTTTGAGTGCCTGCTTTTTTTTGTCTTTTAAATTAAATGGGTCATTTGGGTTACAAGATTATATGTGTGAAAGCACTTGGCAACATGGATGCGCTAGGAAAATATCAGGGTTTATCACTCTGATTTGGGGGCTAACACTTGGTTTGGGCCAATGTAGTATCTTGGTTAGTACTTTCTGGCTACGGTTATATGAGATTATTTTAATATCCTTCCTTATAATCAGGAATTATAATGTCCACAAAGCCAAAATCTTGAGATACTGTTATTTTTAAAAAAACCATAATAGTTACATACATTTCAACTTATTTTCCCCCTTTGATCTTAAAAACCAAAAAAAAAGAGCTGGTATAGATAACTGAATCTCAGACACTATACGCAATCCTACACTTAGCAAATAGTTTCAACTTTCCTGGCCTTTATCAGGGTGGTTAACATTTTGAGGGTTTAGTGTTTTATCTTTCTTTTAGTGACAGGTGGTAGTGAGTAATGAAATAGCCAAAAGCCAACAGGCAAAAGAGACCAGGAGAAAGACAGTGGATAACCAGTCTCGTGAGTTTGGGTGAAATCTTCTGTTCACACCAAAGAGGACTTTGTTGCCCCCTTTACTGAGATGAAGCTGTGTAAGGAACTGAGAATGAACGCTTTTGTTTGGTTAGTTCTTTAATAATTAAATGCCCAGCTTTTGTTGGGTTGACCTGTGGGCCCCAAAGAGTAGTTGGCCATTGTACTGTTTTCTATAGCAAGCAGCTCAGCCTGAGCTGTTTTAGATTCTAACTATAATGACAACCCAGTTTGATTGACTCAGTAGAGATAAAAAGGCAAACAGCGCTCTATTTCCAGTCTAAATTTTAATCTAGAAAAATCTACATGATGCCAAATAACCCATTTAACGGAATTTTTCACTTTTCAACCAAACTTCAGCCTTGTTCCTGTCACTCTGGTTTCTCATTTAATACTTGCCATTTCCATGCTGTCTGAATCTGTTTTGCCTGAGTTCTCCGGGGCTTGTTTTCCATCCTTCAAGTCCAACTAGAGCTTCATCGCAACATTCTTGTTTTTGCTCATGGAATAAAATGTTCTCCCTAAATCTAAGACCAGAGGAGAGGCGATGAACGTGTAGTTCAGTGTTAGGGGGCATGGGACTTCATACCACATATGTTGATTCAGTGACTTGCTAGTCTCCAAAAGAACAAACCTGGTCATGTAGACACACTGAGAAAGGCAGCCTGAAACATGGGTCACAATCGAGCCCCCTCAGCATGTACCTGCTCGCTCACAGAATGCTGTCTCTCCTCCGTCCGGGGATGCACATCTGATGGCCTATGTTGCTTCATCTCTCATACGAGACAGGTGTTCCTGAAGCACTGCCCCTGCATTTCTACCCCTGCCCCCTTATTCCTGTTCCTCAGTCCTCAAACGCCTGTCATTTTCTTGCTACCAGTTCCACATGTTTTCTGTATGACCATTTTGGCCATTGCCCCAAATGATCACTTATGTACTTATTGATTTGCATAAAACATTTCTTTTATGGCTGTGATGTTAGCCTTTCATTTTTTTCATTTCATATCAAGAGATACGGGATTTGAGCTTTTTTGGGGGGTGGGAATCTGGACTATTTTTGGATGGTTTTAGATGCTCTTCTGTTTTTAATTGCATTTTATATACCTAAAGGGCAGGTTTGTAGTGAAACCCCAAACAGCCCTGCCCTAAAAAGTAGGATGTTTCCTGTAAATGTTAATAATCAACAATAATGACCAAAAACATGGCCCCAAGAGATTATTGGTTAAATTCTTTGTATTGTGAATTATGCTCAATTGCCACATTGAAGACTGAGATGCTCTGTTTGTCCACAGAACAGATACAGCCCGGGAAACGCCAGTGTAATGTGCCAATGTGCCTAAACCCTGAGCTGGAGGGACAGCCATTGAGAATGAGAGGTAAGTGGAGCCACGGAGTCGCAGACTGTGAGAAACGGAAAGAAACTGTATCTGTCAATCATCGAGTCATTCAGCAGGTGTGGAAATCTCTTATTTAGCAGCTCCTTGAAGAGGCTCCAGCCTTTGCTCAAACACCTCCAGGGACAGGAATGTATGACATCTCTCCGAACACGACCAACAGGAAGTTCTTCCTTCGAGTGACTTCCTAACCCTTGGGACCATACAGAACAAGTCCAGTCTCTCTTAATAGCCATCTGTTGCTTATTCCCTCAGTCTTTTCTAGACCACACGTCCCTGGGTCCTTTGGTATTCCTCCCGATATGTATCAGCTTTCCATCTCAGTCTGTGTCTGCTTCTCTGAGCATGCCCACCTTCTCTGTGTTCCTTCTGGAACGTTGAAATCACTGATGAATAGCTTCTAGTCAGCCATCGGAAACTGCACGGACTGTACACTTGACTTTGTGCTGCTCATAGGCGCAAGCTGAGAATGAGTCTGTGCTAAGGTCATTAGGATATATATTTTCAAAATTCATCTCATGACTAGTTAATCATTACTTTTGTTCTTTTTTAATTCAGGAAGCAGGTTACCCTATCATTTGTAAGAAGTAAAAATGTAAAAATGAATGATGGTCTTATCTCTTAGCTAGCCTCTTAGATCAAGCAGACCTACTATTCACATCACTCTTCTAATTCTCCCTAGGAATGAGGGGATATTTATCTGCAGATTTTGCTAACATTCGTATCGCACTGAGTAGCAGTTTTAGTCCCTGTATCTGATGAAAGGAGATTCTTTTCATTTAAGGGCCTAGGAAAAGCTTTTATAAGCAGAAATCGGGGTGGTCGAACAAACTCTGGTCCCTGTCCACGACTCAGTGACGCAGGTAGTAGCAGCACATAGAGGATGGGGTGATGAGAGGAAAGACGGACGGCGAGTCCCTGTCACTGTGAAATGAAGAGTCCGCCGGCAGCTCAGGGCCTGATGTGTGCACACATGCTTTGAGACAAACCAACACCTTTATACTTTCTCTTACCTCCCAGATTCCCAAAGCGGCTTTTGTTAAAGTCTCCGGCTTTGAAGTTGGGCTTTGGAGAAGGTCCCTTCTCTATTCTAAAGTTCCTAAGAACCTTCTAGTTCTGTTCCTAGTTCCAGATAGCATGTATGCTGGGTATTTAGGAGGGGAACCAGAGGTGGTCACCCCAGAAGCATTGCCAACAACGGGAATAGTGAGACTGCCTTTAACATTGCAGACTGAGCTGTGACTCAGCCATAACAAAAGGCAGCTGATGTCTATGGCTTCCCTTTTGCATTTCCTACCTCCTCCTGTACGTTGCTCTTTGCTGTCACATCGCTAGCAGTATTCAGAAATCCATTGATTCAGCTAATGTTGCCTTACGGGGACTGTTGCCCAATAACTTAACCCCTCCACTTTTATAGATGACTGCCATGAATATTGTGTCACACATTCTGTGTTGTCATTTGAAAACACAACTTCAAGATGCTATTGTCAAAAATACCTGTTTGTTGGCATTTGTATTGGATACAAATAATTGGCTTGAAACCACCCAGACAACTTCGATTTCCTCCCTTTTCTTGACTTGAATTGTGATTCTGTATAACAATAATGGGCAGTAATCTGAAAGCTTTGACTCAGAGGCTTTAAAAAAAAAAATCAATTTCTTATGTTTCTAGTAAGACTGTGTATACATCACCATATATCTAATGGGCTGAATTTTTCTCCTTTTACCACAGGCATTTTGGGATCTGATAGACATGGTCTGTCAGTGTTCAAGAAATGTACACTGTGTATTGGATTTAAACGTTCTGTGTTTTGGTTTCTTGAAGCCACTTCATGTTCTTTACCTTCGCACTTAATAATCAGTCATATCTTCTTTTATCCTGGCCCAGTTCTTGCCTTTTCTACTATTAATCAAGTTATACATACTTATGCTTATAATAAATACTGTTGCTTCCACTCCAAGCTACATCTTTAAGAAAACAATTGGAGATTTTTGTTGATGATCCACTTGGGTACACTCAAGAGAGAGTAGTATCTCAGAAACAGCTGATAAATAGAGTGGTAAAATTTGGGTTCCCATTTGGGATCTTTAAATGTAACATAAAGACATTTTCAGATACTTTTTTTTTGCCTTTTGGGTCTGCAGGTCTCAGGCTTCTCATAAGCACATTTTGGAGCCTTTGATCTGGCGAGGGAGTCAGTATAGCCCGGCAGCGTTTTGCCTCTTCAAAGGCCCAAGCCACTCTTTCTCCCTCTCATTGAAACGCATTGCCCACTTGACTAGGTTTCTAAAATTTTTATGTTGACTCCTTTAGAAACCAATTCTCTGCATCATTATCTTTCCCCTACTTAAGGAAAGATCATGCAGTTATGTTTTTCAGCACCAAGTTGCCAGCTCCTTGATGAGAAACAGATTCTTTCATGACCATCGGGTTTTTCTGCCTTCTTTCCTGTTCGGAGAACTCAGTCTCGGGTTCTGTCGTAGAGCAGGGCATTGCTCTGGATAGTCACTTTGGGATTCTTCTTGGAGTGCCTCGTTTCCACGTTCCCAGGCATCTGCCAGCACTGCTGGGTTTCCTGATGGAGAGCAGTCTCCTGACTCCAGATTTCCTCATCGCTAGACCACGCTGCCAAGATTCCTGCCTCAGATTTCTCTGAAGGCAACAAAACCCAAGATCTTAAACTGTGTGGTGTTGATTGGCTGAAGACACTTGATGATTCCTTCAAAACACTTGATATCTCATTTTTAAATATTTCAGTTTGAAAAATGAAGTCTTTCATTTTGGGGCTTACGATACTAATTTCCAAAGCAGAAAACCGTCTTAATATTTCTTAGCTCAAATATCTCCTCTCACTTAGGGGTGTGGAGTTCTGGGAACTTACTCCTTTCCCAAATTTGCAACATTTTAGTGTTGGTACATATTTGTGATTTTAGAAACGCTATCGTATGGGCAGCTTCCATTTATGCCTGACAAGTAAGGGTCATAACTCATTTAGGGTAGCCTTGAATAGATTTCCCCCTTTCTTCATCTTTGTCCTGGTACCCTGTTCACCCTGACCTCACCTCTTTCTGATTTTTTTAAGGTCAAGAAGCAAAGAGAGAGATAGGAGTTTGGCTGGTAAAGTCACACAAGCCGAAACAAATCACGATCTCTCTTGAATTCATTTTACTCTTGAGGGTTTTCACAGTGCTATTGGGCTGTCCTTGTTACCTCCCTGTGAATGTGATCTTTGGAGGATTTATAAGAGGCGAACAGGGCTTTTCCTGGCCCTCGGAAACAGATCTTTACTCACCGGTTGTGTCTTTGCTGCTTACCCAGGGGCCACTAAATCCAGCCTGCTGTCAGCACCCAGTATTGTCAGTATGTTTGTGCCAGCACCCGAGGAATTCACAGATGAGCAGCCCACGGTGATGACTGACAAGTAAGCTCACACAGTTACTTCCTTCACCATGTTTGCAGAATCTGAGAGTTTGCCCACTGTGGCTATGAGAAAGCTCCAGAGGAGGTGTGCTATAATTTGTTCTCCAATGACTGTAGCCCTAAGTGCTGGTATGCATTTATTATTCTAGAAACATAGTACCGTACGGTTAGGCAGCTTCCAAGGCATTTAAAAAACTTGGACAACTGCAGACGATATCCACTTACCGATTGCTCCTAGCAGCAATTTCACACAAGTAGAGCCCCACCCAGAAGCTTCACATTGTTAGCGTGGGACTGAGTTGGAGACTGGATCCTCACTCCCATTCTACCAGCAGAACCTGTTCTCTGAATCTCAAACTGGTTATGCCACGTCTCGGTTTGTCAGCCCTCACTATCCCTAGATTTCTTATAGGATAAAGTCCAAATGCAGTAGCTTATAAAAGCCCGTTTGATTGTGAAGGTATGGCCTTGCCACTCCTCACCAGGAACTCTTTGCTAAGCCCTCTCATCTTCTCCAGAGCATGCCTGATGTGTTCTCTCCTCTGCGATCTCATAGGTGCCCTTCTCTTTGTACTATCTCTGCCTGGTAGACTCCTATTCATGCTTCAAAACCCAATTTAAGGCACATTCCCTGATTCCATAAGGTAGAATTAGTCATGCCATTCTCCAAGTTTCGATAGTATTTGATGCATCTATCTATTCTACCACTTATCACAGGGTATTTTAATTGTTTAGTTGTTCGTACATACACATTCTGTAATAGATTGTGAGTTCCTTAGGGACTGGGACACTTTCTTCTTAGAGTATTTTTTTTAAAAAAAAATCTTTATTGATTTCAGAGAGAAGAAGGGAGAGGGAGAGAGAGAGAGGGAAACATCAATGATGAGAGTCATTGATTGGCTGCCTCCTGCACGCCCCCGACTGAGGATTGAGCCCGCAACCCGGGCATGTGCCCTGACAGGGAATCAAACTGCGATCTCCTGGATCCCAGGTCGATGCTCAACCCTGAGCCACGCCCGGCCGGGCTTTCTCAGAGTATTTTACACTCTAAGCTCCCTATACATTGCCTGGCACATAAATGCTTGTTCATTGCATATGATAAAGCATAAGACTTAAAGGGTTTCAGGTTTGGAGGATCCCCTTGGGCCAGGGAGACTTCCTGGTAAAGTAACCCTTGTGACTAATGGGGCAAGCTTGTGATAGGAGAGGAAGGAGAGGTGGAAGGGGCTGGAGGGAAGACCCATGTAGCTGCGCACAGCTGACAGTCATTACTGAAGGCGTGACGGTGCCTGTGTGAACAGCTGCCTTGGTATGTCCACATGGGGAGCACCTAGTTGCTTGTGGAGGACTCCTCCTGGCTCCTGCTTTGGTAATTTCCCCATTGTGTGCCATCCTCCAAGTCCCAACCTTTCCTATTTGCCTTCCTGGTTGCCTGTGTATACATTCCATTTCTCTTCTTTTTGGTACAAATGTGAGTTCTATATTTTTAAAAAGTCAATTACTTAGGAAGTTTTTGGATGGAAGGCTCACAATAGCGCTCATAATTCAGGTTCCCTGGCTCTTCCCAGCAGACTTTCCCTTCCCATTATAGAGCTGCCCAGCTGTGGCTGAAAAGAAGAGCTTTGGCTTTGGTTGAGATGAATTAAATTGAGCCTACATTAGATATTACAGAGGAGTAAGTCATAAGTTACTAAAGAGCAGGTGCCAGTGTGTTTCTTTCTCTCTCTTTTCCCCCTTTTTTGCTCATCCCTCCACCTGTGCCATTGTGTTTTTATATATTACACTCTCTAGGTATGGTGAGTTCATAAAACTGACCTGAGTGGTAGAGAAGAGACGGCCATCCAGGCTCCCCAGGCTTTCTAGAGTGTTCTATTGACCTGACTACCTGTTTCTCACCCACTAAAAGGACATTTTTAAATTTGAAAGCTTAGGAAAGCTTCCATTTGTGTCTAGGCATTTTTCATGTTTAATTTCAACAAATGAAAAAATATCTAGCTTCTGACTATCCTTAGCAGTAATTTCACATACATAATCCCTCAACTAGAAGCTCTAAACTATTAGTCCAGTTGTCACTCACTGTAGTAGTTCATCTCTAGGCCAGGTGTTTGTGACCCGAAAGAATGTTCTCGGTGGCCCAGGAACCTTCCTGGTCCCTGCCACATGTGCTGGCTGCTTCTGTGTCTATGGTGATGGTGACAGTGGAGTCTCCTATTTATCGTTAGACAACTGACCTCCTTTTGGGGACTTTTCCAAGACTCCCCAGAAATGGCTGTATGTAATTTGTTCTATATTGAAATCATTGCTGGCTTTCGTGGAGAGCACTCCTCTGCTTTCCTTGCAGATGCCACGACTGCGGGGCCATCCTGGAGGAATACGACGAGGAAACGCTGGGGCTGGCCATCGTGGTCCTCTCCACGTTCATTCACTTGAGCCCGGACCTGGCGGCCCCGCTGCTGCTGGACATCATGCAGTCTGTGGGAAGGTGGGTGTTGCCTTCTGTTGTTTGGTGGGAAGGCGCCTCGTTCAATTTACATACTGAAATAAAACTACCAGGCCCAAAGGGAAACATTTAGTAGCCTTATTAATGCTTGATATTTGTGGGATTGACTCAGACTAATTTTAAAAACGGAAAGGACCAGATTTTTGGTTGACTTCCCAGCTGTGTAGGGCCACGAGTCAAGTGTCAGAGTGAAGCTAGAGGAAGATACTTAAGGAAACTGTTGTTTGTTGTCTGTTACTTTATGAGCTAATGGAGGTGACAGCGCTCAGAACTGGGTGGAGTTCAGAGTAAACACTTTAGGTGTTTCAGTTATTGTTGTTATTAATCTCTCTGCCTGTTTTAAGATGGGTCCTCTAGGCATTTTGTAACCTGGGGGTGGCTCACTTATGCAGTTGGGGCATTGGCACATGAGGGGGTAAATGGAAGCATAGCAGTTTCACAATTTTGACTCAGAAAAAGGAAGGATGCACACATTTTGGGAACAGGGCCTTCAGCCTGACAGAGGGAAGATTAAAATCAGCTGCTCTGAAAATTTTCATGTTTAAGAAACTTCCGTTTAGTAGGTAGGACCTTAGAAGAAAACTGAAGTATTTCATGGATATAAGTGCGGTTCAAATTCAGTAACAAACTGTAGTCCTAGCATGAACAGCTAGCTTATGGAGGAGGGTTGACTTAAATTCACATGACTGTATTACATTTCCAGTCCGTGTGGGCACAGAGCTAGGTGCTTTAGGCTGTGGGCATTAGACCAGGCTTTTGTTCTCAAGTGCTTTGCGGCTTAGTTGTTGAAGAGGACAGTGGTGTGTGGAATAACTGGGTAGCCAGACAAGATAGAATGAATGGTAAGTTCTATAGAAGGTTAGGATGGAAATGATTTCTTAGGGAAGTTCTCTACGGGGAAGGTAGGGGAAAACTGGACTCTGGGAATTCCTTGTATTTGAGGGAGGGAAAGAACATGAGTCTTAATGGAGCTAGAATTTAACCTTTTTTTTTAAAAAAAAAAATGCTTTTATTGATTTTAGAGAGAGAATAAAGGAGAGGGGGAGAGAGAGAGAGAGACATTGATCAGCTGCCTCCTGCATGAGCCCGCAACCTGGGCATGAGCCCTGACTGGGAACCGAACTCATGACCTCTTGGTGTACGTGTACAGGAAGACGCTCAACCAACTGAGCCACACCGGCCAGGGCAATTTTTTTTTTTTTTTTAATGAAGAAATGCTGATTTCAAATTTAAGACAAATAGGAAAGCATTAAAAACCCCTTGACCCTAAAACATGTGATTCCTTAATCTCCCTTTCCCCGATTTTTCTGTATTACCCTTAGGAGTATATAGTCAGAGACGGTATAACTATTTTACCTCTCATGCTTACAAATAGCCAGTATGAAAAGTAAGCGATGAACACGGGAGATGGAGAGATAAGAAAAGATGAATGATTTCATTTAAGCCCTTGATTTTAACCTAATCATAATAATCGTGGAATAAATTTTGTCAACAACACTGTGGAACTGAGAGTTTTTATTAATGCCAGGTCACAATTTCTACTGTCAATACTTTGCAGTGTTAGAACAGATAGAATTATTGTTGTGGTCTGTTACCATCTCCTTGGAATGGCTGATCTAAGCTGTAATCGATATATAGAAGGATTTTATTTTTTCGTTTTAACACTAAGAAAGAATAAACCATGTTCGAACATTGCCAGCTGTTAGGATGGAAACATGAGCTTTGAAGAAAAGCAAAGGCAAACAGTATCGGATACATTTTTACATACTTACTGCACATATATTTAAATCCCTACCTCTTTTGGTTGGGTAGCAAGAGACAGGGAGAGAGCATTTAAAGCAAGTTTCCAGAATTCTTAACAACCTCAGCCGAATCAGCAAACCCGCCAAGAAGAGATTCAGCAGTCTCCGGGTTCAGGGCTTCCTTGCATGCCCCAGTTCCACACGAGGTCATGCGCCTGGACGAACACTTGGCTGATTTATGCTAGTCCCTCAGGAACTACTTCCAGGGTGTTCTAAGAGTATGTAAGTTCAGCCCAGCTCTTTCACTTATCACCCAAGCCTTTCCGTACGATTTTGGATTTTGCTCTATATTTACATCTCTCTTAAAATTTACCTACCCTGCCCTGGCCAGTGTGGCTCAGTTGGTTGGAGCATCATGGATTCAGTTCCCAGTCAGTATGGAGGTAACGATCCCTGTTTCTCTCTCTCATCCACGTTTCTCTCTCTCCCTCAGTCTCTTTCTCCCTCTCCCTCTCCCTCCAAAAAATCAGTAAAAACATATCCTTCGGTGAGGATTGAAAAAAAAATGTAAAAAGCAATTACCCACCCCTTTTTCTAGGTACAGCCTTCAAGATCATATTTGCCACACCCTTAATTACCGTTGATTTCACTTGCCAATGTTTATCTTTTCACTATAGTATGGTTAGCATGAGAGGGCCCATGACCAAAGCAGCTGGGAATGGTGCCTGGTGTTAGTGGTTGCTGGGCTCTCTGTTCCTCTCCAGATGTGTTCTTGGCTCAATCACTCTCTTGTGGTTTTAAGCAAATAAGTCTGTAGCATTTTCTTTGTTTCTTCAATATCCTACTGATCAAGGCATGTTTTTCTAAACCCACCAATTTAGTATATTCTCTTTCTCTGCCTATAGATTATTTCTGTGTGTACAGAGCCATGTAATTGTCCTTTTCAAAAATTACATGTTATATATTGATTACTTAACCTCATACATTTCTCTTCTCAATAGGTCCTTTTAACCCAACAAATAGCTGACAAATACCCCTATGTTCCATTTTACTATCTTAGAGAGGCTTTTGCAACTTGTGATTTGTTTGTGGTTAGGTTTCAGAAGTTGTATGCAAAGTAATGAATTTTGAGTGGAGTTAATATGGGGAAGGACTGGGTCAGATGCTGTTCCGATACCTGCCTGGCCCAGCTGCAGAGACCATTTTGCAAATTGGCTGGGTGATATCCAACCAACTTAACTGCATACATCTCCCTGGAGATACCTGATTTGATGCAGAAATCAGGTCTCAGGAACTCTCAAGTCCCTGGAGACCAACCACTGTGTGGGCCCTCTGTCCCTGCCTAAGGGAATTGTCAGAGGTGTCTCGCCGTCTAAACCAGAGCTACAGCGGGTCTGACTGTAGTATGCACTTCATCGTGAAGGCCTCAGGTATGCATGTGACTCTGTTTCCTTTATTTCCTAGATTGGCGTCCAGCACCACTTTTTCTAATCAAGCAGAAAGGTAAGGTCCTAAAGTGAGCCCAAATCTCACTTTCTTTTGTCTCCTGTGCTTGTTCCTCCCGTTTCTAAAACACAAGAGTGTGCACCGTGGAAGGAATATTGTTAAGGTCAGTTGCTGCTCCAGAGAGCACTCGTCCGTTTCGTGCCCACACCTTCCTTCCTTCCTTCCTTCCTTCCTTCCTTCCTTCCTTCCTTCCTTCCTTCCTTCCTTCATTCATTCATTCATTCATTCATTCATTCATTTTAGTCAATAAGCATTTTTGCCCGGCTGGGCGTGGCTCAGTGGTTGAGCGTCGACCTAAGATCCAGGCGATTGGTGTTCGATTCCCAGTCGGGGCACATGCCCGGGTTGTGGGCTAGGCAGCCGATCAATGACTCTCTCATCATTGATGTTTCTATCTCTCTCTCTCCCTCTTCTTTCCTCTCTCTGAAATCAATAAAGATATATTTTAAAATGAATAAATAAATAAATAATAAGTATTTTTAAGCCCACTCTGTACCAGGCATTGTGCTAGATACTAGGTGTCAGCTAGGGGCAAAATGGACCTGATTCCTGCCTTTGTATAGCTCACAGTCTATCTGGGAGGCAAACATGAATAAAATATTTGTATAAGTTTGTAACTGTAAACAGTGCTAAGTCCTGTAAACAGAAAGTATAGTGAGACATGTGTAACATTCATTTATGCAGCAAGTGTGCATGGAGTGGCTGCGGGGAACTGAGGACACCATAGTTAACAAAACAGCAAATCCTGATTTGCACAGACTTATATTCTAGTTGAGGAGGCAGACTGAGCAAATTAACAAAAAAACTGGTAATGTAATTTGATATCACTTAGTGCTCTTTGTTTTAATGATTCCAATGTAAATGGAATTTTTAAAAAAATTAATTTTCCAACTTTTTGCTGTTGGTATATGAATATACAATTGACTTTTTGTGTGAACATTGTAATGTAATAAGCTAAGTTCACTTAGTTGTAGTAGTTACTTTAAAGCATTTGTATCTAAAAAATCCTATCACCTGTAAATAGTGACAGTGCCACCTCTCTCTCTGATTTCTGTGCCTTTTATTTTTGTTGGTTGCTCTGCTGCAGTGGCGAGGGCCTCCAGGACAGTAAGGGAGATGTGAGCGAGCGCCCATGCCTCACTCCTGCTCCCATGGGCGAGGTGCTTAGTATCTCGCCGTTCATTATAGGTTTTCATAGCTGCTCTTTACCGGACCGAGGACTTTTTTTCCTTTTTGTTTCTAGTTTGCTGAGATTTTTAATCACAAATGTATGTTGAATTTTTTCAAAGGCATTTTCTGTATCTACTGAAATATATGGTTTTTGCCCTTTATTCTTTAATATATTGAATTCCGCTGATCAGTTTTTGAGTATTAAGCCATTCTTACAGCCCCGGGATCAGCTCTGTTTGGTCATGGTCCACCCTTTCTATTTACAGTCAGATTAAATGTCCAGGAGGACTATTGGGCTGTCTTTTTATTCTTCTTTTCTTTCTTTTTTTTTTTGTTCCTTCTTGTTTTTTGTTTGTTTTGTAATGACTTTATTTTAGAGCTATGTTAGCCTCATAAAATAAGTTGGGAAGGGTTTCTTAAATTTTGAAAGGCTTTGTGAAGTTCAGTGTTATGTCTTCCAGAAGAACTTTTCTGACCCACCAGCTCGAACCAGCATTTCAGGGTAGACTTGGTGCAGTGGAACCATTAAGTAAGAGGGACTTGTTACCAGTTAGCAATCTGGGCTCTTCGATTTCCCCTTTCTTCCTTCTGGTAACCCACCCCGTAAGCACTCTGGGGATGTCCTTTCTAACATGTTAATCCGAGGGGCAGGGCCACATGATCATCTCTCTTGACATGCAGAGGGTAAAGGGGATAACTGCACACATTGAAATCCTTTCCATTTTACAAGAACCAACACAGAGCCCTCCTACCCCCCCAAAACTCCCCAGCTCTCCCAAGGGGAATGAACATCTCCCTGCCGGTTTTTCCTCAGAGCAGCCCTCTCTGTTAGCCAGTGACACTTTCTGGGAGGATCTTGCTGACAATTCTCACCCTGCGTTCTAGTCCTTACCCTGCCGTTCTCTGGGTTTGTGGTCTTGGAAGGTGACCTTTTCTCCCTCGGCCTCGGAACCCTCATCTGTATACTGGGGTGGCTGGAATTAGCCTGGGACCACCCTGCCATTTCCTGGCTCTCTCTTTCTAAAACCTTATTAACAGGATTCTGTGTGATTAGAATATTTCATCTCAGGGATGAAAATGACAATGAGATATCCCATAAGTGGGTTGGTGTGTATAAATGCCGGAACTCTAAATAAATAAGAGAGTAAATACCTAGACTCAGGCTGCTTGTTCCATGATTCCTTGTCTTTTCTTTCCCTGCTCAACCCAAGCATGATGGTTCCTGGCAACGCAGCAGGGGTGGCCAAGCAGTTTCTGCGCTGCATCTTCCACCAGCTGGCCCCCAACGGCATCTTCCCGCAGCTGTTCCAGAGCACCATCAAAGGTAATTCACCCTCGGGGAATGTGCACGCCACCGACGGGGCTAGCCACTGAAACCCGGACCCTGCTCAGTCTCACTGTTCACTTTCCAGATGGGACTTTTTTACGGACCTTAGCCACATCTCTGATGGACTTCAATGAGCTGAGCTCTATTGCTGCTCTCAGTCAGCTCTTGGAGGTAGGTTTGTTTTGATGATACTTGAAGCCCCTACTGAAAACCCTGCTGAGGAAGAAAGTCATTTAATTTAAAAATTAAATTAGAAAATTTTGATTTAAAAATTAAAATGTAAATTTAAGATAATTTAAATTTAAGAAATTAATTTTAAAAATTGCCAATGCATAGGAAAGGGTCAGTTAGATACTGGAGTTTTGTATGGATTTACTATTTATTTAAAGCTTCTGGACACCCTCAACCAAAGGGTGGATGCCAGCCATTGAGAACTCACCTCCAAGAACGTCCCACCTTTCAAAGTGTGTGGTGGGTAGAGCAGTGCGCACTGTATCATGAGACTTGGATTCAAATGTCAGTTTCATTTATTCATTGTATCATGAGATTTGGATTCAAGTCCTGTTATTTGATGTATTACGAGACTTGAAGTCAATTCTCAGCTCCACTGCTTATTCGTTGTATTGTGAGACTTGGATTCATGTCTCAGGTCCTCTGCTTAAACTCTCTCAATTAGCTTGGAGTGTTGGCAGACTGCCATAGGGACTTTGCTGCTGGTCATTACTCTTAGTCTTTGGCCAATAGAGTTTCCCGCAAGCATCTTTCATTGTGTCTTTTTAGCACATAACCATACCATGTAGATCTTTAAAAGATGTTTTTCTTGCTCACATTTCACCTTTTCTGACTGGGTCAAAGATCACAATTTTTCCTCCTAAGTTTGAATGTGATTTTTCTCCATACTCCCGCCAGTTGCAGTGATTACCCTATATGGTAGGTACACAACACAATGACTTGAATATGTGATTTTAAAAACTGATCTTTACCTAGTAGCTATATAAATTCCCATGCTGTTTCAACAGTTGATCGCCTATGCTTTTGTGTTTTTAGGGTCTAAATAACAAAAAGAATTTACCAGCAGGGGGTGCTATGATACACTGTTTGGAAAACATTGCTACCTTCATGGAAGCTTTGCCCATGGATTCTCCTAGTAGCCTCTGGACCACAATCAGTAATCAGTTTCAGACATTTTTTGCCAAGCTGCCTTGTGTTTTGCCTCTGAAGGTAAGCCGAGCCGAGGATTTCATTTTAGATTCCTTTTTTCTGTTTGCAGATCATCTGTCTTGGGTGATTTAATGTTATATAAAGGGCTATATGGAATCTCCGTCAGCCAGGGAAAGGAGAATATTATTTAGGTTGTTCTCTCCAAATGTTACAGAATGACCTCTATACGTAGTGATTTCATGTTTTCAGTTTGTTAAGTAAAGGTCAGGAAGACATTAGATTGTGTTTATCTAGAAATTTTTCTCGAGTAGATATTAAATAAATAAATAAGTAGTTTTGTCTAAAGGGAGACCAGACATACTATAAAGCTTCAATTTTAGAGAATTATCTAAATGGGAGTGGTTGCTGTGTATTTGTAAATCCAGTACTTGCAAGATCAGGATGATACTTTGACAGCTTCACACCTTCCTCTCTCCAGCCCACCCTCCAAGAACACACACAGGTGCCTAGCTGGAAATCTGATAGCCTAAGGAACATGTTCAACATGAGCCCACTAAATGTGCAAACAGAATCCTGTACTGTTAAAGCTGGAAGAGACCTATAAAAACCATCCTTTCCAATGTCCCCATTTTCCAGATGGGGGACTACAAATTCAGAGAGGTGGTACAGTGTGAGAATTAGAATTCAGGTCTCCTGACTCCCAGTCCAGTGTCCTTGTCACTAACAGGCTTTAGAGCCCTTCTAAAGCAAGGGTGAATTGAGAGCATTCAGGTCTTGATAGCAGAAAGAAGGGGCTGGGAGTGGCCATTGTGGTCTGTGAGCCTCACTTGTCCCACAAGCTTTCTGTGCTCTATGCAGATCACAGATAGAAGTATTCAATTTGTTAATGAATCACTTGTTAATCTGACAGGTGAAATTACAAGTTAGCAGTACCTCTTCTAAAATGATTATTACAGTATATAAAATGTTTTATAAAGGCCAATCACCTCTAACAGTACCTTTTTCCAAATTGGCAGATTTGGAAAGTGTGACCCCCACATGGGCTCTGTCAGGATGTTAATTCAGGGCCCCTGGGCTTGGTGTGTGCTGCTTTCTGTGAGTTTGAAGCTACCATGAGAGAAGCAGGAACACTGAGACCTTCGCTGTCTCCCACTCCCTCTGATTCTTGGCTCCTCCCAAGCCTGGAGTAGCTGAATCATCTAAGCAAGGAGGATTAGTATTTTGAAAGCATGTGCATGCACAGCTAGCTGCTGTACATAGACACCCAGGGAATCAGATGCACACTTTTTAACGGGGCCGCATGGAACCTCCCTAGGACCAGAGAGCCATCCAGGGCCATCTGTTGCTTAAGAGAAGGGGTGGGGTGTGCCTGGCAAATTCAGATGCCCATGGGCTGATGCTGTAGTCAAAATATTAAACTTGAACACTGACCAGTTGGAAGTATTGCGAGCTGCAAAAACTGGTAAGCCTAATTTGTAACATTCAGTCCTACCCATAGGGACCCTGACTGCCCATAGGCGTGGAGTGAGATACGGAAATAAGGAGAACTGAGACCCCTGTGAACTGGAGAGCACCAGTCCCTTCTAACAGGGTCAGCTGCTACTCCTCTCCAGCCAGCTGTTGTGTGGGAATGCAGGCCTCATGCTGTTGATCTTCCTATTTTTTCAAAACGTTATTTCCTCATTTTAAAAACACTGTAGGGAGCAGATGAGCAGCCAGTTTTCAGCTCTTGGTTCAAAGTAAAGTCATGTAAATGTCAGACCAACTCTGATGGGTACTGAGCAGATTAAATAGACCAATGCTTCCCTTAGGAAATACTTGCAAAATACTTTCAGAATGTATGTGAAAATTTGCCCTGCTGAGCCCTGCCTCTGATTATCTCTGCTTTGTTTTTAATCTTGGGGGAAAATACTAAGCCACTGAAAAACCTATAGTTTGTTCTCATCAGTTTAGAGAAGTGAATAGCAAAATTTAGCGTGCATCAGTGTCCCTGGAGGGCTTCCTGGGCCTTATTCTGAGAGTTTCTGATTCCATAGGGGTGTGGGCTGAGGAGTTGCATTCTAACAAGTTTCCAGGTCATAGAGGTATTGCTGGTACAGGGATTATACATGGAGAAGCACTGGCCCACTTTGTACTACCTTAAAGAAGTTACTATTGTACCCAGCTGCCGAGTCTTAACTGTAGCTTGCTATTGTGATGTCTTTATAATGTTAAATAATAGTATTGTTTATTCTTGCTGTAACATTTTCCCCCAGTCCCAGTAAACTCAATTTAAAAAGTACGTTTTGATGTGGAATCTTGCCAAATACAATTCTAATGAATTTGTGAGACATGATTTTCTCTTGTAGAAATTTTACTGCTCTTCCCCAGGTTTTTGTCATGTCTTTTAGTAGCAGAGAAAGGGCAGATGAAACTGATTTTTATTTGGATTAATAAACCTAATGGTTTTAAATTGATCTAAGTTTTTTTCAACATGCCCTTTTACAAATTAGTGTACCTCTGTAGAGTTGGACACATTTAATATCTACCTATCCACCTATCTGTTAGTCCGTCCATCCATTCATCCATCATCCATCCATCCATCCATCCGTCCGTCCGTCCATCCATCCACTCACCCATTCATTATCCAATTCTTTATCCAACTCTGATTTAATTTTAGGGATATATCTTTGAGAAATAGTTTAAGAACTATGTTTAATTACTTAACTGTTTAACATTGTTTAATAAATTGTTTTAAACCTGAGAATGATTTTTTTCAGTGTGAATACATGGCATGGAAAACTACCAGGAGGCAGCTATATCTCAGATTTTATTTCCTAAAATAAATGCTCATAGGAAGTATAAGAAGCAAAGATATAACGATGAGTACTGACTTTTACTTTTTCATATTTATTCACAGTGTTCTTTAGATTCCAGTTTGAGAATTATGATTTGCCTCTTGAAGATACCCTCTACCAATGCCACAAGGGTATGTATGTTTCAGACAAACATAACCAGTTGGTATTTAGTTATTTTTTTAACCTGAGAAGAAGGGCATGGAGCAATACTGAACAAACAGTTATTGCATGCTGAATGCTTCACTTTCAATTTCCTTGAAAATGTGTAGTATGAAGAGCTCTAATATATCACAGTATCATTTTTTATAATTGGTCTTCTTAGTTCTGGGCCATGTCCACCAGTCCGTCCCCTATACTATGAATTAGGTGATCCTTCTAAACATAGATCTCATCCCATTAATTCCTTGCTTTAAAATCTTTGATAATTTCTCATTTCTTTTAGGATAGTGTCCAAAATTCCTTAACGTGGCATACGAGAAGGTACTGCATTCACTTGCCAGCCTGCCTTTCTAATTTAGTCTTCGGCTCCCTGTCCCATCCCCATGCCTCCTGCGTACTTTCAGAATCATCATCAGAACAACCACCACTGGTTTTGAGCACTTACCGTATGGCAGGCATCGTGCTAACAGCTTTACGGTTATAATCTTATTTAATTTCATACTTCCTTGCCTTTGCTTAGGCCACTTCCTTTACCTGAAATGCTTTATACCCTTGTCAGTGAGGTGTACTTCTCACTCTTCAAAATAAGAATTTGAATTTCAGTGAAAAACTGCTCCTGTTCTCTGTAGCAACTTCCACCTAAGTCAGCGCCCACCAACTGATAGAGCTCTGGGAATTAGCGTAACATGCGGACGCCTCCCCAGCGAGACTCCAGCCTGGGGTCACTCCCCTGTGGATGCCTGGCTGCATTTCTGGCTGCATCATCTGCAAGGGTACAGCGAGTTGCACTGCAGCAGCTTGTAACTCCTGGTTAATATACCGAGAAGGCACAGTTCCTGTAACTTTTTACCTTGAATGTGCTTTCACAGACTCATGGTTTATGCTGGAAAGTCGCGAAAAGATCATTTGATCCGATCTGTTCATTTACAGATAGGGGAAAGGCTCAGAGAGGCGCAGTGCCTGGGCCAAGGTTGGTGGAACCTGGGGCCTCTGATTCCAAGTCCCCTGACTTTTCTGCTGTGCCATGTTGCCTCGTCACCACACTGCTTTGCTAGATGAAAGAGCAAAAAACTTCTGTGTTGGTTTGAATTCAGATTTCTTTGTTTCTTGGCAGTAGGGATGCATTATATATCAACAGAGACATATTCCTGTCCCCACTCATCCATCATCCAAGGCAACAACAGTTACACAGAGCAAAGAATGCTGAATCAGCTGTCCTATTTCAAAGAGTTTCTTGTTAAGGTTTATTTTATGTGGAAAGTACTACATGGGCTTATGCGGGGAATACAGATAAATTAAAGATATAATCCCTGTCCTCAGGGGCAGCTAACATGTAATGAATTCATTTTTGCATTAATAAGGCAAAAGGATCTCAAAATGCTCATATCCTTTGATTTAGTCATTTATTTTCTGGGAATCTATTCTAAGGAAGAAAACACAAATATTATGCAAAACCTCTTTATTGAGATGTTATAATAAAATGTGATATTTTACTACAACATCCCAATGGATGATTATGAAGAATTAAGTAGCATTGGAAATTAGTTTTGTTGTTGTATTAACAAAATGTAGGATTGTATACATGTCAGATTTCAGCTTATAAACTTGTGTGCAACGAAGAAGGGAAATATGGCAAAATGTTATCAGCAGGTGGTAGGAGTAGGATGACTTTTATTTACTGATCTCTGCTTTCTGCAGACCCTGCATTTACACTTTGAGCAGGTATTACTTTTATAACTCAGACAGTTAGGACTATAGAGGTTGAGAGGTAGTGGGGAATAATGGCATGGAAGTCTTTTGGAGCCAAATTAAAACAATCCCGTCTTCCCTGCAGAGCAGTTCTTCCTCTGGAAAATTGCCCTGGAATTTGGCTTTGAATCCCGTTCAATAGCTCCGTGCCTTTGAGCAAGTGACTTGCCTGCTCAACTGCCTCAGCTGCAGCATGGGGATACTAGAGCCTCAGAGCTACGATGCAGATCAAAGCTGATAGTGATGGAGGGCTTACTGCTGCCAAGTGCTTTACATACATTATCTCCTTTAATTCTTACAACAGCATGTTGAGGTGGAGGCCATTATTACCTCATTTTACAGGGGGAACAACCAAGTCCAAAGAGGTTAAATCACCTATTCAAGGTCTCAGAGAGCTAGAGTTTGAAAACATGTGTGTGAAACTCTAGACTTGTGTCATTACCTATTCTAACATACTGTCTCCCCAGGATTGTTATAAAGAATTTGAATCAGATAAACTATATAAAAGCACCTAGCTCTGCCTGATACTTAATAGGTGTTCAATATGTGTTTCTAACTGGCTTCAGAAAGCATATGGATTAAAACTGACCCTTTATGGGTGGATCTCAGATGGAGAAACCAAAACTGACAATGTCTTTCTGATAATAAACATGGGCAGGAAGCTGGGCCATGATGAGTTGTACCTAAGCTTAATAGTGCTTTGGTGCTCACATGCAAGGGTCGGTTTGTGCTGTTTAACTGAGGTGACAGGCTTCTAGAGGAGCTGGATCTGATGAGCCCGTAGAGGCCTAGGGATTCTGAGAAATAGAGTAGAAGATCTAATGCAAGCCTCACAGAATATCGATTGCTGGGGGTGCACATGAGGATAGGATTAGAGTTAGGTAGGTTTACAAATGATGCCATCTAGAAAAAAAAGGCTTTTTTCCCCTCTTTTTTTTTTTTTAGCAATAAAATGATTAAATCATGCACTTCAAACCATTGATTGAAGGTGCAGTTCTGTTCTTGTTAGACCAACTGGGTTGCTACAGTAGCCATCTGGCAACAGATTTTAAATAAAAAGGAAAGAATGATCCCATTAAAGTATAAAACTTTAATACTTTTTTAAATGAAAGAATCAGCAGTTGATTTTATTTGGCCCCAATCTCATTGCAGAGTTTGTTGGAACCATTTTCGAAATTGCTCAGCTTTGTAATTCAGAATGCTGTCTTCACTCTGGCCTACCTGGTGGAGGTGTGTGGCTTATGTTACCGAGCTTTCACTAAGGTAAGTGTGCATATGTATGTCAAGTCCCTGTTAGACTAATTGCTTCAATATAGTTTTAAAATGGGTAATTCTACTGAGGTCTAATAAATAGCGTTGGAAAGAAACACTTTACATATATACATAAAATATCTTAAATACGAAAATTTAGAGGATTGAGGGTCATATAGTTTAGAAAAGAAGAGGTGTTTTGCATGAAATGAGATCATGGTCTAAATGACCTCTTAAAGTCCTTTTCAAGTTCACCCATGATTAGTGGGCAAGGCGTCACTACCTATTACTTTTATACCCAAAGTAGAAAAATATTGGGTTGTCATTTGTAACAGCCCGTGAAGAGCTCCTTAATTCTCATCATTTGTCTGTCTCCCCAGTTCTGGGTTCTTGGCCTCTGAGATTGCAATCTCATCTCTTGTCATCTTGCCTTAATAATGCTTTCTCTATTGAGTTATCTTCAGTATCCCCTGCCCCACCACTGAGGAAGTGGAAAACTACTGCTTGCCTAGTGCAGGTGGCAGCCTTGCTGGAGCTGGTAAACACTAATGGAAGAGCAGGAGGCATTTCTGTCCTTACAATGTGCAGATCTTACTTTTCCAATTTCCAAGTTTGTTTTCAATGGGGTCTCTGTTTCTGCTGTTTTCTTGAATATTCAGAATACTCCTTTCTTCATGTTGTTCACTTCTGTAAGCCCTTTATTTTCTTCATAAAAATCTAATTTTATACCAAGGCTTTTATTCTATTTAAAACACTCTTGTCTCATTTTTTTTCCATCTTGTGTCCTTTCTGCCATGTTAAGTGTTCCATGATAATCTTCTCTTCAGTCTTTCTGATTATAAACCATTACTCTGCCTGGAATGATATGTTTTCCAACTACCAAAATAATAAGTATTTTTTCTTTTTTCAAATCCTTCCTGAAAAATGACTTTTTCCTTTTTTTCACTTTAAAAAAATTGATCTGTAGGACACAGCCCCAAATAGAACAAAAAGATCCTCTATATTTAGAAGACATTTTCTTTATGTTTGATTTGTTTAAATTAATGCATTTTCATAGAGGAAGAACCATAATGAGTTTGTATTTCTTATGTTGTCCACTATAGGTATCGATTATAGGGGACCTTTATCAATTTGGATTCAAGATATTCTTGGCTTTGAATATTCATTATACATTATATCCCCTCATAATCTATCATAACTTTAGAGGCCTCCACTTCCTGCTGCCATCTACCCTTTCTCATTTTCAACTTGAAACTAATGTTACTTATAGAGAGTTTCAATCTAGGGTGTTCCCACCTACCTCATAATGAGAAGCTCTAAGAAATAGGTAAATAGCAGTATCTAATCAAGCCTTCTCCCTATTTAATCCAGAGAAAAGGCATGGAAATGTAAGGGATTTGGAAACTTCCCTTTCTGCCAATCTGGCAGCCTAGATAACCTAAAAACGATTCCACTTAAATACTAGAATTGCTGGATGAAATAAACATGATTTTAAAAGTAAAACTAATTTTATAAAAATAAAAAGAGACAAAAATGGAGAGGGAATTGAGAAACAGAATGGTAAGTATATAAGCTAATATTGTAGAAGTCTTGGGGTGAGGGTTTTGCTTTTCTTAGTAACTTAGTAGCTTGAGTTTTAAAGCCCACACAGAGAAAGAAGATGAGGTTTGGGGACTATATCAGGCTGGGACTTGGAGCTGAGTCATCCCCAGCAGAAAGTCAGAACCCTTGAAAGGCTATACATTTGGTAAAAGGGTGATTTGCAAAGAATATATTCTTATATGGAAGTGACAAAGAATGGAATCTGTCTGAACCTGGAAATTGAGAAAAAGATTTGTAGTAACCTTGAGAATTAGTAAACATAAATCTACCTGTGAACATGTTTAGAGTTTGATTTATAATACCTGCATGCTCTGTGAACCCCAAACTAAAAAGTCAAGTAACATTGGTGCTGAGCAAGTAATAGCATTGGAATGTCTGGTAGAAGTGAACTTGAAGTCAATCCTCAGACCTCTCAGGATTTCCATAATTAAAATTCTGATGAGCATGAGCCACAATCTAAAATTATAAATCATATGAAGAAATAATCCACCATGAGCTTGATTATCAGAGTCAACATATAGCAAGATTATTTCCTCTAAGGATTTCCGATATTAGAACTATGTGATAGAGACTATAAAAACATATTTTAAATGATAAGCATATAAAAGAAGAGAGAAAAACACGAGATCTAGTTACTCAAAAAAGCACACAGAAAGATTCAAAAAAAGTAGAAAGTCTAGAAATTAAATAGTCGCTAACATAAAAAAACAGATTAAACAGCAAATTAGACATAGCCAAAGAGGGAATTGGTGAAATGGAAAATAGAACTGAAGAAATTACATAGTATGCAGCAAAGAGAGAGAAAGAGATGAAGATGATAAAGAGAAGATCTAACATGTATTTAATAAGTGTTTCAGAGTGGGAAAATGGGATTTTTAGCAATTCTAGAATTGATGAAAATCATTCATGCTTTGATTCAGGAAGCACAATGAGCACTAAAAGTATTACAAATAAACTAAAATTTTACCTGCACATGTCATAGTGTACATGAGTAACATACAACTTGACAGAACAACCAAGACAGATAAGATTTTTTTAAGAGCAACAAAGAGAAAAGACACTCTATAGATAGACTGACAACAAACTTATCAACAGCACAATGTAAGCCAGAGGATAATGGAAAAAATGTCTTTAAAATTATGAGAAAAAGATAACTGTTCATCTGGAATTCTCTACCAGCTAAGCTATTATTTAAGAGTGAAGCCTAAATTATTAGGAAAATTAGAAATTTCCTAATATATTTTTAACTGAAACAAGTACTAAAAGATGTATTACAACATATTATGAGGCCAATAGACTGTTGAAACCAAACAGACAAAGGCAATAGGGGCAAGAAAAATTATAGGCCAATTATACTTCAGAGATGTAAAAATTCTGAAGGAATAATATGCATTAAAACTAAAGCCTCATGACCCAGTGAGGATTTTCTTGAAATGTAACAATGGTTAAATATTAGAACATCTATTTATGTTACCGTGTTACCAGATTAATGGAGAAAAACTTTTATCATTATCTCAACAGATAATAAAAGAAGCACTCTTTCTAATGTAACATCCATTTATGATAATTCTTGTCAGACTAGGAATAGAAGGAGCTTCTTTAACTTGACAAAGGTTGTTAACCAGAAACCCCTAGGAAACATTATACTTAACGGTGAAGTGCCAGCAGTAGTACCCTTAAAATCGCAAGTAAGACAAGGATGCCCTTTATCCCTGTTTCTGTTCACTCTGGTCCTGGATGTCCTCCTAAGTTCTATAAGACAGGAGGAAGAAATTAAACATATGAGGATCGGAAAGGAAAATAAAACTTTCACTTTTCATAGACATGTCACTATAAATGGACCAAAGAGAATCTCTCTATAGACACCATTTTGTAGCTTGTGTAAGAAAGTTCAGCAAGGGTGCCAGGTACAAATGAATACTCAGAAATCATCCACCTTCACCTTCAGCTAAGATGATTATAAAAGTTACTTTAAAATACCATTGATTGTGGCAACAGAAATAAATTTAATAAAATGTGCAGGAACTTTATGGAGGTAACCAGAAAATGTTATTAAACAACATTTAATGAATAGACACAGAGCTCATGTTCATCGATGAGGACCCAGCATGATAAAGAAGCTAATTCTCACAAAATAACCTATAAATTTAATATAATTTCAATAAAAATCCTAGACTTTTCTCTGATAATGATGGACTAGATAATCTGAACCTATCCTCCCATTTAACTTAAAAAGTTAAAAAAAAAGTGAACAGAATATTTTCTGAAAACTTTTAAAAAGCATTAAAATGCTAATCAGATATAGGAGAATTACCAGGCTAAGACCTGGGAGAGCACAGAAATGTAGAGATGTGAGCCTAGCACTGAAGGCATTTTTGCCCTGGGGGTGTTGCCTATCTGGAAGACGTGACCGACTGAGCTCCAATTCTGGAAGATTCAGGGTAGGGGAACAAAAGTCACAACCCAGGATCTACCAAGAGTGGTAACTCTAATACACCCACCCACACAGACACTTTTGGTCAGAACCACAAAGTAATGATATGCCCTCATGCGGACGCAGCTGGATATCAAGTTCTTTGCTTGCTAGAGGTAAGAAAGTACAAGGCTTGTATGTTTATTGAGGCAACACTGGACCTCTGGTGCCTCCAGTACCTGGCAGAAACAAACAGAAAGCTCTTTGGAGGAAGACAACATTTCACATAAGTACCGCGTGCTAACCGATTGCGCGACTGGAGCTCCGACAACATTTCAGTTCTCAAATAATTTTTATGAAAAAAAAAATTTTTAAACAATAATTTATTGATTTTTAGAGAGAGAGGAAGGGAGAGGGAAACATCAACATGAAAGCATAACATCGATCAGCTTGCCTCCCTCATGGCCCCCTCCTGGGGATCGAGCCCGCAACCCCCGCATGTACCCCAACCAGGAATCAAACTGGCAATCTTTCAGTGCACAGGACAAGGCCCAACCAACTGAGCCACACTGGCCAAGGCTATGAATAATTTTTAATAAAGCATCCAGCATGCAAAGATAACCAGGCAGATGAGGAGTCAAGACAGCATGAGCACTAATGAGTAGAAAGAAAAGACAGTGGATACAAACCAACAGGGTCTCTAGGTACTTGGTTATGGTCAAGAAAAGATACACAGGGGGCTTCTAAGATGCTCACAGTGTGCTGTTGCTTGATCTGGTGCTGATACTAATCCCTTTATCTGTACACTTATGTTTTATGTACTTTTCTGCATGTATGTTATAGTTGACAATGAAAAAAGGCTTACAAAATTGAAAACAACCTAGTGTTCCATTAATAGGAGGACAGATCGATATATTTTGGTATGTTCATATGTAACATATTATTAATCCATTTAGCTGAAAGAACCAGAGCTATGTGTATCAACAGGGCTAACTTCAAAAATATAATGTAGTGACCCTGGTCCCTGTGGCTCAGTTGGTTGGGCATCACCCTGTGCACTGAAGGGACAACCAGACTCAAAATAGCAGCTACTTTAAGGAAGGGAGAAAGAACAGAGAGCGCTACATAGGTAGCTTCGACAGTTTCTGTGGTGTTTGATTTATTATTTAAAAAAATGTAAAATCAAAGCAAAATGTTAAAATTTGACATGATACATAATATATTCCATCTATTTTACTTTATGCTTAAAATTGTCCATTTAAAAAGTAAGTTCCTTAGAGAGAATATGAGATCCTTTAAGCAGGTGTACATGTTTCCCTCTAAATTATTTTCTATTAAAAAAAAAAAGCTTTTAGATTTGTTGAATTTTTGCAGTTCTGGGAACTTGTGTCATTCCCGGTGAGTAAGAACCAAATCCTGTGGTTTCCGTGTTGAAGAGCAGGCCTGTCTTCTTACCCGTTAAATGATCTGTTGTTATTGCTGTAGTAAACTCATGACACACAAATGCCTTTTCAAAACTTTTCCTTTGTTCTGTTAATTTTATTTATTAAGGGCAACTCATTATGCGTTTTATTTTTATTTTATTTATTATTTTTTAAAACCAAACATATCTTTATTGATTTCAGAGAGAGGAAGGGAGAGGGAGAGAGAGAGAGAGAAACATCAATGATGAGAGAGTCATCGATCCGCTGCCCAGCCTGCAACCTGGGCATGTGCCCTGATTGGGAATCGAACCCCGATCTCCTGGATCCTAGGTCGATGCTCAACCGCTTAGCCACGCCCGGCCGGGCCTCATTATGCATTTTAAAATACTGTTTTTTATTTCTGACCTGCGACTCTTTTGGAAGCTCTTTTGGCATAGATCTATTCTAATTGAATTCGTAGAAATTGCTCACCTTCTCTTTTGTTTTCTTTAGGAGCGGGATAAATTGTACTTGTCTCGCAGTGTTGTCCTAGAACTCCTGCAGGCCCTGAAGCTGAAATCTCCTTTACCAGATACAAACCTGCTCCTGCTTGTCCAGGTAGGCTGATGCCTTGTTTGTAATACTTCATGAGATTCACTTATGTTTGGAAAAATTAAGGAAGGTATGGGGCATATGCATAAATCAAATATTTCTGCACCTGTTATGTGCCAGGCAGTACGGTAGGTGCTTTACATATTCCCCTCACTTTACCTTACTGCCATGGGAGTTCTTGGTTCTGTATCGTAGATAAGGAGACTGAGGCTCTGGGGGGTTCAGTGACTTGCCCAAGATCACGCAGCTGGCGTAAGGAGAGTCAGCACCCGACCACAGGGTCTGTTCGTTGTGGAGCACAGCCTCGTCAGGTTTTCCATTCCCCGCCCAGATGACCGTAACAGCTCTGAGCTTTTGGTACTGCCTTCTTCTCTCCAGACCAATCCAGTCTTCTGGTTTATGGCTGCCTAAATGAATTTTGCTAAACCTCTATTTTTTATCAGATCACACCCTGCATTGAAAACCTGCAGTGACTTCCTAGTGCCTGAACGACCGAGGTCTTCCATTATCTGGCCGCATTTGACTCCTCAGCGGTATTTCCCATGACAGATGTTCCCTGACCGCCTGTTTTGGGCTGGGGTCTGGTAATGCAGAGATGTAGAGGCATGGGTCCTGTGCCAGTAATGTGCCAACCATTATGCAGCGTGTAAGGTCCTGTAGAGGAGGAGTGGCCCGCTCAGCCGGGGCGGTGGAGGAAGGCCCCTTAAGCCATTGTGCCCCCTGACCTGGCCCAGGCGCTGGGGAAGCAGAGATGAGCAAGCCATGGCCCCTTCCTCCAGGCTGTATTACCTGGTAGGTGAAGCTGACATGTAAACAAAAATTCCCACCGTAGTGTAATGGGCACAGTGGCAGAGGCGTGCACTGAGTAGGGAAGTGGTGTAGAAAAGGGACTGTGTGCACCTTGAAGGGTGCACAGAAATTGAGGTGTTTATCCAGGAGAAGAGGAGGAGGGACACCTGTCATTTACCAGCTAATAGACACTACTTGGGCCCCTTCCTTCACTACTATATACTACTGGTCCTTAGGACCACAATTGAGTTTTTCCACAAAGCCTTGAGATTTAATAAAAAGTTGGTGTACTTTCACTGAAGAATCGTCTTCAGTTGCCTTTGAAGAGCTTTTTTTGGTCACATTGAAGCTCTGTGAGAGCAGCGATTGCTGGAAAATGACAGCAGTGGGTGTGAGACATGATGTGGTCAGAATGAAGTGGCTCCCATTGAACCAAGATGTTAGACAGCCCAAGAGGAGGGTAGAAGCAAAACCACAGCCTGGAAATACCTGTGTTCCCGAGGTCAGGCAGGTATTCACCCTCTTCCGGTGGGTTGCCATGGGCCAGCCCCTCCTACTCACACTCAAGTCACTTGCTTCTGATAGTGTTTTGGTTGGTGACCTGCCACCTCAAAATAGCCTAGGTTTCAGGCCCTGAAGGTGCTTTCCCGTGGGCATCAGGGAGCGTTCTGTTAATTGCCCCCAGCCTTGAGCAGAGCTGATCTGTGAGGCGGATCTTCTCGGGGTCTAGCCCCTGACGCCGTGACTGCAGCCGAGGGCTGGTTTCCTATGAAGTACATGAGTCAACCATAATAGGAACTTGCCACAAGACAGCAGCCCAACACTGACTGTTTCAATAGCCCAGCACTTAAGGAAACCATGAAAACAGTGATTATGCGTCACAGTGAGGTAAATAAATAACAAAAACAGATTTGTTTCAGGAAGAAAGAAGGCAAAAAAGTAGATTCTTCTGAGTGTGTTTTTTGGATTCTCATATGCCATGTCAATGAATTTCATTTTCATCTTTTTGAAACAAATGTGTATTTGTCATTGAATCATTAAATTTAAAACATCAAGTTGTAAAATTATTTAGGTTGGAAAGGTGTTTTGGAGACATTTTGAGGTCGTGCCCATGAGGAACAACTTTATGAATGTTTCCACCTCCAACAAAGCAGGTTAAGCATCTTGCCGTTTTGAAGTAGTACATCTTTGTTTGTTCTATAAGCTTTTAGAATAAACAGTTTTAATTACTGAGAGAAATAAAAAGGAGGCATACTTAAAAGTTCCCATGTCTACCCTGTGATTTCTGGCTAACTGGTGGAGAGGAGTTCTATGTGGGACCACTCATGGGATGAAGAAGCCACTTGCCTCTCTTCATGAATAGTCCATCTTTCTGTGGGTTTTCCTGTTACTTTTTCTCTTGCCCTTGACTGCCTGGGTCCTCCAGGTGTTCCCTGGAGAATAGCACAGGGTATAACCTGCTCTCTGGTAGTTTCTCTTAGGCCAGAGAGTTTAGCCTGGAGTCAGAGAAAGCTCTTCCCTTTACCGATGGGGCATGCCAGGCCCTCGCTCCTGGAGGATTAGCTCCCAGTATGGACAGATACTGTGTCTGAGGCAGACAGTGACTTCCTTTATAGATGTCAGTGACCACCATCTGAAGGCAGTGGGGTGGCTTTGTTTAACTGAAAATGCAACTTGAAAACAGAAAAGAAAGAAACATTTGGAAGGAAAAACCCCCCTGATGAGCCATCATAAATGACACTGGCCCCGTTAGAGAGAAGTCAATTTTTTAAACCTTGGATTTGCCCTTCTTTCTTTCACCCTCCAGGAAAGCAGTCGGGTGTGTCCTCTACCTCTTGAATTAATAACTTAGATGAGCTCATAGAGATGGAGCTGTTTACATTCTCATAGACAGACCATGCCCTTGTTGTTTACCACATGCTCTGTCTGTAAGCGTCCCCTTAAAAACAGTGAAACACTTGCCCAGGGAATGTGGGGCCACAAAGCTCTGAACACTTCAAGGCAGTGGTAGGTGCCAATCTGTTTTTAAATGCCTAGAATTTCTTCCTGGAGGCTGAGATCATGGGAAACCTCCCACTGGCTATAGTGATTGTCCAGCCATGACTCCTACTGTTTTTACTTACGTATAGTCAGGTGGCCTTAGATATTCAAGTGGATTTTTTTTTTAAAGAAAAAAAGCATGGAGACAGGGAAGAATTTTCAAAATAGAAAAAAGATATGTATCCTTCAGAATCTAATCCCTGTCAATCATCAGGGTGTGGTTCTTCTGCACTTTGGACCGAGGCTCTATCTGATTGTTTTAATTCCGATCTATTGACAGTTTTGCTTTCACTTACAGCGTTTTCTCTTCTGCTGGTCTGCTGCAGATGCTTTATGTGTTAGATGTTTATTGTAAGTGTTCTCAAGATGGATTAAAGCAGTTTTCCTAATAGAGTGATAACCCATTAACAGCTACAAAGGCTATAGAAATGCTCAAATCCAAAAGAACATCCTCGGCTCCTATTACATGTCAAGAGTAGACATTTTGCTGATTTGCACGGAGCACTCCCACTGTGTGGGATACACCTGCACATTCAAGTGTGAGAAACCGTGTGGGTGGCAGGTTTTCTTTTAAAGATCGGTTAGTTGTGGGCTGGAGGACAATGAAACGGCAGGGGCACCGCTGCTCTTTTTGACTCACAGGTGCTATGGATGTGGGATTATTAATATTGGTTGAGTTACTTACAGTCTGATCGCTCTTTAGGATGAGAGGTGGAGATACTATTTTGAGTCTCATTTCGATAATGAATTTAGTAATGACACATAATGGATATTGCATTTCTTCTGCATTCTTTTGTATTCGTGCGGGAGTGCATATTTCTATCTGCATATAAAATTCTTCCTTGTATGGCAGTCATCCTTTCCCTCTCTGATTTTAGTTACATCTTTATATTTATACGAGCAATTCTATAAAATTTTAATGGAGTTTTTCACTTCCTGGTTAGCAGCTATATAAAATGAAGACAGAAAAGTTTACTTAGTTGTACATATTATGTTAAAATGCACTGGATTAAAATGCATTGATAAAAAGTAAATAGATGGTTTTGGGCTTATGCACTTTTATACCCTTTGATATACCAACTCTCTGCAGCACCTCCATAGCTTTTAGGGTGATTTTGATTAGTTTTGGCTTCCAAGAGTTATCACAGATCAGACATTTGAATTTAGCCTCATATCTTGACACTTACATTATGTTGCTCCTTCCCCTTTGCTGAGCATGGTAGGTGAGAGAGGCTCCTGCTGATGGGAGACGGAGATGGTTGAAGTTTCTCTTCACAAATCCTATCTTGCCCTAAGGGCACAGGTGGGCTGTGCAGGCATTCTTTAGGGGGCTGAAGGCTCTAGACCACCTAGGGGCACTCCTGCTGCCTGGGCTCCCCTTCCCTCACACTTCCATGCAGTTCTCTCTTGCCCTTGGCCTCTCTTAGCTGTAGTCTCTCATTTCTGTTTTAAAGAAATTAATTAAAATGTTGGTGTCCTGGCAGAGGTTTCAGAACTTAGTGATAAGTAGTTTGTCTTAGATTGCAGACTCGGAGAGTTTTGAAATGAGGAAAACTATCTGCCAGGAATTGGGGAGTTCCTTCTTTTCACCATGTACTTCTATCAGATTTTTTACTTACAGGTTTTGGCTGAAGGTACAGGCTTTACTTTTAAAAAAAATCCTGATTTATTTAATTTTCCTTGTATTAGAAATAAACCCAAATTAGAAGAGCAGACATAAGCATTCTTGAATAAAATAATGGAAAATTTTAGGCATTCCCTGGATGTTGCTAGCCGGCACTTTCTTTGCCAGATTCAGAGTTAACGGCAAATAGATTCTTCAGTTTTCTGTAACTGTATTTGAAGCAAGTGCAGATGACAGAATGTGAGCGTGGAGATGTGTGCTCGCTCCTGCCACGCGGCTTTCGGAGTTCCGTTTGCTGTCTTCTCATGCCTGCTCGGTTACCTGTACTGAAACACCTTTCGTGGAGGAACACACATGAAGACCAGCTTGTGGCCTTGAACAAGAACTCTGAGGACTTCTTGACCTTAGAAGGCCTTTGGCTTATAGCTTCTCCTTCTTAGCGAAAACCTGCTGCCTATTAGTAATGCTTTGATTGTAACTCCTGATTAGTCTGCAGTATGCTGGTTTCTGTTCCTCTGCAGGCCTCCTTGAGATTTTTTTCTACCACCCTAACCCATATTACTCTCCCCAGTTTGGCAGGGTCTGAGCCTGCCTTGCTGAACTCATCTCATTGTCTTGACCTCCCTAACTTTTCTGTGCTCTTTAGGCATGAGAGTGACATGAATTAGAAGGAGGGGCTGTCAGCGTCAAAGCTTTGTTCCGAGCCTCTGGACCCTGCATAGCAGTACTTTGGATTCCAAAGTGATTGGGGCTACTGGGCAGAAGCCAGGAGAGAGAGATTGACCAGGAAATAATTGCTTATAGCAAACCCTACATACAGACTTTATGTTTAACTTTTCCCCTAAAACCATTAATAAATATTTGGGTGTTGCATTTAGTGGGAAACACCTGTAAAAATCTGTAAAGAAGGAAATTAAATTATAATCTGGCAAATCCATCCTCATGATCTCAAGACATAATTGATTAATCAGTTCATTTCACAAACTTTTACTGAGCCCCTCTGAGATGTCGGGCATGAACCTAGTGCTGGGGGTGAGGTGCCTTGAGTCTGTGCTCTCGAAGAGCTCGGAGCAGGTTATGAAATAGACTCATAGGTCATTGCAATCTAATGTCACGACTGTTACAATGGAAGTATGTGAAAAGTCCTGTGGGGACACAGAGCAGGAGCGGGGCTCATTATCAGCACAGAGGACAGGCGTGAATGAAGTGGGAGAAGGAAGGCCAGATCCAGAGGGGAAGCAACAGCTAGAATACTCACTCTGCGGTTAATCGTTTTTCTGTTTTCATTCTAAATGTATGATATAATGATAGAAGTCTGGAAGAATCTATGAAAATTCAGTAACTGTCAGGAAGTGCTGAAAATAAATAGAATAACTTCAGAATGAATCTGACAATGCTGACATCTTTTCTTCCTTGACTGAACGCATGTTTCCAGTGTCATTTAGCTGTCTGGGTAAAGTAAGAATCTGTGTTATGTGCTGTGATTGTGAATTTCTCATAGAAATCAACTGTCATGATTAGCAAGTACCATAAATCCAGGGCAGATTGTCACGAAAGCAAACACTAATGAATTTAAGCCAAGTTAATAAAATTATAAACTACTTATTACTGTCCAAATTACTGTCCAAATGCTCTTAAAAATAATTATCCTTTCAATTTCTTATTAGTTTATTTGTGCAGATGCTGGAACCAAACTAGCTGAGTCGACAATCCTGAGCAAGCAGATGATCGCCTCTGTACCTGGAGTAAGTACGGACTGAATTAATTGTCTGCATTTTATGTTTTCTCATTTCCTCATTTAGCAAAGAGGTATTTTTGACCTGTGTCTTGGTTCACTTTGATAGACTATGCACTAAAATTGAAAACATATTAGCATCTTTTTAAAAAGAGCACTAGTGAAAAATTAAACTAACCCCAGCCCTTGGATACGTTTAATTCCAGGAAACATGAATAAAATTGAAGCAGCTAGTTAAGGTGAGAAAAGAATTACCAGACATAAAGAATAGACTTGGCCCTGCTGGGTGGCTCAGTTGGTTGGAGTGTCGTCCCATACAGCAGAAACGTTGCGGGGTTGATTCCTGGTCAGGGCACATACCTAGAGTGTGGGTTTGGTCCCCGGTCGGGGTGCATATGGGAGGCAACTGATCGATCTTTCTCTCCCTCTCCCTTCTTCTCTGTCTCTCAAATCAATAAAAATATATCCTCGGGTCAGGATTAAAAAAAAAAAAAGAGAGAGAGAGAGAATAGATTTGATTAAAGTTCTATTTTTCCAGAATCAATTTTCCTACACTGGCTCCCTGTAAGCAATTTGATTGAACTACTTCCAGAAAGAAATAAGCATTGTAATGCCATGTTTTCCTTTATAATATTTTCTCTGAAAGTTAAACAATTTCCATTGTCAGCTAGTAAACTATTTGGTAAAATATGTTACCAGAATTGCTTAACCATAGCAAGTTTACTACGACAAAATCAGAAACTTTAGAGATGTTGTTCACTGAAAACAATTATTTAAATTTTCAGTAGAAAAAAATTTAATAAAGAAAAGGATCATCTATAATTCCTTTGCCTTATAACGAGAACTGTATTGTTTATAATATTTCCCATATTTTGATCTATTTAGTATCCTAATCAGCTTATTCCCATATTGTCAGAAATTTATATACTTTCTAGTTTCTTTGCTAATACATATATTTGTTATATATGTTATATATAATACAAAGATTACCTTCATCTTTATTTTGAATTATATCATTGGGATTAATTCCTTAAAGAGTAGGAATATATTATATATTTTCATATTGTTTTCCAAAAAGGTTTTATTAATTTACATTTAGAAGTACACCAATTTTACCCACAACATTAAACATTTTTTTAAAACTACTGTTTATTTTTTTATTTGTAGAAATTTAGAGAGAGGAAAAAATAATCATTCAATAGGTAATTTTACTGCTAACATATTAATGTGTTTTCTTTCTCTTTTTCCATGTATTTGTTTGAACACAGTTGAAACCGTAATATAAGTGCCACTTTGGTTCACACGTCATAAGCATTTTCCCCAAAGTTTAGTGGCTGCAGAATATTACCTCATGGGAATGTACCATAGAATAGTGGTTAAAAGTGTAAGGACTAGAGTCACAGCAGAGACTGAGGTCTGCCATTTACTAGCTGTGTGATCAGGAAAGTCAGTTGACCTGTGATTCTTTTTTATTTTTAATATGTTTTTATTGACTTTAGAGAGAGAGGAAGGGGTTTGGGGGAGGGGGAGAGAGAGAAAGAGAAATATCTGTGTGAGAGAGAAACATCTATGTGAGAAAGAAGCATCTTTCAGTTGCCTCCCCTATGCCCCCTGACCAGGAACTGAACCGGTGACCGTTCGCTGGTGCATGGGACAGCGCTCAGCCATCTGGGCCACACAGGCAGGAGCAACCTGTGATTCTTTGATTTGTATTATCTGTAGAATGGGATGTGACAGGCCCAATGTCTAGGTTGAAGATTGAATAAAAAAATGCATGAAAAACATATCAGCCAGGCATGTAGTAAGTACTGAGTAAACAATAACTATTAAAATAATATTAATAAGCATTAATTCTTTTTGGATATTTTAGTTATTTTCAATACTCTGCAGTTGTAACATCAGTTGTAATATGTGATAAACATCTTTGTGCTTAAACCTTTGTCTGTATTGTAGACTGTATTTTTATAATCAATTTCTGGGAGTAGGATTACTAGACACTGCTTTTTTAAGAGTTCTTAATAGTAATTAGGGTAATGCTATGAGATAAAATGCCAGTGCTCAGCGACTTAGCACACGAAAAGTTTATCGTTTGCTCCTGTGAAGCTAAAATGGGTACCTTGATTAGTAGAGGGAGGAGGGCTTCCATATGGACACTTAGTGATCAGGTTCCTTCTGTGCTGTGCAGTCCTCTATAATCAGCTGATGGTGGGAAAAGAGAAGAGAACATGGTGCGTGGAAGGTTTTCATGCACCAAGCCTAAACGGGTTGTGTGTTTTTTCTACTTAGATCCCCCTGGCTAGGACTCAGCCACATGGCCTCACCTAACTGCAAGGGAGGGTGGGAAATGGGGTCTAGTCTCATGCCAGGGAAGCAGTGCTCCTGTGAGTAGCTAGCCGGTCTCTGCTGCACACTCACTGGTTTACCTACTGTTCAGTTCTTTAAGACTCAGTATTTGCTGCTTATGTGATAGCTTAAAAATATTATCCTTAATATAGCAAAGGTTTATTGAAATCGACAAGTAAAAGACAAACATTCCAATAACAACAGAAAAACAAAAACAGATGTAGGAACCAAATATAGAACCCTTTCCAACGACCAATAAGCCATTCAAAACATACCTTTTACCCTCACTAGCCATCAGTGGATTGTAAATTAATATAAAATACAAAAACATTAAAAATAAAAATTAAAGTCAGCTAGCAAATCAGCGGGTTTTTTTTAATGAATGAACTCATTCATGATGAAGTGAAACAAGCATTCGTATAATCTCCCAGTAGTAGTGGAAAATGAAGCACCATGTACTTCTGCGCATATGTTCCAGGAAATAACTAGTGTGCACATAAGGAATTTACACAAGTATGTTTATTAAAGCAGCATTTGAAATAGCAAATATATGGAAATAAAATTAATGTCCAATGTTAGGATTTTGTTTAAGTAAAATAAGGTGTATCTATAAGATGCATTATTATGTGACTACCAAGTCAAGTTTTCAAAGAATATTTAATTAACTGGAAAATGTATATGATGCATTTAATATAAAAACAGGTTAGAAAAAAATCTCAGTCTTATAAAAGTTATGTATGTGTGTGTTATATACATTCAAAAGAACTTGGAAGGAAGTATTAACAGTGCCTGTCTCACAGGCGAAGGACAGGAACTAGGGTTACAGTGATTTTTATTTTTATTTTTACTAATTTGTATTTTCCAAGTTTTGTACATTGCACATGTTGCTTTTATTATTTAAGCAATGTAACTTTAAAATCAGACATAAGTTTTGAGGAGGAATTGGATATGATTCGTTTCAATTCATGTTTTTGGGTTAGAGTATGTTTTCAACGCCTTTATCATCAGCTTTCCTATTGGAATAACTAAAGGCCTTCTGAAACAAGTGGAACATGGCTCTTTAGAGTCTTTATGGTTGTTGTTTTTTTAAAATATATCTTTATTGATTTCAGAGAGAGGAAGGGAGAGGGAGAGAGAGAGAAACATCAGTGATGAGAGAGTCATTGATCGGCTGCCTCCTGCATGCCCTGACTGGGGATCGAGCCTGCAACCCTGGCATGTGCCCTGACTGGGAATCAAACTGCGATCTCCTGGATCCCAGGTCGATGCTCAGCCACTGAACCATGCCCAGTCCAGCTCTTTATGTTTTTTAATAACATGCCTAAGGTTATACTTATGTTTTGCAGAGTAAAAAAGGGGGAACTGGAAATGATATACTTTGTTTTATAAGGGTATATGGCTCACTAAGGTTTTCATGATTATAAAGTATACTTTAAGACTTTTATTAGATGTAGTTGCTGGTCTCTAGAGCAAACATAACTGAGTAATAGTAAATTCTTTGCTCTCATTTTTTTTGCAATTTAAACTTAAAAGACAAATATTAAATAATGTTCCTGGTAATTATTTTCTGTGATATTTGCCTACTTGAAACGGTACAAAATATTGCCAGCAAAAGAAACAAATCCCTTTCAAGAAGCGCAAGAGCAGAGTATGTGCTCCTATTAGTATGACATGTGAAAGGTCAGAGAAAATGGAATAAATTGGGTGGAAATCCTTTCTTGCATTAAAGGATTAATATTCCAAAAGCAGGGACACAACACACTTTTATAATTCCTTCACTTGATTTAAATTAGAAGGAAACCTTAGCATGTATGAAATGCTTGGCAAACGCTCTGACAGAACTGCCAGTGACCTCATTCTGCTGTTTGTTACCCTGTCAGGGGACCTGACAGGCGTGACGTCCTAGAAGAGAGAGAAGGTGATATAGTTCAGGACTGTGCAGATATACATGAATGTGGGAAAATAATTTCTGACTGGGTGAGCGTGCTAAGCATCTAATGTTCCAGATTTTCCTAAAGAAAGCTAAGGAAGGCCTTCGCATAGTATTCAGACGGCTTCCAAGACGGCCTGCTTTTGACCCACATTAAACCCCCACTGATGGATGGGTTCCCTCCTACAGCTTTGATGAGCAGCCTGTCTGCCCACTTTCCTTTCCTCTGCTTATAACCCACATTCACTGCAGGGCCCCAAGAGAGCAGGCTCGTGCCACTACAGGGCCCCGAGAGAGCAGGCTCGTGCCACTGCAGGGCCCCGAGAGAGCAGGCTCGTGCCACTGCAGGGCCCCGAGAGAGCAGGCTCGTGCCACTGCAGGGCACCGAGAGAGCAGGCTCGTGCCCCTGCAGGGCACCGAGAGAGCAGGCTTGTGCCACTGCAGGGCACCGAGAGAGCAGGCTTGTGCCACTTAGTAACTTGAAGCACAAGTATCCTTTTTTTTTTCCCTTAAATCCTCACAAACATGCTACTAGTGCCTGGGGAAGATAACCGTTTTGTTTATTTACTTACCTCTAGGAAGAACACAACAGTAATTACATTTATCTACTTTGTAGTGTACCTGCCGTATATGAGTTAAGTTGTAAGTGGCTTGACTTGAATATAAAAATTCTTGACTCTTCTAGCAAACACAATATTTGTTTATATACTTTTGTTTTTAATAGAGAAAGCCAGGATTCTGGTGGCGGAATTTGGTGTCACGTATTTGATGTGTATCTAAGACTCCCTAGAGTGATAAAGTGTTGCTGTAGTTTTAGTGTGACTCATGTCACAAAGACTGCTACTAATGGCTTTACATAGGCTAAATCTTTGTATACCAACCACTTGAAAAACAAACAGAAACCAGTTAGATCGCCCAGAAGAAAAAAGCATGCCCACCTTGTCTCCCGTAGGTCATTTCTTTGCTCTCCACCACAAACCTTTTATCAATTTTTGTCCCAACGCCGGGCAGACAATCACAGACTGTGCTGAGAGTAATAGAGAGAGTCAGAAATCCAGAAAATGAAACAACTCATTAGCAAACAGCGTGAAACAGAGCGAGACAGTCGAGGCAGTCAGGGCAGAGAGGAAGGCCGTGACTCAGAGCGCACCCCGGCGGTGTCCTTGTGTTTCAGTGCGGGACCGCGGCCATGGAGTGCGTGCGGCAGTCCATCAGCGAGGTGCTGGATTTCATGGCAGACATGCACACGCTAACCAAGCTCAAGGTAAGAGCGCTTCCAGCTGCCTATCTCTTAGGTTAACAAAGCAGAGACAGTTGGAGAGACTTAAGCAGACCAAATGGGACTTCACTGTTACCTGGATGAGCCCACGTCTGGGGAGCCTGAAGAACGGAGTCCCACCTCTGCAAAGAGGGAAAGGTGAAAGGAAAGGATATTTACATGGCATTGGCTATGTGCATAGCTTTACTTTTGCCACTTTTTCAGTTCTCACAATGCCCCTATTAAGGTGTTATCCCCATTTTACAAATGTTGAAACCGAGGCCCGAGGTGGTACAGTAATTTGCCCAAGGTCACACTACTAAGTGGTGGAGTCAGGGTTGACCTAAGACTATAGTGACTCCCAAACCATTAGCTTTGCACTAGGCCACAAAGCCTCATTTAACTCCCTAAGCCTCAGTTTCCTAATTTGCAAAACAAATCCAATGATACCTGCCTTTGCTGACTGTTACAAGGTTTGATGTTAAATAATGCATATGAAGAGATTTTGTAAGCTATAACACATTATGCGAATGTAAGCAGTTTATGGTTTTTATCTGCATTGAACCTATCTTCTTCAAGAAAATAATTAAAGACAAGGGGTAGAACAAACTTTAATTTGCAAGTGGGCAAAATCCCAGTGAATTTGTTGAGTTTATTGACGGTTTTGCAGGGTGGAACAAATTGCTGATGCAAGTCAAGTTCCCTGCCATGAGTGGACTAAAAGATTGATAGTTTGAGAGATTTGAGGTAGGCCCTAGACACAGGGCAGAAGGGAATCTAAACATGGCCCAACAAGCAGCCAGATTGCAATCTGGCATCAAATGATTCTTTTTTGTTAAACAGGATCTAGTCATGCCAGAAGTCCATCAGCTAAAAATATGGTCCCTTCCTCACCCAACACAGTGGCCAGACTGCTCAGATGATCTAAGTGTTTCTTGGGACAGCAATAGATTTGCACATTCCAGTGGAAAGTAGAATCAAAATTTAAAGGGATGATTCCTCACACTGTCCAAATGCAGTCATTTCCAAGGAAGCTCCCCTCGCTTTTGATTGCCCACTGGTCACTAATTGCCGAATCTGGTTGCCTACACTTAAATGACTTTGATCTACAAAGAAGAGGGAACAATTGTTACCTAAACATTTTTAGCTTGTTTCATATAGCCACTTTCAAAATACAGAGAAGAAGAATAATAAGAATCCATGATGATCGAAAGGTTGGAGACTACAGACATACTCCACTTCTCCGATTTTCCATAGTATTGGCAAACAGATGAGAAAGGGCAAGTGGCAAGTGGCTTATCTAAGGCCATGCAACTAATTAAGACAGAATGGGTCTCAAACCTAGGTCTCAACTCACAGTTTCATCTTCTTTCCATTCACTAAGCCACACTGAGCAAAGACATGTTTTCTAAATTAATTCAACAAATATGTATTGAGCATCTATAATGCAACCATCACTGTTCTAAGCATTTAGGATGCAATGATGAAAAAAACAAACACAGTAGCTGCCCTCATGTAATTTATAGTCTGGTAGTGGAGGCCAACTTTAATGAAAATTTTATACAAACTAAAGTAAAATTGTGACTTTCACAATTGCTATGAAGAAGGGGTAGTCAGCAGCATGAGAGCTTCTAATAGGATGATATGACTTAGCCAGAAAGGAAGTCAAGTAAAGCTCCCTGGAGGAAGAGACACTTCAGCTAAAATCCAAACAATGAATAGCGATTAATTGGGTGAAGAGAGACAGGAATAGTATTTCAGGCAGCAGGAACAGCATGAGTGCAGGGCAGTAACGGGAGGGAACCGCTGTAGCGGCAGCCCAAGGATGAGGGAGTAAGATGCACAGCTCTGCAGTAGCGAGGTCATTCCAGGCTTTTTAGCTTGTGCAGAAGAATTTTTTTTTCCTTTATCCTAAGAGCAGTGGGAAGCAATTTACTTTTCAGAGGGTTGTATGCTTGGGAGTGGCGATAGAAGGTGTGGAAATGACAACCTGCTCATTTTGAGGAGTGGCCTGGAATGTCTCCAGGTACTCTGCCAAAGTCACAAAACACCATTTGGTTTTGTAGAACCACATGAAGACATGTTCCCAGCCTCTGCATGAAGATACCTTTGGTGGACATCTCAAAGTCGGGCTGGCTCAGATCGCAGCCATGGAAATCTCCCGGGGCAACCACAGAGATAACAAAGCTGTGATTCGCTACCTGCCTTGGCTCTATCACCCCCCTTCTGCGATGCAACAGGGGTAAGACCCTTATTATTCCAGCCATGAGGGTAGATAAGGCAGGAAGCACTCTGAGCTCCCTGGGGCTCAGTGAGAAAAAGTATATTCACTGAAGGTTTATGGGAGTGGAGTAGGATTGGCTGGGAAGATGGGAACTGAGACCCATCCCTGTACTTACTGGCTGACCTGGTAGCATTTTTTAGCTTGAGCGCCTCATGACATGCTGCCAGTAATAGAAACTTGCCCTCACACGAAAACCTCAGTCATCCTGAGGGATGGTGAAAACTTGGAGCTTTACCACTTTAGCTCTTAATTTCAACTCATTAAATAAATCCATAGGTATTTATTGAGCACTTACATAGCTTCTGTCTTCAATGGGCTTGGGTTGTAGCTGGAATGAAATCTATAGCGGAGACGAGATAGAGTGCAGGGAGGAGGGAGCCCCTGGTCCTGCCTCTGAGGAAGGCTAGGAAAGGAGGTCCCATGGGTGGTTTATTTGGGGACTCAGAGCAGGCTCAAGCCTCCCGTTTTGCGTGGCTGACTTCCTGGCTGGAGGAAAGGTTTGGAGTGGGGGTGAGGAGGGCAGGAGGAGAAAATGATTGGAGGGCAGGAAAACGGGTGGCTGTGTGTTATACCTTCTCCTTTATTCCCTCTCCTGTAGTGATGTCAGACTTTCTAAGGAGAGAAAAATAGAGGGTTTAGAAAGAGAAACTAGTCAGAAAGGCAGTAGGTTCATGGGAGAATGGAATTTAATCCTGTGTCACCAAAGGCTGCCCTTTGCTCAAGAGGCTTAGATCCAGGATTAGAGCGGGACACAAACAAACAAACAAACAAACAAAAACACAACCCACATACAGCGTTTTGTTGGCACTCTGACACCTTGGTGTTTTATTTTATGTAACTGCCTGCAAGACCACACTTTTAATCCACCTATAAGGATTTGTTGAGCACCCGAACGAAACAAAGAACATAAAACACCTTAACACTTCCTTCTTCTCTAACAGACCTAAAGAATTCATCGAGTGTGTCTCCCACATCCGTCTGTTGTCCTGGCTCCTCCTGGGGTCCCTCACTCACAACGCAGTGTGTCCAAATGCCCCCTCCCCCTGCCTGCCCATACCGCTGGATGCGGGGTCTCATATTGCAGACCATCTTATTGTTATTCTCATTGGATTTCCAGAGCAATCAAAGGTAAGTGATTTCTGCAAGATTAAGACCATGTGCATTGAAATTGCTAATGGAAACCCTTATCAGCCAATTACATTTCTTCTGAGAAGAAAATGCATCTTATCACAGGCCTCCTGTGGATATTAGGAAAGCAAAACTTTGTGCTAATGCCTTATTTAAAGTTGTTTAAATTCCCAGACTATCTTTTCTTCCCCCTAAATTGTTTTTCAGTTTACTTTTATGAAGATAAATTATGGAGGCAAGCAGGAGTTAGCTTCCTAGGCATTTCTGTCTCAAAATAATGAACAGGACTAAGAAGCTAGGAATATAATAAAAACTCTGTGAGCAGTTTTTAGGACCAGATGTGAAGTGGAGGAAAATTTATGCTCTACCTAATTCTTCATGCACTATCTTTTCAACTCAAATCTCTAGGGATATATGAATATACAAAGTAAAAATAAGGCGGCCAGTTGGGGACTCACTTAAGTACACATCAGAATCACCTGTGCAGAGGAACTTTGTAAATTATAGAGACAGATGATGTGCTCCAGGGAATAAAGTAAACCCAAGGCAGGCATCGATCATGAGCCTCTATAAGCAAACTAGACACATTGGTACTAATTAGCTCTGAAGAGCCAAGGCCCCTTCGGAGAGCTTAGGCAAATTCTGGGAGACCATGGTGGCGTGGGCCAGGATAAGCGCACTCTGTGATAAAGCAGAGCAGCCATCTCAATGACCCACATGATGTTTGCAGGAGACGTCAGGCAGTCAGCTTCTAATATTTCAGCGCAGATCTGTGTTTACTTCTTAACGACGGTGCTTTGTAATTTTGTGACCTTGAGAAAGTTACTTCACCTCTCTGAGCTCTGGTTTTTCTCTGTAAAGCAGATGAGGGGATGGTTTGAGAATTACGGAGCTGATCTATGAGAAACATCTAGCACAGTGCCTGGGGATTGTAGGTGCTCACTCAACCAGCGCTTCCCACCAGTGGGAATACTGTCTTTGCTGCCGCCGCTGCTATTCCTGCTACTAATAGTATGACTGTCAAGCACGGGGCAGTGTGTTCATAGATCCCGCCTCATTTATTCCTCACTGCACCTCTTTGAGGAGGGTACTGTTATCCCATGTTGCAGATGAGGAAACACCCTAAAATGGTAGAAGGATTACTCTTCCTAATCTAGCTTAGGGATGGGAACATCAGTTTTGTTAAAGGGACGGGTGTAGATTTATTCTACAAACTAAGGCGTCTTCTCTCTGAAAAGATGCTTTGTTCTCTGAGCACATTCCCACTGACCAAGCAGAGAGCAGTTTGTTTCAAGGTGATGGATCATGGGTTTGTAACCTGGAGCTCACTCCTTCAGCCTCTCATCCTTGAATTGGCTGTGCTCTGGCTGTGCGCCTTGGAAGGCCGAAGCCATGCGGGGAGGGCTCCGTGGAGCAGCCCGCCCACTAGGAGGTAACGGCTCTTCCTCTGGTTCCTCCTCAGACCTCCGTGCTGCACATGTGTTCCCTCTTCCACGCGTTTATCTTTGCTCAGCTCTGGACCGTATATTGTGAACAAAGTGCCGTAGCTACAAATGTCCAAAATCAGAATGAATTCAGCTTCACAGCCATCCTGACAGCACTAGAGTTTTGGAGTAGGGTGACACCCAGCATCCTTCAGCTGATGGCTCACAACAAAGTGGTGAGTTCACGAATAAGTTTCCCATTGGTTAGAATCTCAAAGTGTGTAAACTACTGACAGTCTTCACACTGCCTGTCTTAAAGATCTCAGCTGTAATATTATAGAAATGGATTGATGAACTTTTACATTGTGAACTGGATGTTTTACTCGCATAAGAATTTTGATGAAACACAAAGCAAACAGGTCAGTTGAGTAAAATCAATTTTTGTTTTTTTGCCTAGTGCCAAAGAAAATGTGTATGAAACTCCTACCTTTAAGAGCTGTTGTGGTGCTATACATTCAGAGAATTAGGAGGGGGATTCATATTATTTTTGGAAAAACCCTAGCCAGTTACGTCACCTTTTTGTGGCATTTTAAGAGCAGACCGACCATACGTGCTCATTCCACTCAGGGCTCAAAACTGGGAAAGAGCCTTACCTTTTCGAGTTATCCATGAAGTCCTAAGCCCCCAGTCTTCAAATCCTGTTCTATTTTAATGTCGGCTCACCGAGTGAGGGCTGCTCCAGACTTATTGGAAAATATCTGGGATATGGTTAGCATGAGCCCACTTCATTGAACATACTTGGATTAGTCCTCATGGGGTCAGGGTTGGAGGGTGTATGGAAGGAATTTACAAGGGAGTCCTTTAGTTTGGTTCACTGCTTTGGAAGAGGATTCTGAGCTGGCAAAGCAGCAGCCAGTGTCTTGGGTATGAGTCGAATTCATGTCTGCGAGGGGCATGGGACTGAAGAACACTATGACGTTGCTCCCAACATGCTCAGAAACCTGGCACTGCACCACCCACAAAAGGCATTCCAGAAACAATTTTTGATTGAAAATTAATCTAAGAAATATTTTCTTTCAGTTCTAATTGGAAAGGGGATTTTATATTTCCTTTAGTGAAGCACTTTCTTTTATTTAGAGAAGCAGATGTTATAAGGCAATTCTGTATGGGGAGAGATGTTTTAGTTCAATTTAAAGGACACTTATGTGAAAATTTTAGGGTGCACACAGACAGCTCTGACTGCTGTGGAGATAATTACATCTATTGGATCAGAGAGTCTGCACTGAAGAAGAACTTGGAGATGAGACACATTCCTTTTTTGATGTCATTAATACATCTCCTTCAAAGCTCTTTTGATATTCAGATGTTACAAATGAATTTTGTAATGATGTTATAAATGAATATGAATTAATTTTCTTCCAACCAAGTAAGCCAATCTGGTAAAATGCCCCTGGAGTGTTTAAAGTCTAGCCTTAGGAATTTTCGACAACATTATAATTAGCAAGGATATCATTGCTACTGTACTTTTGAACTGTCCTAAGCATGACTACCTTTTCCATAGAGAACAAAGACCCAAAGACAGATATGCGATAAATGAAACAGCCCCTCCCGGTAATGGAACTGGAGAAAGGATGGAGATGGAGACTAGTACCGAAGCCCAGAGTTCTGCGGTTGGAAATGGGCAGGCAAAAGCCATTGATCCTCTGGTGTGAATCACAGTGCAGTGCAGATTAGCGAGATCAATACCCCACTTCCCTTGGCAGCCCCGAGATAGATGAGGAAGGCACGACAGTTGGAAAACCTCTGGAGCTTTTAATTCAGTTTCTGGTTGAAGCTTTGGAGATGAATGTACACCACTCCTGTGCTCCCCGTGGCCGTCGTGCAGACAGGCATCACGGGCACAGTGTGTGGCCCCATGGCCGTTGTGCAGATAGGCCTCATGGGCAGTGTGTGGGCCCCGTGGCCATCGTGCAGACAGGCCTCATGGGCACAGTGTGTGTGGCCCCGTGGCCACCGTGGCCATCATGCAGACAAGCCTCACGGGCACAGTGTGTGTGGCCCCGTGGCCGTCGTGCAGACAGGCCTCATGGGCACAGTGTGTGGCCCCGTGGCCACCGTGGCCATCATGCAGACAGGCCTCACGGGCACAGTGTGTGGCCCCATGGCCGTTGTGCAGACAGGGCTCACAGGCACAGTGTGTGGCCCCGTGGCCGTCATGCAGACAGGCCTCACAGGCACAGTGTGTGGCCCCATGGCCACCATGGCCATCATGCAGACAGGCCTCACGGGCACAATGTGTGGCCCCGTGGCTGTCGTGCAGACAGGCCTCACAGGCACAGCGTGTGCATTCTCTGTGGCTGCAGCTATTTGCAGGGTTTCTATATTATTGGAAGTGGACTTGATTTTCATGTGTTTTGTTTCAGATGGTAGAAATGGTGTGTCTCCATGTGATTAGTTTAATGGAGGCATTGCAAGAATGCAATTCAACAATTTTTGTCAAGGTAGGAAAATCTTATGATTTTTATAGTTCTTTTATTGCTGCTAAATACAAACGTGGATTTATTTGAATGTATCTTCTGAGGAGGGAAATAAGAGAGATTTAATTTTAACACTCAGAGTTGGGGCTGGAGGATTCAGGCTCATTCCAACCCTTCACTAAATGGTTATCATGTTATTTTTTCCTTTTGCTCTACCACTGTGACCAGCTCTAAGTGGGTTAAATATGTTGGACTGTGATTGCATGCAACACAGACAATTAAAACGTTACTGTTTTACCGATCTGAAAATGACTCTATCATAATATAAATTGGTTGAAGGTGCCTCGCCTCGCCTGCCGCCAAGGAATCCAGAAAACCAAAGAAAATAGTCTGTGATTGTTTGACGTGTTAGCTGGTACTTTTCTCTAAGATAAATTAATTTAGTTTCCAGTACTACTATTCTACACCATTGGACAGTGTGTGAAAATAGCTATCCAGTGACATTAGAAACATTCGTGACACAGAAAGGAAAAGAGTAAAGAACTTGGCTCCGTACCCACTTTGTCTTTTTATTTCCCCCTTTCCTTTCTTCCCATCATCCCGCCTCTTTGTCTCGCTGAGTCTGTCTTTCCTCTTCTTTAGGACTCCCTTCTTCACCCCAACTTCTGTATTCCATTATCTTGACCACCCTCACTCCCCCCAACCCCCCATAGTGCACCGCTTTGGAACGTTATAACTTGCTCTTTCGCTCCTTGGTGGCCTCTGTTCTTTAATAAAGGACACTTGTCAAGTTAACTCACATAATGTTGAAGAAAAGCAGCCCATTTTCAGGGAAAAACTTGACTGTTATCAGAACACTGTAACATAGTTGCTTCGAATGATAGTAGCAAAAGTCAAATCTATGAGAGAAACCATATGACTGACACTTGGGTAATGATCAGACCTGATTTTATTTTTCACAGCTTTATTGGCATGTAGTTTACATACAGTAAATTATACATATTTAAAGTGTACAGTTTGATAGGTCTTAACATATATTACACCTGTGAAACCATTACCAACAAGATAATGAACATATCCATCACCCCCTAAAGTTTTCTCATACTCATTTATAATCCTACTCTTCCCCACTCCCTGTACCCCACCTTCTCATCCCCAGGCAACTGCTGATCTGTGTTCTGTCAGTATAGGTTAGTTTGCATTTTCTGGACTTTTATATAAATGGGTTCATTTAGTACATATACTTTTTTCTGCCTTCTTTCACTCAGAATAATTATCTTGAGATTAATCCATGTTATTGCATGTATCAGTAGGTCATTTCTTTTTATTTCTGAGTAGCAGTACATTGTGTGAAATACCACATTTTGTTCATTCATTGGTTAATGGATATCGGGACTGTTTCTAGTTTGGAGCTATTACGAATAAAGGTGTTATTCAGGTATACAAGTCTTTATATAGAGACATGCTTTCATGCATGTTAGACAAATAACCAGGCAGAATATCTAGGCCATATGATAGGTGTATAACTTAAAGAAATTGACAAACTGATTTCTAAAGTGGTTGTGCCCTGTTACATTCACATCAGCAGTGTGTGAGCATTCCAGTTCTTCCGCATCTTGGAAAGTATTCCTTCCTTTTCTGTTTTCTAAAAAAGTTTGTGTATATTTGGTATTATTTTTCTCTTAAATACAATTCACCAGTTGAACTTCCTGAAATTTTCTTGGAATTTTCTTACAGAAAGGTTTTAAACTACAGATTCAATTTCTTTAATATATAGGGCTACTTAAGATCTGTTTATTCTTGAATGATCTTTGGTAGTATGTGTCTTTGAAGGACTTTGTCCATGTCTTCAGAGTAGTCAGTTTTATTGGCATGAAGTTGTTCATAACTTTCCCTTATACTTTTAATATCTGTTGGATTAGTAGTTATGTCACTTCTTTAATTCCTGATATTAGTGATTGGTGACTTTTCTATTTTTTTCTGTTCAGTCTAAATAGAGGTTTATCAATTTTCGTGAGCTTTTGATTTAAAAAAACACCACAGTAATCAGCTTTTGATTTTTATTTTCTCTCTTCTTTTTCTGTTTCAGTGATTTACTATGTTCTTTCTTCTGATTACTTTAGATTGAATTTGTTTTGTTTTTTTCTAGTTTCTTAAGGTGGAAGTGGAGCTCAGTGATTTAAGACTTTTTTTTCCTAATATAAGTGACTAGTGCTATTAATTTCCCTCTAAGCACTGGTTTAGCTGCATTCCAAAATTTAGTATGTTGCGTTCTTTTCATTCAATTCTAAATACTTTCTAATTTCCCCTTTGTTTCCTTTTTTGACCCATTGGTTATTTAGAAGTATATTATTTAGTTTCCAAGTATTTGGGGATTTTCCAGAGATTTTTTTGTTATGGATTTTAATTTCTTTGTGGTTAGACAGCATACTTTTCATAATTCAAGCTATTTTAAATGTATTGAGATTTGTTTTATGACCCAGAATATTGTCTCTCTTGGTAAATACTCTGTGTGCACTAGAAAAGAGTGTGTCTTCTGCTGTTGTCAGGTATAGCTTTCTATGTCAGTTGGTGCAAGCTTACTGATAGTGTTGTTCAAGCCTTCCATGTCCTTTCTTCTGTTTAGTTGTTCCATCAATTTTTGAGAAAGATTGGAATATTGTAATAATTATGGAGTTCATTATCTTTTTAGGTCTACCAATTTTTGCTTCATGTATTATGAAGCTCTATTTTTGGGTGCATAAATGTTTAGGATTATTATATCTTAATAAATTGAGATTTTGAATTGGCTCTCTTCATCCTCAGTAATATTCTTGATCTGAAAGCTACTTTGATATTAGTAAGATGGTATGTCTATTTCCATCCTTTTACTTTTAATCTCGCTGTGTCTTTATATTTAAAGTCTATTTCCTATAGGCAGCATATAGTTGAGTGTTGGGGTTTTTAAAAAATCTAATCTGACAATCTCTTTTAATTGGAGTTTTTAAATCATTTTATGTGTTTTGTGATATTGTTGGGCTTAAATCTATCATTTTGTTATTTATTTTCTGTATTTCCCATTTGTTCTTTGTCCCTTATTCTGTCTTTTTCTAACTTCTTTTAGATTGAATTTTTAATGATTAAAATTTGTATATAATTCCCCACCCCCCCTAGTTTTTTAAGATGGAAGCTGAAATCATTAACTGGAGAACCATATATTGGAGAACTCTTCTTTTCAGTCTTGAGTGTTTAGTGCTCTAAATTTCCTAAGTATGGCTTGAGCTGCATTCCTCCAAATTTTGATATGTTCTTATTTCCATTCAGCCCAAAATACTTTCTCATTTCCCTTAGGGTTTCTTTTTTTGATCCATGGGTTATTTAGAAGTGTGTTTTTTAGTTACTGTATTAGTTAGATGTTTTAGTGGTTGATTTAGAGTTTATTATATATATTTTTTAACTTATCACAATCTATATTCAAGTAATATACCACTTCATGTATACTATAAGCATGTACAATAGCATACTCTCATTTCCCACATCCTGGCTTTGCGATATTATTATCATATACTTTACTTCTACATGTGTTATACAACAAACCACACATTATTATTGAATATAGTCATCTCTTAAAGAGATTAAAATTTAAAAATATATTTATTTATCGTCCCATATACCAAAAGTTTGCAGGTTCGATTCCGGGTCAGGGCACATACCTAGGTTGCAGGTTCAATCTCCTGTCTGGGCACGTATGGGAGGCTACTGATAGATGTTTCTCTCTTACATCAATGTTTTTTTCTCTCTCTCCCTGCCTCTCTAAAAAAAAAAAAAAAAAATCCTCAGGTGAAGAAAAAAATATGTATATATATTTATATTTGCTATTATTGCCATGTTCCTATTTGCCATTTTCAGTGCTCTTCATTCCTTATATAGAGCTAAGCTTTCATCATCCTTCTGCCCAAATGACTTCCTTTCCTGGGTCTTGTGTAGGTCTCCTGGTGAATGCCTCAGTTTTTGTATGTCTGAGTCTTCACTTTGCCTTCATTTTGAGACATTTTTGCTGTGTATTGAATTCTAGGTTTGAATGTCTTTCCTCATACTTTAAAGATGTTGCTTCTCTACCGTCTTCTTTCTTACATTGTTCCTGGTAAGAAATCTGTGTTATTCTTTTTTCTTTTTATGTCTGTAATATGTCTTTCCTCTCTGGCTCATTTTAAGATTTTTCTCTTCACCATGTTGTTAAACCATTTGATGAGGAAACACTTTGGTGCAGTTTTCTTAATGTTTCTTGTGCTTGAGTTTTTGAGCTTCTTAGATCTGTGAATGTATAGTTTTCATTATATTTGGAAAAGTGTCAGCCGTGTTTCTTTAACTATTTTCTTCTATGCCTCTACTCAACCTTTACCTTCTTGACTATTAAATATAGTTATAATAACTGTTTTAAGTCTCGTCTACTAATTAGTATGTGTCATTTTGGGGTCTTTTCTAATTGCTTGACTTTTCTTCTCATTATGGGTCACATTTTCCTGCTTCTTTGCATGCCTACTAATTTTTTATTGAATTCTTGATATTTTGAATGTACGTTTTTGGGTGCTGGATAGTTTTGCATTCTTATAAATATTCTTGAACTATATTCTGCGACATAGTTAAATTACTTAGAATTAGTTTTTTAGCCTTTTGAGACTTACTTTTAAGCTTTGTTGGTGGGATCAGAGCAGCATTTTGTCTAGGGTTAGTATTTCTTCACTACTGAGGTAATATCCTGAGTACTCTACTTGATGTTCTATGATTTATAAGATTTTTCCACTCTAACTAGTGGAAACACAAACTCTTGCTGGCCTTATGTGATCAGTAGGGATTTTTCCCTTCAATATATTTTGGTGTTTTTTCCTTCAGCCTCAGGTAGTTTTATCACATGTATTCACTGGTTAGTATTCAGCTGAAGACTCAAGGGGAACCTTTTACAGGTCTTCAGAGTTCTTCCTCTCTCTCTGTGCAGCTCTCTCCTCTGCAGTACTCTGCCTTACAAACTCTAGTCACATTGGCTTCTCTGGACACCTGGCTCCATTGCCTCAACTCAGAAAGACTGCCAGGCTCTGCCTGGGTTCTTCCTCCCTATGCAACTGCCTGAAAACTCTCTCTAGGCAGTGGGCTAGGCTAATTGTAGGGCTTACCTTGTTTCTTCTCCCTCAGTCACCACTGTCCAGCATTGTTGATGTTCAATGTCTGAAAACCATTGTTTCATATACTCCATCTGGGATTTCAGTTGTTTCAGGCAGAATGATAAATCTGGTCCTTATTACTCTATCTTTGCTGAAAGAGAGCGTTTCACAGCTAATTTTGATTTTGAAGCCTGGAAAAAGCATGCAGCAAAATGAATACATTCAACCAAGCAGGGTGACTTTAATTTATTCTGTAGCATAAACCAAGATAAGAGAAAAGGGATCACTTTTATTTTGGTGAAAAACAATTTAGTTTTCCAGATATTGTTTCTGGAGAAGAAAAAAACCCCCAACCAACTTCATTATAACATTACAGAGCCTAAAATAAATTACATCTAATTCTTACTGACAGCTTTGTAGGAGCCACTAGCAAGAGGGAACTGAAATGAATGCTATTCAATAAGTCAAATTAGCATTCCTGAAATAGGATGACTGCTGGATTATATAATGCTATCAACAAAAATGAGGTTTAACCTGAAGCCTTTAGTCATGTGATTTGTAGATCACAAACCTGAAGGTCCTTTGTAGGTATATTTTAGAATCTTATGGTCCCATATTACATCAATGGGGAAATAGTAAAAACCCTTCTAAGACCAACCTCACCATTTCCCTTGATTGCCTCATACAGGGACAGCATTGGGAAAGGTGTTCACCAGGGTCTGAGTACTCATGACTTCCTGGCCCGTTCCCTCCCTGGTCCCTCAGGATTCTTAACAAGAGGTTAGTTCAAGTATTTCCCAAATATCAAGAGGCATATGGGCCTGTTTTCATATCAAATAGGTCTATAGTCAGTTAAAGTCTCTACACATTAGGACCCGAAAGGTTTAATTCTTGCTGTACAGACATCAGGGAGGAAGCGGTTAGACCAGTTTATTTTTTCCAGTTAAGAATGTCAGAGAGCACAGCCTATGTGGCACCAACTTGTGTAATCCTACAGTTTGCTGTGTTGGTGGCAGGCGGAGGTTGGGAGAGGGTTTCATTTCCTGGTATTTTGAGTTTTAGTCCAATTACATCTTTTGGGACACAGCATACTGCATTTCTAAACACAATATTTACGTTTGAAATGGATTATTAACTGGCTGCAACATAAACACTGTTTAGGAGTAAACATCACTAGAAGTCCAATTAGCAGATTATACATATACATCAATAGAATGTTGAAAGCAGAACAACCACCAGATTCAGCCTTGGGAACAAAAGCATCGAGAGAAATGTAATTTATCACTTCACCAAGTTTATTATTATTTTTCAGTGTTTTGATGAATTAAATGAGACCAGCAGTCTATGGCTATGAGTAGTGAAGAGAAAAGTCATTTATACACTCACTGTCCCCCATCCCAGAGTCTCTCTTCCTGGTTCTCACTGTGTTCAGTGCGCCGCTATCCTCCGTTTGCCAGGGCTAGAAACCTCAGCTTTTTCTCTGACCTTTTCCTCTCTCCAAAGAGCAAACTAGTCCTCAGACCCTCACAGATGATCTCTGCAGGCAGCGTCCTTTCCATCCCAGAAGCCATCCTCGGTCTTACCCGGACTGGAGGCCGCCTCCACACCAGGGCCCCTGCCTGCAATCCCCATGTCCTCCCACACCCTCGTCTGCAGCCTGCTGCCACAGTCATCTTTCTGGCGCATAGTCTGCTTGTGGCCAATGGGGCCCCCCTCTTTAGGGGTTGTATTGAATTTGGAATAAAATCCCATCTCCTCATGTGGCATCTCAGATCATCTGTGGGCAATGGCAAGAGGCCTCACCTCTGCTTTTCGAAGGTAGTTTCTTGTGGCACTCTCCTGAGAACCACACCTTCAGCATCACGTGAGCACCTATGGCCTCCACACCTCTCTGCACACTCCTACCTCGGGATTTGCTTCCTGGGTGCTGTTTGCTAGGGCTGCTGTAACAGAGAATGACAAATGGATGACTTAAGTGACAGAAATGTATGTCTCACAGCTCTGGAGTTCAGAAATAGATCAAGGCATCAGTCAGCAGGATGGTTCCTTCTGAGGCTGAGGGAGGGTCTGCTCCAGGCCATACTGAAGCTCCCGGTGGATTGGTGGGATCTTTGGCTTCCGTGGCTGTTGATCTCCGCCTTCATCTCTCACGGTATTCTCCCGAGGGTGTGTCTGTCCAAATTCCTCCTTTTCACAAGGACACCAGTCTTATCGGATTAGGGCCCACCCTACTCTAGAATGACCTCCTCTTAGCTAATTGCATCTGCAGTGACCCCATGTCCTAATAAGGTCACCTTGGAGGCTGTGTGGGTAAGGATTACAGCATCTGTTTGAGGGGACACAATTCAATCTGTTGGAAGTAATATTGGGGGAAAATGATAAGACACGTATTAGCATATTAAAGATCTGAGCAATACTAAAATAAAGAAACTAGCATTCCCAAACTTACTGGTTCATAGACTCCCTCCCCATTTAAATCCCACCAAACTTGAGTTCTGTGGAACACACTCTCGGAAACGCTGTATTCTGTCTGGATTTCCCAGGCCATGAATGTTTACTTATTTTCTGAGAGGCTGAAACGTGGCTGAGAGAGCAGAGCAGACAGAGGAGACCCTCTGCCAAAGGCACTGGAATGGGCACCCTGGGACCTCCTGGGACAGGTGAATCAGGGGCGGCAGAGGGGCCAGGCACCCCAGCCATGCTTTCAGAGCCTCCTCTCCACTTGCCTGCATGTGCACCCCCCCAGCTCGAACCCTGGCCCGCCTCACTCTTGCTGTGTCTCACCTTCCACATCACGCCAGGCAACTGCAGTGCTTGTTTTACTATCAAAACATTTTGACCGCTTCCCAGTGATATTTCCTTAATGACTACGGACAGAGTCACCATGCTACTCAGGGACTCAATTCTAAAGATCCGTGGAGGAAATTCTATTTCAAGAAAGTGAGGATTTAATTAAATAAATGCACATTTAATTTCCTGTGCTTGGTAGCTTTCAAGAGACAACCGGTCATTTACTCTAAAGTGTGTGTTTCAGGCGCTCAGGGGGTGCTCATTAGCCTCCAAATGCCACCAGCTCAGCAGGGTGTGGCCATAGAAAGACACTTTTCTGGTAACGGGTAACTACGCAGCAGGGGCCCACATTCTTTCGCAGCGTTAAAGGGATTCATTGTGCCCTGCTGTCCCTCGAGTCACGGAAGCTTATGCGGGAGAAGGGGGAACAGTTGTAACGAGGCTTCTGTGTTTCTCCACACAGCTGATACCTATGTGGTTGCCAATGATTCAGTCAAATATCAAGGTAAGTCACCCTGGTGGACGAGGCTCCGTTCCCTCCAGAGAGCCTTAGAACATTCATAGGGCTCCTTCGTGCTCCACTCACTGTGGAGAAAGACGAAGCCTACCTGCTGCTGGCCTCTGCGGCCCATAGTGCAGGAGACCCTGTGGGCCAGGTAAGAGGCCTGCGACTGAAGTGACAGCAGGACCCACTGTTGAGGATGAAAATGAGGGATCCTGGAGTCCGAGTGAGGCTCAGTTACTGCCTGGAATGCAGGCTGAAGTGGGTCTGGCCCCAGGCATGTCCAGTGCCATTTCCTGGTCGTTGAAACTCATTTTGTGATGAGAAGAATTCTATTAAGAAAGGCTAGTGTTGAATGAAGGACAGAACTGAGCTGGCAGGAACCTGCCCCACCCCCTCATTTTACACTTGAGGAAAGCCAGGGCTGGGAGGGGGAGTGATTTGGACAGAGCCCCACAGCCAGGAAGGGGGAGGCCCTGACTGGATGAGTGTACTTCCCACTGCCTGTCCCTGCCTTGAGCGATGTGTTATTATTGTGGGGCCAAAGATGCTCCGTGACTAGTAAACACGTTGCTGGGGCTTGACGTTGAGATGGCTCCGTGTGGAACTGGGCCCCGTTAGGGCACTGGGAGCAGGGGCGGGGCAGGGGGAGAAGTCAGAAGCCTTCTTGCTGGGTTTCTTCTCAGAGTCGGGGAGGGATGCTAGAGGAAGGAAGCAGGGTGATGTCAAGGGACCCAGACTCCAAGAGGGAAATGCAGCTGTCAGTAGTGACTGCAGGCGCAGAGTCCCGTCTGTGGGACTGGTGGGGGAAAACCTCAGCCCAGTACCTGTTCTTCCTGTGGAAAGCGCTTGTACTTCCACCCCAAGGCGTTCCAGGCCACCCTCCCCTGCTTAATAATCTGTGGCAATTTGACATGGGCTGGACTGTTAAAAGGAGGCCCACGGAACTTGGTGAGAAGGTAGGAAAAGTCAGAAAATCTTACAGCCCAGCTTCTTCATGTGCATTAACCCGAGAGCAGGAGGTTATACGCACACCTAGAATGTAGCGAGTATTTACTACGTGCCAAGCTCCGTTCTGAACCCTCTGTTTACTCATTTCTCCTTACAAAGACCCCAGGAGGTGAGTGTTACTATCCCTACTTTGTCCATGAGAAAATCCACACACAGACCAAAAAAGTTTGTTTCTAGAGTTGTCCACAGAGGAGCCAGGATTTGAACCCAGGGAGCCTGGTCTCCGAGCCTGGTCACTTCACCACCACACCAGGCTCGTTTGGTGAACAGCTCCTGGGGGACACATAGGTGGCAGCCCATACACTGGTGCGGCTTTGAGCTCCTGTTGCAGTGAATGCATCAAGCTAGGAATGGCGTGACTGGGATGGGTTCGGGCTGGGGTGACTCTAGAAACATGGCACCGGCCCCCACCCCCGTGCTGAGCACCATGATTCCAGAGCTGGCCTCCTCCAGGCCAGCACCCCTGGGTTGACTGTGAACGGGAGGAAGAAAGAAGCTAAAGGAAATGTCTTGCCCTTTCTCCACAGCACTTATCCGGGGGCCTCCAGCTTCGCCTCCAGGCCATTCAGAACAACGTCAACCACCACAGCCTGCGCACGCTGCCCGGCTCCGGCTCGGCGCAGAGCAGCGGCCTGGCGGCCCTCCGCAAGTGGCTGCAGTGCACCCGCTTCAAAATGGCCCAGGTGGAGATCCAGTCCTCAGAAGCAGCCTCTCAGTTCTACCCTCTCTGAGCGGACTCCTCGGCTCTCAGCGTCAACATTCTGGTTTAGCAATAATGGGTTTCAAAACAAAGCAATTTGATCCAAGCAGGTTGGGGAACATACTGGTACTGTACATTCTAGTTTAGTAAAAGACGTGCGAAGGCCGGCGAGGGCCAACAACGCAGCTTTCTTGCTACACATATTTCTGATGACTCCTTGGGCTATCTGATTAAGTGTTTCCTTACATTATTTTTTAAAAACCAAATCATTTTTCTTTAACTAACTTCTATTTTTTTTAAGAAAAAAAAAAAAATAGACTGGTGGGTACTCACAGAAAAGTTGTATAAGTCCCCCTGTTGCTATTTTTGATGATAGAGAATAAATAGGGTTTTTGAAACCTTTGTAGTGTTTTTTCTTAAAATTCACTCTTGGCAATGCAATAAAAAACAAAACAAAAACGTCACCATAAGCCAGTGACACTCCACCGAAGCTTTTTGTCATTATCCTGGGAAAAGTGGCAGCTCGCAAGGACCATTACAAAGTGCACTTAGAAATTAGGTGGTTAAACTGTACCAATCGTTTCCTTTGTTTTATAATGTCATTTTCCAAAACTGTCCAGTCAGTCTTATTATTTTTAAAACTAGTTTTTCAACTCATTAGTTCTAGGCTGTACTTTCTTGTACGCTTTATGATGACCACTTTAGTTTTGTGAATAATAAATTTTATTCTTTTGTTAATACTTGTATACAATTCAATTTAAAACTGTAGATCGCATACTGGACCAGTCGACTCCCCGCGCTGGCACAGAACACGTCACCCGGAGTGACGTTTCCTAAAACGGGATTTTAATAGTGTGGGAACACCGAGGTTTATCCGCACTCCTACTTACATTCACAAGTGACATTTCTCTCCTCTCTCCCTGTAATGCACTGACTAAAAGAAGACTTGATATACATTTAAGCTGTACATTGACATGCTATTAAATGCATTTTTTATCATCTTTGTGAGCCTGGGGTTTGTTAAAACCAGTTTATAGAGCTAGAGTTTAGTTCCTGATAACCATTTATTCTAAACTTTTAATACTTCTAACTTCCCTTAAAGCTAAAATACAGTTATTGAGAGGACAAGTTTTCTTTTAGATCATTGAGTGAGAGACATATACATTTATTTAAGTTCATTTTCTCAGAAGGACTTTAAGAGCATGAGACAATTCCTTTTTTATTTTTTATTATTTTTTATTGGTTATTAAGAGTCTTCTTTTTTTCCTGGGAAGCCTGATACCGTCATGCTTCTCAGGGGAAAACAATTCCTCAAATGTTTAAGTGTTTCACATGAGTTCTAGAAAGACAGGGGGCAGATCTTCATTCTTATGAGAACTTGCAGGGAACCAATGTCTCTATAATAAGAGTATAGAAATGATCATTCTTATTTGCTAACAGACACCTGAAAGGCCTTCCCAGAGTCAGAGTTCTGTGTCCGGTCCTTCTTGGTCATGCTCCCAGGAACGTTTTCTCTTGAATAGTAGTCAGTTGTGCATGTTTAGCTCACTTGTAAACTGTGACAGCTTTCAGGGCATGTCCTGTCTCTGCGTCCCCAGGGTTTGGCACATCGTATGTGTCTAATTAATGTCTATTGAATTGAATGGATTTGATTAAGCAGCAGGGCTTTCTTGAGCTACCTAGTGGGCTTAGCAGGGGCCGAACTGTGACATTCTCTTTTTGTGCAGGGATTCTTAGAGGGGTTACAGAAACAGGTGGTGGAGGGGCCCAGCTGCCCTCCCTGTGAAGGCTTACCTGATTTCCCCATCTGGCCTCGCCTGGAGGCCTGGCTCTTCACTACTCCCGAGCCCTCCTGGCCAGGACCTTCGTGGCCCTGTCCTAAGTAGACAAGGTCTAGAGTCACCCACAGCTTCTTCTCCGACCCCATCTTCTTCACCTGCTCTTTAAATGGACTTCTGCCTCAGTTCCCTTTGTATTTGCATCCCCTCAAGAGCTGCAAACGAGCCCTTAACTCAGCCCTCTTGTCAGGGCCCCCATCTAATGCTTCCTGCTGTCCAGACCTGTTCCTTTATCCACTGTCACAACCTGGGGTCTTGGGTCCACCCAGGCAAGTCTCCCTCCCTGCTTCTGAAAACTGTGACCTGTTTTCCTGCCAACCTGACCCAAATACTGTTCCTGCTGGGACTCCGCCACTTCACTGGCTGATGGAGACCAGCAAGGTTCTCTGGCCTGTGCTGCCACCACCCACCCTGTTTCCCTGTGTCCTCTCTTCTCTGTTACCTCATTATGTCAGTCTCTCCAGCAGGTGGGACTCAGCCACTTAGAAGGAAAAAGTCAGGAAAAGAGGGGACAGGTGGATGTTTAGCAGGATTGGCTCTAAGAGGGAGGGGAAGCCATTATCCTAGGTCAGGGGCCAGCCCTACAGCCCATGGGCAACTGCAGCCCACTGCCTGTGTCAGTAAAGTGTTGGAACCCAACCCAGCCCGCCATTTACACATTGTCTATGGCTGCATTTGAGCTATGACAGCAGAGTTGAAGAGCTGTGACAGAGACTGGGTGGCCCCAAAAGCCTAAAATATTTATTGTCTGACCCTTTACCCAGAAAGCCTGCTAACCCCTACCCTAGCTGAAGGCTACAGGAGCCCTGAGCTGAGTCTTTGGGTGGGTATGTTTTCCCTACCCCCTCAGGGCTTTTTGAAATTTCATTATTAGTGTTTCCTCATCTGTAAAATGGGGACAGTGACACATTCTACCTCATATGGGGGTTGAGATGATGACATAAAAGAAGGCAAAGAAAGGGCTTCGAGCAGTGCCTGGCGCGTTATAAGCACTCTAAGTCTCAGTTGTTATTTTTATTCTTATGTTAAAGCTTAGAGAAGTAAAGCTACTTGCCCAAGGTCACACGGCTGATAAGAGGCAGAGCTAGAACTGACCGCAGGCTGGCTGACCCCAGGATTGTGCTCTTAAACTGCCCATATTGACTCCTGCTACCCCACCACCAGCCCCAGGTGGCAGCCCCACAGCAGCAGAGGGCAGCGCGACTCCCACAAACCGCCCGACCCCGATTGGCCTGCTCCAATGACTGGCTCGGAGAGGGGCCCAGAAATGGACTCAGTCTTCCTTCCCTCGTGGAGTCCTATTGGTTTCCGAGTGTGAATAGAACATTCTGAGATTCCCAAAAGTGGAAGGAGCCACAATGTGCAAATGCATAGATTCCATGACTGTTCACGGTGGGCATGCCTCTTGCTCCTTGGGTGACCTTGGACAAGTTATTAAACCCTGCAGACCTCTTTTTTCCGTATCTGTACAATGGAGCTATCTACCTGTCCCTGGAGCTGGTGGAAAGCTCAGCAGGTGGAGGACTGTGGTGGTGCTTGGGAGACTGTGCCAAAATCTACAGACCTCCAGGAGGAAGACTGCTGCCACCTTTTGAAGGCTACGTGAGAGGACAGCTCACAGCTGCAGGCTCATTTGGTTTTTCCTTCAGCCAATCCCTCAGAAGCAAGTTCTATAAGACCCGTGGAAGCCAAAACTTGGTCGTTAGCCGAGGGTGTCCAGTCTCCACTGCATCCAATCTCTGCAAGCCTGTCATTTTGCCTGACATCGGGATGTTTTCAGCAAATCTCTTCCCAAAGAGTCTCACCTGGGGCCAAGTGGTTGCAGCAACTTCACCTCCGTTTCCAAACTAAGGCCAAACAAGACGGGATTGCACTGGAGAAGAAGGGTTATCCACCAAGATTCTTGTGGGCTAGGATTGAAGGGCTTCTGACATTAATTGGACAATGCAAACCATTTAATATACCTCTTTAATAGAATTAACTTGCAAATGTGTATATTGGGCAGACTGGGAGTTTTATAGTACTGGTCTTAAGAAGAAAGAAGGGAGTGGTTGGAACTCAATGGAATCTTTATGGAAGTGGAACGCTTTGGGAGATGGCGGAGGTGTTGTTGGAAAGAGTGTGGCCAGTTCCTTGTACCGAGAGGTGCAACAGTGAGCCTCTTGTGAGCGGTATTCAAGAGAAACCACAATAGCCACCATTTATTGAGCATCTACTGAGTACTAAGCATTTTATATACATTATGTTTATAAACATAGCTCTTCCTTAGCTCTCTCCTCCCCATGAGGGAGATGGTGTTATTATTCCCATTTTGCAGGTGAGGAAACTGAGACCCAGAAGTTAAATGACTTAGTAGCATTAGGACCAGAGGCTCTTTTGGCTGAAATGTGCCAAGAACATGGGATAGAGAAATCTGTGGGCTTTTTTTCTGAGGCAGGCCCATTTTGTTGAGATCTCTGTTTATTTTAATTAATTAGCTAATTACTTTTTATTGATTTCAGAGAGAGAGAGAGAGAAACATCCATCAGTTGCCTCCCACGTCCACCCCGTCTGGGGATCGAACCCATAACCTGGTACATGCCCTGACCAGGAATCAAACCCACCACCTTTTGGTGCATGGGACGACTCTCCAACCAACTGAGCCACACCGGCCAGGGCGAGGTCTCCATTTATTGATCTCTTTCACAAGTATCCATCAAGCCAGCGTCATCTCATCTGACAAAGACTTTCCTCTTGGCTTTGGGAATTCATTTATTTGAAAAAGATAGCCCACAAATTAAATCACATTTAGTTTCCCACTTACTATAATAGTTCTGTGAGAAAGAATAAAATTTTATGAATTAAAGATTGTTGTGATGAACTCTCTCTGTTAGATTGGGGGCCTATTGAGAGTTCACTTGGCCGTATGGAGACTTGCCCCTCATAATTGTAACCATGCCTACCCGATCTGAGGGTGGACGGCCTGTCAGGCACTAATAGATACACCAATCTCATTCAGTCTTCATAATAGTGACATGAGGTAGGCACTTCTGTTATTAACTCCGTATTATAGGTGAGGAAACTGAGGCACTGAGAGACTATTTGCAGGAGTCACTCAGTGAGAGGTAGAGAAAAATTTGAATCCAGTTATGTCTGCCTCCAAAGCCCTGGTTCTTTCTAGTACATAATTCTGGTAGTTAACTGATAGGTAGTCCTTTGCTACTCACCTGACCAACAAGATCCCCTAGAATCATGGAGACCAGAAGTCACCTATAGGCAACCTGCTGGCTGAAGTTGGCTCATGGCATATTTTACTTGATGAACTTGAACTTGTAATTTCTCCGTTTGGTGTGAGTATGTTTGATGGGGCACGCAGGCTCCAGTTTTGTACAGTTCCCACTGCTGACCTCTGCCTTCCAAGCAGGAAGCTCCCCAACAGCCTTTTGGCAGAAATCCTGTTGCCTCTGGGTTGGTTTGCAAGGCCTGGCATGCCACCCTGTGCCACCCCATTTAGACTGACCCTGTCAAGAGGGGATGGGGTTTACCTAGGGTCAGTCAGCAAGATAGTGGCACAGCAGGACTTGGGGCTGTGCTCTTAGCCCTTAGTGACACTCATCTCCCTGGCTCACTCCTCATCTCCACCTGCATGACCCCTGCACACCCGCACCGGTCAGTTTGACCTCGTTTCAGGTTGGGGCTGGTCTCTCCAGCCCACCACCATCCTGGTTTCTTACAGCTCAGGGAAGCTGAGGTCAGGGAGGGGGAGACTCAAGGTGAGCCCTTGGCACCAGCACTTCCCTGCAGGGTACACAGGACATTGGCAAAAGCCACAGATTTGGTTGAACAAAGAGCTGGTTCTTTAATTATGCAGCCCAGACAGGCCCGCTCG